GCCATGAATGTTTAGGTTGCAATGTTGCCAGAGCACAAATTCACATATAAACAAATATCTAATTAATAAACAATGAAATGACATTATAAAAACTAAAGAAAGAGGAATAAAAACAACAAAAACACAATATAGGCTTATGTTACATTGAAAATATGTCTACAAGCAGTAGAATTTTTCAAAGGAACAATTATTAAAATAAACTATTAATGATAATGTGATAATTAAGTTACTTTATACAAACAACAATGGTTTTCTGTGTGTTGAGAATAAAATTAGTATCGTTCAGGAACCGGTATCGAAGTTGAGGTATCGTATTGATATCATATCTTTGAACGATACCCAGCCCTACTCATGACTGAAAAGGCTCTCCACAGAAGACCTGACCTTTGACCTGCGTTCTCACTTACGTGGTTGACCAGAAGATAGTAACCTGACCTGTTCTGATACATCTTGGGGGGGAAACCAGATGCCTGGTGCTTTGTTGTCCTGTTGCTTGTTGTTTCTGGTGCTTATTTTATACTAAACTATATGTTTCTGCGTCTGCACATATTTACTGCCGTTAAATGATAAAATGCCCCTTAACAGATTCCCACAGAATAAGCCAGAACGGAGGCTGCCAGCTCATTCCATGTTGTTGAATGTTATTGTTTAACCCTTTCAAAACATGGTCCAGAAAGTTGCTCATGTGTGTCCCAAGGGACCACGTGGGCAAAAGGGGGGAGGTTGAATAAAGACTGAAGTACTGAACTAACAAATTTTAATAACATTCATTAATAATAGTGTTAATGATGTTAACTGTTCTTTAATTGTTTTCCTTTAACTTGTTTTAACTGATATTGCCTACAGTTCGGATGGATGATTAACAAGGGTTTACACTAAAATCTATAAATATGAGGTTGAATCTGCTTTGATGCTAGACTTAGCAGCTGTTCAGGGTCAGAAGGAAGGTAAACTGTTTGTGTTATTGGACACTGTGAGCTTCAAGATTGAGACTCATTCAGAGAGGATGAGATGGGTTTAGAACATGCTACTTGTGGAGAGATTGTGGAGCAAAACAACTACGGACCAACTCAAAATCTCCTGCTGTAGTTATCTGTGTCTTTCCTAGTTAACACTTGGTGTTTGGGCGGCCTCTCGACTAGTTAACGCTCAGGTCCTAGGCGTCCAGTTTCAGCAGCTTGACACACCAGGACCGGCTTTTTACTAGCAGATTTGTCCTGGAGGTCCGTCCTAGCCGGCTTGTGGTTGAAGAAAACTTGCAGTGATAGGCCATTAGTTGGCTTGGTTCGTCGGTTTGATGTCCTCTGGATTACTGCTGGCATAACAGACCCACATGGCTGGGTCCAAACTTCGGGGGGAACAGTGGAAGTTAATTTGACTAAAATAAAGCTTAAAAGGGAACTTGCTTGTTCCTGAATCAAAGTTGCTTGGCTTAAACGATCTGATAACTCTTAACAAACAAAACAAAGTAAATTCAACGAAGGTTGGCGTGAATATGGCGTACGTTGCTGGAAGACAAAGAAAATTTCACAGACAATGTTGGGACGGACTCTTGGCATTGCTTGGACACGGAGCACACTCCGTAGGCGTGCCGAGAGCAGAGAGAAGAGCCGAAGAAGAGAAGAGCGAGCACGTGTCTGCCGCTGTGTTTTGTTGCCTGGGGCGTGTTCTGGAAGATAGCTTCTGGTCTTCTCTGAGATGCTGTGCCTTAAATTTAATATGGTCTTAAAGTCTATTTGCGCGTATTTTAATCGCATACCTTTCCACAATAAACTCTTAAAGGTCATAAACAGTTTTACCATTCTTAGTTTTTAAACATTGGATAAAAAGAAGAAAAATTATTCATTAATTGTCGTAACAATTAGAATGGTTCGGTTAAACACATTTCGTAGGGATCACAGCAGATGAAAGAGAAAGAGCTTCTTAACTAAATACTTCCTGGATAATATTGGCTGTTAAATGTTCTTACTTAGAGAATATATAAGCAAGTTAAACGAACATGGCATCAGATTACATTGCAGATTATAAAATACAGAGTGATACATTGAAAGAAGCACAAGGAGAGGCATTACAAACCAATAACATGTAATACATAATTTGTCCTCTGGGGGAGGGACACTGGTTCCATGAGATGACAAAGGATCCGATCTGACTATTTTATTTAAATTTGACTCAATCCTTGGTTCAGGAGCTATGAAAATTTGGTTATTTAAAACATGATAATATTTCTGCATCATATCATTTCTAAGAAAGCATAAGAAGGTGCTTCGAACAAAGCATTAGTTGCAACAAACTAGAACTGTAAATTCTAGTTGCTTTGCATGCATGACCTCGGTAGTTGCCTCTGCCTTACACCGCCTGCACAGAACGCCCACATGTAGTTTCCAAATTTAAACTTTTGCCACTCTCCGATGGCCGCCAGACCCCGATCGGGGGGCTGGGACTGCATGCTCACACGTGGCTACAAAATCAACACGGCTCTCAAACTAATGGTAGATGTCTACTTCTCCCAGACATGAGAAATGCAAATCCTTCAAACAGCACAGTAGCAAAGATTAAGACTATGAATTAAAATAGCTTATGCCAAGTACCCCAACCCAGATGTGGGTAATTCCCAGGAGTGTGTTCACACACCTATGATTCTGTAGTAGCCAATTAAATAAATAATAAATAAATTAGCTGTACAGAGGTTGTCTTAACAAATCCATTGTTATGCAAAAAAACAAAAAACACTCTGTCACAGAACACATCTTACGCGTGTCTTTATTGAAATGCAGTATTCCTAAGAGGGATTTCCATCCATCCATACATCATCAACTGCTTATCCTGCGTACAGGGTCACGGGGGGGCTGGAGCCAATCCCAGCTGACATCGGGCGCAAGGCGGGGTACACCCTGGTCCAGGGTCCAGAGTATAAATAATAATAATAATCTCCTTTTCAAATACTTTTACAAAGCTTTCTTTAACAGCTCTGACAGGAAGGTGTAACATAAATAAATAATTAAAAAACATAAATAAATGCATTCTGCACAACTTCAGTAGTAGCCTAATACAAGACTGTATACTACAAACACAATTTCAGTGATAAAGTATTAAATAGTAAACTATGTACACTTGTACAGAAAAATTTAGATGTAGTCCAGTGGGCCAGCAGAAGTAGCTCAGAAAGCAGTACTGCAGGCTGGCAGTCCAGTAGCAGCTCGGACAGGAGGAGGCCAAGGCGCTGCTAAGAAAATGGGGAAACAGAAAGGGAAAGGCTCAGTGATTTATTCAGAACAGAAACACAGCGCAGCCACATCCAGTTTTGGGCAAGTTACTCAGAAATTGTAATATATTACTAGTTACTTGTTACTCCTTAAAGAAGTAATATTATTACTTTACTTATTACTGGATGATAAAAGTAACTAGTTACGTTACTCGTTACGTTACTAAATTACTTTCCAGTGTTTCCAACAGAATGACGGGGAGGGAGGGTATTCTAACGTTGGACAGGTTTGTGCAGCGGTGTTCATGAGAGAGAGGGAGAGAAAGAGAGGGAGCGAGCGAGGAGGTGCTGCACTACAGCTCCTCAATCAAAAATCATTTTAAATAGCCTACATATAGTAAAAAAGTTTCTTTCTGTAAGTTTCACGTTGCTGTGCTGCTTCAGCAGATGCTTCATTAAATCAGATGTAGAAATGTTCGCGGTTGAAAGTTTTTTGCTGGTCGCACAGACTTTACACTAGACACAATGTTCTTTGCATCTTAGACTGTGACACATTAATGTCAGCAGCTACTTCCATCTGTGGAAAGAACGCCTCTCTCACTGGTTCTACATTCTTCATTTAGTGTTTGGCTAACAGCCACATGAACAACAAAGTCCGGTCCCGCTGAGCTGCTGCACAGTCCTGGATTTACTCAAGTAACGAGTAACGCAGCGTTACTTTCCTTAGTAACTAATAATAATAATACTGCTTTAGAAAAGTAATTAGTTACATTACAAGTTACTGGGAAAAGTAATATTATTACAGTAACGCGTTCCTGCCCAACACTGGTGACATCATGGTTTACTGTCACTAAGATATTGATCATTCTGCACTGATCTGTCAAACTATCCTAGCCTACTGATTTTATCACTATATACCTAAATGTTAACTGATCACCGGACTCCTGTAAATGGAGGCTATATGAGAGATTGGCATGCTAAAATCCAGTTGTAGAGGGAATAACCAATTATTGTGAAAATCATAAAATCTCTCCAGGTGAACTAAATGATTTAATATGAGCTTGTTAGGTGTAACGTTACACAGCTAACTCACAACAGGAGACACAAAGTTAGCTGCACAGTAGACTTACCTTGAGGTGACAAGGATGAACCCGATCCTGAGTCACGAGCGTTGAGTTAAAAGAAGATTCTCCACTTTATTTTTCCGCTGCTGGTTGAAACAAGGCTACAGTCTTGTCTGAGGATGACGCTAGCTTTTTATAGGGTTTTTTTTTTGGGGGGGGGGGTTAAGGATGACGCTAGCTAGTGCCGTGCAGAGGGCTCTGGTGCCGTGAATAAAATTCCACAAATGTGTAAAAAGCAAGTTACAAATGTCACGTGACCTGATAATTGACAAGAAGCAATCAGCAAATGTGTAAAAACTGTTTTGTGTGTAGAAATGGATCCACAAATGCGTAAATAACACTTTGTATGTGAAATAAAAAGATCTTTGCACAGATTTAATTGTGTGTATTTGCAAATCACACTGTATTTTTGTGGATATGATTGTACACAACACAAATGTAAAAATACATGTTTTGGGTTGTGAGATATATGTTTTTTTTGTTTTTTTTTACAGATCTCCGCAGTACACATTGGACATAATTCCACAAATGTGTACAAAGGAACTTATAAATGTAACATGACCCACAAATTGACAGGAAGTAATCTGCAAATGTGTAAAAACAGTTTTGATCACCCTGTATTTTTGTGGATGTGATTTTACACATCACAAATGTAAAAATACACATTTGCAGATAGTGAAATATTTGCGCATCATTGTACACATTTGTAGATTGTCTTCTGTGGGTTACAAATATTAAAGTCCAATTAAATCTTCCATACTATTCCGTAGTTAAAAAAGATTAGGCAAAAGAATAGAGAAATACAGATGAAGAACGACCAATAACGAGCTGGAACTGTGAATGTAACATGGGAGTTGAAAGCAGCTGTGGTGGCGGAAAACAGATTGGGAGTCGTTGCAAGGTAAATACGACAACATGCACAGTACATATGTAGGCAAAAGTGTTATTTGTATGGCAGTAATATTCTAATAAAAATACTCTGTCAACAGTATCGTGTTTCTGCTTTGCTTGACTTATGAGACCCAATCAGAGAGCCAAACGAGGTCGCCTGCGTCATCGTTTCTAAACTCCTCCGATTTTGCCTGTCTGCACTAAAACACTACCCAGAATTTTAAAATGAAAAACGGGGTCCGCAGCGTTTTCAAACTTTTGTTTAGTCTCCCTTTTGGATCAAAGGTCACACAAATAAAGGATTTGTGATCTGTAATGTCCCAGTGGTCTCAAAAATCATGAATATAATTCTCTTCTTTATCTCTAAATCCTTTGTTCCACTGTCACACAGACCTTCAGTGGTGATATGTTCAATATGTTCAGTTTATCCCCAGTGAAAATGTATGGAAACAGCCTCTCAGTGAAAGTGTGTGTGAAGGTGTGTATGTGTGTGTTAGTATCAGGATCAGAGAACGACAGCTCTCCTCTGTTCCAGTCCAGATTCACTCTGATCTTCTGGGGCTTCGTCTGCACTTGGAGATACATGGGTGGACCTGCTTGTGCACGTGCTGAGTATTTACCTTCATGAAACCACATTCCCCATAATCTAGACTTTATATGTCCCTTCCTCTGGACAGATCCTGGTAACACACCCAGAAACCAGGCTGTACTGTCTCCAACCTCGACATCCCAGCTGTGAGTCCCTGAGTTAAAGCCCTCAGAGCCCAGAACAGACGGGTATTTATCAACCCTCTCTGGATTGTCAGGAAGCTGCTGTCTCTCTCCTGGTCTTACACTGGTCAGATCTTCAGATAGGGTGAGCTTTGGATTTGCAGTGTTTGGATCCAGAATCAGAGGAGTGTAGGAGACCATGTCCTTCATCTTGTTCCAGATGTTGAAGGTCAGGTTGCCCAGGTGTTTGGCCTGGTCTATCAGAGCTCCTGAGGGCAGCTGTGGATCATCCAGCAGGGGGCGCTGCTGGACTCTTTCCACCGCAGCCTTGTAGTTGAGCAGGAATGAGACGTCTTCAGCTCTCAGCTCCTCCTCTGTGGCTCTGACTGTGTCTGAAAGAGCTGCTATCTCTCTGCTCAGAGCCTCCATCTTCTCCTTCATCATCTGACTCTTCTGCTCCTCTTCCTCCCTCAGTGCAGCCATCCTGGCCTCCTCTTCCTCATCTAGAAACTGGTGAAGCTTCTTAAACTGCTCCTTAATCAGCCTCTCTGTGTGTCGGGCCTGGACCTTAACGTGTTCTGCTGTTTGATCAAACTTCACTCTAACTTGTTCACAAACCTTTAACTTCTCCTTTAAGGACTCCAGAGTTTCCTGAAGTTCCTTCTTGTGTTGTTGTGCAGCTTCATCGATGGGTCTGAATCTGTGGTTGCTGTGTTTTTCTGAATCTCTGCAGATGAGACACACTGGCTGCTGATGGTCCAGACAGAAGAGTTTCAGTTTCTCAGAGTGCAGACTGCAGAGAGCCTCTGAAGCTCTCTGATCTCTCTCCAACAAAAAGGCCTCACACAGGTTCTTCAACACCAGGTTACAAGGTGGGTATTCTTTTGAAGATCTTCTCTTACAAACTGGACACTCACGTGATTGTTTCTCTCTCCACCATCTCGTCTGACAGTCTTTACAGAAGCTGTGACTACATGACAGAACAACAGGATCTTTAAAGATGTCCTGACAGACCGGACAGCAGAGATCCTCCTCTGATCTGGATGCCATTTTGTCTCCAAGTGAAGCTGAAAACACAGCAGACAAAGTACAGTCAGTCATGGCTCTCTTCCCTCTTTTACTAACTTACACTTTGAGTCAGGTTTATAGTAAAACTCACCTTCACTGTGCGTCAGCAGTGTCAAAGCAGCAGGGTTTTAGTTTTCCACTTTTCTCTCCTGTAGCTGAACTCACTCAGTGGAAGTTGTTAGTTTGGTCTGAAGGTGAATCTGATCGTCTGTGAGTCTCTTAAGTGAGGAAGGATAACAAAGTGTTTCCTGGTTTGTCTCAGGTCAGGTGAGGGGTGGAGCTTTGTAATACCTGCTCTGTTGAATGTAACACAGGGTGTGTTTCAGTCCAAAGTATTGATTCATTGTTGAAAATGTAGACTCATGTGTGCAGCAGGCTGTTGCCTGAGTACAGTACTTGAGTAAATCTACTTGAGAACTGTGGAGAACGAACATAAGAGCTTTTGTGTTTGGTCCACATGAGTCTCTGGTTGTAACATTCACATTTTGTACAATTATTAAATTTAAGGCCTAATGTTTATTTTACACCTTTCTTATGCTCATATCATTTATGTTTACCATATATTATATTTGTCTTATGTTGACACCTTGATGTGTTATTGGAGAAAGAGAAACATGCTGCAACAGTAACCATACAGGCAGAGTTAGGAAGTAGGTTGTGATTTATAAATATTTTTTGTTAGTTAGCCTAGTTTTTTTAAAGACCAATCATATACTACTGTAGGTGGCAGTAGACGCATATTTAAAGTTGGTATGCAATCAGCGAGGAGGAGGAAGAAGAAGAAGACCTTTCAGAATCAGGAGAAAAATCAGAAAGCTTAATTCACCTAATAAGAGATTTGTTATTGCTGTTTAATCTCTTCATATACATCACAATGGGGAAATAACCTACTGAGTGAAAGCCAGGATCAAACTTACTCGCGGCATTTAGTTCAATGAATTCACTGTTGTACACTATTAAACAAATAGCAACCAAACAAATTAGAGAAAATAAATAACTTATTATAATAATAAGTTTCTGGATTCTGCAAAGTTAGGCTATCAGAATCAATCCAGTGAGAATCTGCCTTATATTTTTATACAGCGCATAGCCTACATCTGTTCTGCAGAGACTAAATAGGTTTTAATACGCCATTAATGGAAAAGTGAAATTATTATCAATGATATAAAAATGTGTACACATTATGTAACTGTATGTTATTCATTTGTTTCTTGCTGCGTTTCATAGTAATTTTCTTGCACATCTCATCCCTCTTATGTTTTGTCTCAAACAGCTACCCTTCCACTGCAGACAAGCTGAACTTGGCTAAATCATTGATTGCAATCTTTCCCTCTCTGAATCTCAGAGTTTTTGGAGAGAATGAAGGATATGTAAGTAATAATTGAATCTAGCAGTATTGAGCTCTCAGTTTGTTGAAATATATGACCATTGGCAAAAGGTTGTTGCTTACAAAATTCTATTTTTTTATTAAAATGTGTTTGTAGGAGCATCTATATGACCCTGTGTCCCATAAAGGATTCATAGAAATCAAGCTTTGGAATATGAGGCAGCATCTTGAAGAGGGACAGCGAAGATGGGAATCCTCAGTTATTACAATACTGAAATGGATTGTGGCTTTGGAGAAGGGGAGTGTAACCACTCTGTTGGATCAGAATGCAAACTGTAATGATGGTAAGTAATAACTGCTTAAATATATTATTGATCGCCGAGCTGTCAGCGCAAGAAAATTGTATTAAAAGAATACAATTTTCTTTCTTGTCTTAAAGAAGTAGTATTGTGCTCATTTTAAGATTCAAAATCTTATGTAGGGGTTGTACCAGAACAGGTTTACATGGTTTAATTTTCAAAAAACACTGCAGCTCCTCTTTTCACCCTGTGTGTTGAAGGCTTCGTTTTAGGTATGAAGAGATTTATTTATTTATTTAGAGACTTATTGCGCAGAGTCATAACGGCAGGTTACAGAGATTCCTGTCCATTGGTCAGTAGATGGCATGCTGTCACATGGTAAACAAGACTGTAATGTTGCAAACAAATGTAAATGAACATGTGATGCTCAAAGAAAATGTTTTTCCAATATGCAATTTCACATCATTTTTTTACCATAAATATATTATTATATCTGTGTACAAAAAGTTAAAAAAGCAACAGTAGATAATAACAAAGACAAATCCTGCTCTAGAAGTTCACCAGGGAGGAACTTTACACATTCAGAACTGTGGGAGAATAAGGTCAATGGATCAAAGGTCACACAAATAAAGGATTCGTGATCTGTGATGCCCCAGTGGTCCCAAAAATCATGAATATAATTCTCTTCTTTATCTCTAAATCCTTTGTTCCACTGTCACACAGACCTTCAGCGGTGAGATCTTCAATGTCTTCAGCTCATCCCCAGTGAAAACGTATGGAAACAGCTTCTCAGTGAAAGTGTGTGTGAAGGTGTGTATGTGTGTGTTAGTATCAGGATCAGAAAACGACAGCTTTCCTCTGTTCCAGTCCAGATTCACTCTGATCTTCTGGGGCTTCTTCTGCACTCTGAGATCAGCGAGTGGACCTGTTCGTGACCGTGCTGAGTATTTACCGTCATTGAACAATATTCCCCATAATCTACACTTTATGAGTCCCTTCCTCTGGACAGACTCTGGTACAACACCCAGGCCCCATCCTGTACTATCTCCAACCTCGACATCCCAGCTGTGAGTCCCTGACTTGAAGCCCTCAGAGCCCAGCACGAACCATATATATTCCAACCTCTCTGGATTGTCTGGAAGCTGCTGCTCCTCGCCTCCTCTAACGCTTGTCAGATCTTCAGACAGAAGAAGTCTTGGATCAGCAGTGTTTGGATCCAGAATCAGAGGAGTCTAGGAGACCACGTCCTTCATCTTGTTCCAGATGTTGAAGGTCAGGTTGCCCAGGTGTTTGGCCTGGTCTATCAGAGCTCCTGAGGGCAGCTGTTGATCATCCAGCAGGGGGCGCTGCTGGACTCTTTCCACTGCAGCTTTGTAGCTGAGCAGGACGATGAGACGTCTTCAGCTCTCAGCTCCTCCTCTGTGGCTCTGACTGTGTCTGAAAGAGCTGCTATCTCTCTGCTCAGAGCCTCCATCTTCTCCTTCATCATCTGACTCTTCTGCTCCTCTTCCTCCCTCAGTGCAGCCCTCCTGGCCTCCTCTTCCTCATCTAGAAACTGGTGAAGCTTCTTAAACTGCTCCTTAATCTGCCTCTCTGTGTGTCGGGCCTGGACCTTAATGTGTTCTGCTGTTTGATCAAACTTCACTTTGACTTCTCCAAAAACCTTTAACTTCTCCTTTAAGGACTCCAGAGTTTCCTGAAGTTTCTTTTGTTGCAGTTCAGCTTCATCGATGGGTCTGAATCTGTGGTTGCTGTGTTTTTCTGAATCTCTGCAGATGAGACACACTGGCTGCTGATGGTCCAGACAGAAGAGTTTGAGTTTCTCAGAGTGCAGACTGCAGAGAGCCTCGGAATCTCCATCTCATCAGACAGAGTTTACAGAAGCTGTGGCTACATGACAAAACAACAAGATCTCTGAAGACCCTGACAGACCGGACAGCAGAAATCCTCCTCTGATTTGGAAGCCATTTGTCTCTGAGTGAAGCTGAAAACACAGAAAGTAGGTTACAGTCAGTCATGACTCCCCTCCCTCTTCGTCTACTAACTTTCACCTTGTCACCTTCACCTTCAGTGTGTGGAGCGTCAGCAGGTTGAAGCAGCGGTGTTGTAGTTCTCCACTTTTCTCTCCTATAGCTGAACTTACTCAGAGGAAGTTGTTAGTTTGTTCTGAAGGTGAAGCTGATCATCTGTTTCCTAGTTTTCTGTGGTCAGTCAGGTGAGGGGTGGAGACCGAGCTGAATGCTGTCACGTCACATGTAACACAGGGGTATGTTTCAGTCCACTGTATTGAATCACTGTTGAAAATGTAGACTGACAGTGTGCAAGCTTTGCTAGGTGTGCTTCATGCTCTGTGAACAACTGTCTTTGACATTATCACGTGAGGTCAAATGTGAGTGTTTGATCAATCTCTTTGGAAGGGATGAAAAGACAGCTTTGTAAGTGGGGGATAAGCTGCAGACCTCTTCAGGTCATAACTCAGCAGTTGACTGAAGGGATAAGGACATTTTCTTAATATGCTGTTGCTTTAAGCCAGAAAAACTGATAAAATTTAAAGACCTTTGCCTCCAGAGCAGCTCCGTGCATTACAAAAGGTTGTTGTGCACTTGTTGTCCTCGGTCTGACTTTGGTCTGGGATCCTTGCTGCAAACTCAAAAAATGTCAACAAGTTATCTTTTAGAAATGACTCTGAACTGGAAATGCAACCAACGGTAATGTTTCTTGGCTCCTGCATGTCACATGAGACAGAGCTGCTTTCAGTTATTAGTGTATTGGACATTTTCATGTTTATATTTGAGAAAAATTTACTTCTGTTTTCATCGTTAGGTCCTATTGTCAACCTTTTTATATGTAGAGAAATTTCACTTATTGTCTGATCTGACCATTTGAAGGGGTGGTGATGGAACAGTGGATAAGTCACATGACTTTGGTGTGAGAGACCCGGGTTTGTTTCCCCACTGTGATACGTCCACCGATGTGTCCCTGAGCAACACACTTAACCCCTAGTTGCTCCAGAGGCGTGCGACCTCTGACATATATAGCAATTGTAAGTCGCTCTGGACAAAAGTGTCAGCTAAATAATTAAATGTACTTTACTTGAGTATTTTCTTTTCATTCCCACTTTTTTCTTCTACCCCATTACATCTCAGAGGGAAGTATTGTAGTTAGGCTACTTCATTACATTTATCTGACAGCTTCAGTCAGTTACTCTACAAATTAAGATTTTTACAACACATGAAGACTTAATAAAATATGTTTCCGATACAGAATAGTTAAAAATGAGCTCCACCTCAACAATTACAGCATCAAAATCCAGTTGTCATGAATGCACAAGTAATAATAAAAATAATAATGTAATGTGTAATAGTGGAAATTGTGTATTGTTGGTGAGGGATTGCGCATATAATTGAGTTACAACAAACCGTTGTCTTTTAAGAATTTATTAATAAAAGAGAATGACAGAAGTACTACAACACAAGAAAGTAGACCTAGACCCTACATCTGGGCCAAATATTAATAGTATTAGTGACGACTGAGTTGTTGCTGGGTGTAAATTACATTGTGAAATCAGCTTCCTAGAAGTGGTTCCTGGTCTTCATGGCTTCACACACACAAGTCATAATAATAAAAAAAAAAAAACAATTTAAAATGACACATAAAAAGTTTAAACAAACCAGAAACTATAAATCAGAAACTAAATGAAATAATTTTAGATGTGAAATGGTCGACAATATAAACAAAAAGCTGATTTTCAAACTAAATAACAAAAAGAATGTAAAAAAATAAATAAAAAAAATCTAAGAAAAATAAAATATTTTTGGAATAATGAGACAACAGAAGGAGCAGATGCAGCTCAACAGGTTACTTTTCCCCTTTAAGAAATAAACAACATGAATATGATCCTCTTTATCTCCAATTTATATATTAGTCCATGGACAGACTTACATATAAGAGCAAGTTAAGGATAAAAAACAAACAAATATAAAAGACATAAACAGTAATAATACAACATGCATAAAAGATTAAAACAGTCAAAAAACATTTTTCTTTCTGCAGTGAGTGCTTTTACTCTTCTCTACCTGATTATACTTAAGTCACATTTTTAATGCAGGACTTTTACTTGTAATAGAGTATTTTTACAGTAAGTTATTATAACTTTCTCTTAAAGTAACGGATCTGAATACTATATATATATATATATATATCTCTCTCTATCTGAATACTAGATAAATATAACCGAGTAACTTGAATCATCATTGAACTCCTCCAAGACAATTAAGCAAATCGACCTTAAAATTTTCGCTGTGCAATGAAAAGATATTGGAGATGAAAAATAAAAACTTTTCCCGTCCGTGTCATCGAAAATCAATGTTTCACCATGAAACAGGAAGTTGTAGTAATTTCAGTGCACATGCTCATATCTGTACCAAACTTTACAAGAATGATAAGAGTCCCGCCCTGATAAGAGCGCTTCACGTGCAAGGGCCCGTCCAACACTGATTTCAGCTTTAATTTATTATGTGTTTTCCTTTAGTATTGGTCGTGTCCATGCAGAATTTCCATCGCAAAGTCAAGATATAAAAAGTTTAAACAAACCAGAAACTATAAATCAGAAACTAAATGAAATAATTTTAGATTGACAATATAAACAAAAACCTGATTTTCAAACTAAATAACAAAAAGAACATACAAAAATAAAAAATAATAAAAATCAAAGAGATAACTTCTTCGAGGCAACTGAAGGGCCAATTGTTAAAATGCAGTTCTGAACAGGACTGGGACACTAACTGAATGTTTAGGACCAGTGGACTGATTTGGATTGAAGCTCTGTGTAAACTGTAGTGTTTGCTGAAGTGAAGCCAAATATTAATAGTATTAGTGACGACTGGGTTGTTTTTAGATGCTGCTACAGGAAGCTGGAAGTAAATTACAGTGTGAAATCAGCTTCCTAGAAGTGGTTCCTGGTCTTCATGGCTTCACACACACAAGTCATAATAATAAAAACAACAAACAATTTAAAATGACACATAAACAGTTTAAACGAACCTGAAACTATAAATCAGAAACTAAATGAAATAATTTTAGATCGATAATATAAACAAAAGCTGACAATAAATCTAAGAAGAATAGAACATTTTTGGAATAATGAGACCTGTTGAGCTGCACCTGCCCCTCCAGAAGGAGCAGATGCAGCTCAACAGGTTAAATTCAGAGACTTTTCCCCTTTAAGAAATAAACACCATGAATATTTATCTCTAACTGTTCTGTTCTACTGTCACACGGATCTTCAGAGGTGATATCTGCAGTTTATTCCCAGTGAAAATAAATGGAAACATCCTCTCAGTGAAAGTGTGTGAGAAGGTGTGTATGTGTGTGTTAGTATCAGGATCACAGAACGACAGCTCTCCAATATTCCAGTCCAGATTCACTCTGATCCTCTGGGGCTTCTTCTGCACTCTGAGAACTGTGGATGAACCTAGTGAGCATGCTGAGTATTTATCTTTATGCAACCCCATTGTCCATAATCCAGACTGGATGAGTCCCTTCCTCTGGACAGACTCTGCTAACACACCCAGAAACCAGACTGAACAGTCTCCAACCTCGACATCCCAGCTGTGGGTCCCTGAGTTGAAGCCCTCAGAGCCCAGAACAGACGGGAATTTATCAAACCTCTCTGGATTCCCAAGAAGCTGCTGCTCCTCTCCTCGTCTCACGCTGGTCAGGTCTTCAGACAGGATGAGTCTTGGATCAGCAGTGTTTGGGTCCAGAATCACAGGAGTGTAGGAGACCATGTCCTTCATCTTGCTCCAGATGTTGAAGGTCAGGTTGCCCAGGTGTTTGGCCTGGTCTATCAGAGCTCCTGAGGGCAGCTGTGGATCATCCAGCAGGGGGCGCTGCTGGACTCTTTCCACTGCATCCTTGTAGTTGAGCAGGAATGCAGCATCTTCAGCTCTCAGCTCCTCCTCTGTGGCTCTGACTGTGTCTGAAAGAGCTGCTATCTCTCTGCTCAGAGCCTCCATCTTCTCCTTCATCATCTGACTCTTCTGCTCCTCTTCCTCCCTCAGTGCAGCCATCCTGGCCTCCTCTTCCTCATCTAGAAACTGGCGAAGCTTCTGAAACTGCTCCTTAATCTTCCTCCCTGTGTGTCGGGCCTGGACCTTAATGTGTTTTGCTGTTTGATCAAACTTCACTTTAATATCTTCAGAAACCTTTAACTTCTTCTTTACAGGCTCCAGAGTTTCCTGAAGTTCCTTCTTGTGTTGTCGTGCAGCTTCATCGATGGGTCTGAATCTGTGGTTGCTGTGTATTTGTGAATCTCTGCAAACGACACACACTGGCTGCTGATGGTCCAGACAGAAGAGTTTCAGTTTCTCAGCATGCAGATTGCAGAGAGCCTCTGAATCTCTCTGATCTCTCTCCAACAAATAGGTCTGACACATGTTATTTAACGCCCGGTTAAATGGTGGTTTCTTCCATGAACATACTGTCTTACAAACTGGACACTCGCGTGCTTCTTTCTGTCTCCACCATCTCCTCAGACAGTCTTTACAGAAGCTGTGGCTACATGCCAGAAGAACAGGATATCTAAAAACGTCATGACAGACCGGACAGCAGAGATCCTCCTCTGATCTGGAAGCCATTTTGTCTCTTGGAGAAGCTGAAAACACAGAAGAGAGGCTACCGTGAGTCCTGGCTCCCCTCCCCCCCTCTCACTTTCACTTTTAGCTGTGTTTTTAGTCAAACTCACCTTCAGAGTGTGGAGCGTCAGCAGGTTGAAGCAGCAGTGTTGTAGTTTTCCACTTTTCTCTCCTATAGCTGAACTCACTCAAAGGAAGTTGTTAGTTTGGTCTGAAGGGGAATCTGATCGTCTGTTTATCGGTCCGTGTCTCTGCAGAACAATCTGGTTTGACTCTGGTCCGTGAGTGGAGTTTGTCTAACTCCACCCCCTTGGTTGCTTTCACTTCCCAGGTGTGTGTTTCAGTCCCGCCTCTTGATTCTTTGCTGAAAATGTAGACTGATTGTGTGCTGCAAGTTTTCGCCAGAGTAACGTTACAGTACTTGAATAAAAGTAGCTACTCCACAGAAACAAAGACAAATAAATCAGCTCCACTCCTCAGAAAGCTAACACTAACTACATGTACAACTTGTTCTAATGCATTCATGTAAATAAAACATCCGCATACTCCATAGGCGAAAAACCAAATGTTGAGAATAATCACCACCGTCTAGGCTGGACTGCCTACAGCTGGAAAACAAAAATAAAACACCATGTGCTCTAAATCCTCAAAGAAGGTTCTTCAAATGTTCCTTTGTTTGTAAATGTTTTAAAAGGGAAAGGAAACCTGAAGAAATTAAACATTTTGGGACAGGGCCAAACGCTTTCTGAGAGAGGATATGAGAACGGCTGTGAAACGGATTTTCTTGAACGCGGCCTAATTTTTCCCGGGAAAAAGTATCACGTCATAAACTCCGCCCCTGCTCTGACGCTGAGAGAAAGGTGAGTTTGTTTTATTGTGCGGTCCGGCGCCGCTTTCTCTCACAGCCTTCTGAAGGGTTGAATTGTTGTTGGTTGTATAAAAGTACTGTGATGTTATCACAATTATTATTATTAGTGTTTATTATTTTAATAATTGTTCATTTATTCATTTAAAAGGGACAGTGCACATTAATGAACATCTCTGCTTGCATGTATATAAATATCCTGGCTTTAGCCAGATTTAGTATCTAGTCAGTACGATACAAAAAAGACAACAGAATAAAACAATACAATTAAGAAATTAAAGAAATTATGAAATAAAAAAAAATGTTTTTTTAATAAACCACAATATACAAGGCAGTCATTTTCTTTCACTGTGCAGGTCATGAACATCATGAACTACCAAAGTAAATCAGTTATAAGGTGACAGTAATCTGTTGTACAGTGATTTACAAGATTTTGTACTAAATATTATGTTATTAAAGTGCTTTTTATGCATAAGTGCTATTCAAGCACATTTATCAGGAAAATGTGTTCCTCCATGTCAAAAAACAAGACATATTTTCACTTTAAGATATATTTTTATTTTAGTTAGTTAGTTTGTTTATTGTTTAATATTTATATAGTATTATTTAATTGTGACTTTTTGCTTTAGGAACATACTTGGACTAAAAGAGCATGCCAACACAGCCATTTGAATAATACTGAATTGTGTATATGTGTCAAACCGTAGACGGGATTAACAGAAATCTAATGCACTGTAGCTTTAAGACGCCGCCTCTTTTAAACAGACTGACCAATAAGAAGGCACAACGTCAGAGCCTTATTTGAATATTCATTATTTTTCGCGGGCTTTGATCGTCACGTGGTTTTTTCGCGCGAAAAAGTGACTCTCCGCAGGAAGCAGAAGTTTCTTTACAAGAGGCAGAGAGAGACAGACTGGAACAATGGCGGTGAGTGAAAACTGATTAAAATCAGACGAAATGATCGGTTTCTAGTGTCTACTGAAGGAGTTAGAAGTTCAATTAAGCAGATTTAAGTTTGTAGGTTGAGTTTCATGTGTAATAAGTTGACATTTTCATTTTCGCCGGCATCACAGCGATGCCAGAGGGTTAGATTATTACTTAATATATCAGAAGAATGAATAAAACTACGTTTAAAGTCAAACCTGCACTGAATAAAAAATGCATTTTTTCGCCTTTGCACCGTTGCGAACAGCACGAACAATGATTATGTGTCTGTTTTGTTTTGTCCTCTGGCTGTAAAAGACTTGACATGTGGCTGATGAGCGTTTTATTATCTGCTAACGTTAAATTAATAAAAATAAAGTGTCAGTTTATGTCTGTGGATTAACTAACTTACAGAGTCAACTGTAATGCAGATGCAGTTAAAAGCAGTCAAGTGAGAGATAATAACAGACATTAACGTAATTTACCTAATGAAACGGTCTTAAACTCAAAGCTTTTACTTATCGACTCACTTCCACGTTGTGACCATTACTATTTCTAACTCTGCGTCCTTTTTTTATTATGTTAAACCTCTTCAGTTTATCCTGTTACCTTTTGTGACTATTCTGTTTTTCACCACATGGCCACCAGCTTCTGGTAAAATCATTGTTTCTTAGTTATTCTATGTTTGAGATTTATTACCATGTTATGAGGAGTAAATCAACTCAAAAGACATAAAGTTACCAGGGTTGCACACATTTTCTTCAAGACTCCTTTCTGTTAGTTTTTGTCTTGTATCAAATTATGTTATGTGGTAAAATAGTTCATCCTCTGATAGGAGAGGAACTGTATTTGCAGAAAATAGTTGATACTGACAAGGTACAAATGCACTGTTTAAGGGCTTTTAAACTTAGCGGTAACTTTTAAATCCATGGATGACAATCAGTAGTGATGAAAGACATCTGTTACTTAAGTAAAAGTCAATAGTCCGGTTCAGTCTCTATTATCTATTATGGGAAATTTGGCAAAAACAGACACGCAAACTCATAAAACAAATATAATTTAGAAATAGTTACACATTTAAAAACAATAAGAAACCGTAAGTAAATGCACATTTACAGGTAAAATAAGCACAAGTACAAAATACATTAAATAGCCATCAAAAAAAAAACCACTGTAAAATGATGGTGCCCAGTAATACACTGTACATTAGTACTGCAAGTCTGGTAGATAAGTCATGTCGTATTGAAATAACAATAATTCGAGTAATCTGTGTGTTCGCTGATAGGATTCCTCCGAGTCGTACCACATGGCCACCAGCCCCAGCCGGGCCTCCAGGAGGGGAGACCTGACCTCCAGCCCCGGACGAGACCTGCCGCCCTTCGAGGATGAGTCGGAGGGGCTGCTGGGGGATGTAACCCTGCCCGGAGAGGAGGAGGAAGATGGAGACGGAGAGGAGCTGATCGGGGATGGGATGGAGAGGTGAGGATTGGCTCTGAATTTTAAATAGCAGATTTGTTTTTGTGTCAGAAAGTCTTGGGGGGGGGCTCGATTACAAGTGTTTTCCTCGTCTCTCTCTGCTCAGGGATTACCGTGCTATCCCGGCGCTGGATCAGTATGAAGCAGAGGGTTTGGACCTGGATGACGAGGATCTGTCGGAGCTGTCGCCTGGAGCCCGGGCCGCTGCCGAGGAGGCTATGAGGAGGAGGGACAGGGAGCAGGGCCTCAGCGGACGGCTGAGGAGAGGACTGCTCTACGGTGAGGAGTGAATGGATGCCAATATGGGTTTTTCTTGTGGTGTGTGTGTGTGTGTGTGTGTGTGTGAATGAGGCTCATTTCCCAAAAGGAAATCATCTAATGTGTAATAAAAATAAATCAGACAAATGTTACAAGACACAGATGTTAGGCAGAGGTTGTGTTTAAAGGGGTCTAGGTGGGAAGGTGGTGGGATGTAAAGATGACTGAGTGAATAATCCATTCATTTTATCGTTATCCAGACAGCGAAGATGAAGACGACGAGCGCCCGGCGGCTCGGCGAAGGCGATTGGCCGAGCGGGCGGCAGAGGGCGTTGCAGATGGAGAAGAAGAGGAAATGATCGAGAGCATCGAGAACTTGGAGGATATGAAGGTTGTAAAGCTGCTGCTCGAGTAATAAAAGCACAGATGCAATGATGTCCTGGTACCTTCCGGCTGTGTTAGAGGGTCTGACGGTATGTTCCCGGTCTGCAGGGCCACACGGTGAGGGAGTGGGTGTCCATGTCAGCTCCCAGGCTGGAGATCTACAACCGCTTCAAGAACTTCCTGCGGACCCACGTCGACGAAAACGGCCACAACGTCTTCAAGGAGAAGATCAGCGACATGTGCAAAGGTAGCTTAACTTTCTCAACTCACGTTTTATAAAATGCTGAAATGTGTTCATACATACTCTCTGATAAATGGACAGTTAACTGCTTTCTGGTTTTAAATGAATGAAATAGTTTCCTCTTCTTACAGAGAATAAGGAGAGTCTGGTTGTAAACTATGAAGACCTCGCAGCCAGAGAGCATGTTTTGGCCTACTTCCTACCAGAAGCTCCAACTGAGATGTTGAAGGTGAGTGTAGCTCTGTTGTTGTTAGTGTTAATAAACGTCGTCTGAGACCGTTTAATGTGTTTAATGATTCAAACACACAGTACATTTTTGTGGTCTGACGTGCGAGAGCCTCCCATCTTCATCTACCTGATGTTTCTGGTGCGGTTCATATGAAATCCGGTGCATTTGCCATTTTGACTCGGTTCGTTTTATGCTGATGAGAAAGCGGTCAGTGAAACTGTGGTGCTGACTAAACTACAGGACCACCTGAAATGTCCACTTTAGTAAGAAGAATTCAAATGTACTTCTCTTGGTTTGTTAAAGTGTAAGCATGAAACAGACCAACAATAGCCTGTTTATTTTTCCCTTAGTCTGAACCAACCCGACAACAGGTGTCTAAGTGACCTGAATCAAACTCACAGTCCACCTACATTGTGTCTGTTTTGTCTTCAGGTTTTCGATGAAGCAGCTAAAGAAGTCGTGCTGGCCATGTACCCGAAATACGACCGCATTGCCCACGAGATCCACGTCCGCATCTGCAACCTGCCGCTGGTGGAGGAGATCCGCTCCCTCAGGTAATATTTTATCTTTTGTCCCCGCTTCTGTCTGCAACGTGACTTGCGAGAGTTCACGTCATCAAGGTGGTTATATAATGACTGAATTAGCCATGCGACTATAAATTATTGTTCCTATTTTCTATCAATATATTGGGGCCAAAACATACATTTTTCTCAGAAATGCTTACGTCATCGATGTTGAAGTGAACGCTATTTATGTTGAAAACTTGTAATTACAATAACTCTGATATAACATGAACGCAGCATGAGGTTTCTCTTTTTTCCCTGAAATGTTTTTCCTGATCTGAAAGGAGGATCTAAGGGTTGAGGGTGTTGTGTGTTCTACTGATTGTGAAGCCCTTTAATTTATGGGTTATATAAATAAAATTAACTTGCTGATTTCCTAGAACTCTAATCACAAACACTGCATGAAACACTTTCTACTCGGAGCAGCTCAGACATCTGAATCAATAAAAGCAGTTGGAATGGTAAATAATAGCTGTTATATAAATGCCAAGGGCCATAAAAATGTTTTGGAAGATTGAAACTAGTAAAATAGCAACAGCGCTGTCAGAGTCTGAAAGTTTCAGCACTTTTACAAACAGGTTTTCTTCTTCTTCTCCTCTTCTTCAGGCAGCTCCACCTGAACCAGCTGATCCGGACCAGCGGCGTGGTGAGCAGCTGCACCGGCGTCCTCCCTCAGCTCGGCATGGTCAAGTACAACTGTAACAAGTGTAACTTCGTGCTGGGACCCTTCTTCCAGTCGCAGAACCAGGAGGTGAAGCCGGGCTCTTGTCCCGAGTGTCAGTCCATGGGCCCCTTTGAGATCAACATGGAGGAGGTGAGAGGCCCCTCGTGCGGTGGAGATGTTGGTGTGAAGGTTGAATGTTTTAAGTTGATAAATGTTGATGCAGAAAATATGAAGACCTTCACATACTCATTATCCTGATTAAATGGTTACTGCTGTGTGTATGAACACATTTTTAAAACACTTCATTTCTGGTTTTATAACTTTACTTTATATGTGACAACATCGTTTGTGTCTGCTGCGTTATTTTAATTTAAAAGCAACACAAAGCTTTTATTGATAAGCTGGTTCATTCTTCTGTCATGGATCAGCCAATGGTCTGTCTCTTTGTTTCTGTGAATTAACCAATCGTCTTCCTCCTGCAGACTGTGTACCAAAACTACCAGAGAATCACCATCCAGGAAAGCCCCGGTAAGGTCGCTGCCGGCCGCCTCCCGCGCTCTAAAGACGCCATCCTGCTGGCCGACCTGGTGGACAGCTGCAAACCCGGAGACGAGATTGTGAGTGGCGTTTAAAACACGTTTGTCCTTACAGACATTTGAGACGAGCCTACAATGAAATCACAGATCCAAATTTCTCAAAATAACATTTATAAAACAGCTACACCTGCATGCAAAATGTTAATGTTGTGATTACCGGGTGTTTAAAATCTGCACCATGGTGAAAAAGAAACTTAAAAATGATTTTATTTATCTTTCTATCAGGAATTGACGGGCATCTACCACAACAACTACGACGGCTCTCTGAACATGTCCAACGGCTTCCCAGTGTTTGCCACAGTGATCATGGCCAACCACATCACCCGCAGAGACGAGGGCGTCGCCGTGGCCGAGCTGACGGACGAAGACATCAAGGCCATCGTCGCCCTGTCCAAGGACGAACGCATCGGAGAAAGGGTGAGGAGGCACACGCTAACGCACCCTACATCCCCAACCTTAACCAGAACCCTAAAACCAGGTCTTAACCCCCAGTTTTTGTCCCCACGGGTTAAACTGAGCGATAAGAACACGATCAACATCAGAGTCAGCCTCTCGGGTTCCTTGTGAAATTAGTGGTCAAATTTAGAAAAATAAGAAATTTAAACTGCAGAAGATTTGTTGCCATAGATGGCCATGACAGCTACAATCAAATATGTTATTACTCTTCAGTAAGTGCAGCTGCTACACAACCTGCTGGGAAAACAGCCTTTTCACCCCCAAAATATCGTTAAAACGGGATCTTCAAACGATTGATGATGCTTTGTGTTATTTCCAGGTACAATCCTAACCAACAGTTTTTATAATCACAGCTGTACGGACGTTTCCTAACTGTCTGTCGTGTCTGTAGATCTTTGCCAGCATGGCGCCGTCCATCTACGGCCACGAGGACATCAAGAGAGCCCTGGCCCTGTCGCTGTTTGGAGGAGAACCCAAAAATCCAGGTAGGCGAGTCAACTGCAAACCTGAAGCAACAACATCCTCCCTCCCACTCCGTTACCCACAAACTCTCTTCTCTCTCTTCCAGGTGGGAAACACAAGGTGCGTGGAGACATCAATGTGCTGCTGTGTGGAGACCCGGGAACCGCCAAGTCCCAGTTCCTCAAGTGCGTATCAACACATGATGCATGGAAAAATATCACTTTTTTTCCTGCATCTTTCTTTCTTTATAACAAAATTACCAGGAATAAATTTAAATAGAAAGTTCTGATGGATTTGTCTTTGCAGGTATGTTGAGAAGGTGTCGAGTCGTGCTGTGTTCACCACGGGCCAGGGGGCCTCGGCCGTCGGGTTGACTGCTTACGTCCAGAGACACCCGGTCACCCGTGAGTGGACGCTGGAGGCCGGCGCACTGGTGCTGGCTGACCGTGGCGTCTGTCTGATCGATGAGTTTGATAAGGTGAGCTGAGACACGACTGCTGATTGTGAAAGCGTTCATACTATTTCCTGTCAGACATCACTATTAAATCGTGACATAAACAACGGTCTAACCCCACTCTGTCCTCCAGATGAATGATGCAGACAGGACGAGTATCCACGAGGCCATGGAGCAGCAGAGCATCTCCATCTCTAAAGCCGGCATCGTCACCTCGCTGCAGGCCAGGTGCACCGTCATCGCAGCTTCTAACCCCATTGGTACGTAACACGGTGTGAAATCTGTTAGAAACTCATGGTGCACCTCTCGCCTTATTTGTCCACACTGACAAAGCTGATATTCATCAACCGTTACTAATCCTTTCAGAGCGAAATGAAAGTCAGTGAACATCCTTTTCTGCTTTTATCATGCATAGTATTTTATCGTTGCAGAGAAAAGCAACGTTGAAAGCTTTAGACTGAGTTCAGAAGGCCTATTTCATGCTACAAGAGACTACAACATTCATATTACAGTTTTCAAAAACTTTATGTAAATCCTCACAAATGAAACGTTTGGCATTTGTGCTTTATAAATGACTGAACTAATTAATTTATCATCATAATAGTTACAGATTCAACCACGAACTCAAACCTTCGATATTGAATTTAGGGTTTTCTCCTAACATCATGTTCTTATTTACATTCATCACGTACAGAATAAAGCTCCACTGTCTCCTGCGAGTTTAGTTTTATTATTGGTTCTAAAAGAGCTAAAGAAGCGTGTAAATTGTATGTTTAAGTATGAATATGTTTTAGGAAGTTGTTGCTGGCGGTGCGTTTGCTTTCCTGTCCGTGTTTTCATGTCTCTGTGCTTGTTTCTGTGCAGGCGGCAGGTACGACCCCTCCCTGACCTTTGCTGACAACGTGGACCTGACGGAGCCCATCGTGTCTCGTTTCGATGTGCTGTGTGTCGTCCGAGACACTATTGACCCTGTACAGGTACAAACGCACATCTTCATAACCCTTTATTTCTTTCTTTAACTGTAACGTCTGTGTAGCTGGAGCAGCAGGTAGAAAGTTTTCAGGCATGCCAACAAACACCTGTTCGGCGATATTTGCCGTTTTGAAACCAAAATGGGACAACTACGTGATTTGTGCAGATCCGATGAGAAACCCAACAGCCAATCATGTGAAAGCAACACAGAATGAGAGCCGCACTGCTTTAGCTTCTGTAATACTTATAGATTTTGAATTGTCACCTGCCACCTGAATGTTGTTTCCCTTTTTACATAAATAAAAACATTTTCATCATAAATTGTTGTAGGACAGGCAGAACAGGAAATGTCACTAGAATGTTATCTATACAACATGTAAGCTTAAAAAAAGACCCCTCTTATGTTGTCTCTGTACGTTTCTGTGCTTGCGTATCCTTCTCACCTTTTTTACCCCTGACCTGCTAAGTTTACAAAATAATTGAGTAAAGTTTTTGTTTTGAAGTTAAATTATTAAAGCGGAAGGGAATTTAATCTGAATTAAAAATATAAATCAGGCTGGTGCTCTTTTATTTATTTATTTTTGCAACCAGGATGAGATGTTGGCACGCTTCGTGGTTGGCTCCCACATCAAACATCACCCCAGCAACAAGGAAGGGGGCGTGGCCTTAGAAGACGTGATTCTGCCCAACACGTCTGACGTGCCGACGATTCCCCAGGAACTCGTGAAGAAGTACATCATCTACGCCAAGGAGCGGGTACGTACACACGCTCTTAACAAATGTTTTTGTCATAAAATGAAACATCATTAAATGAGTAAGTACTTTAATTGACAAGAATCTTAACGTTTGTACAAAATAAACCATAAAACACTTCTTTTTTTGTTTGTGTTTTGCCTCCCAAAATTTATTCTAACCCCTTTTTTTTGTTTTATAAAGCTGATATTTTTCATGCACCTAAAGTTTAGAGTTATATAACATCAATAGAATATAAAGTTTTGTGTTTGGTTCAACAGGATATGAAAGACCAGGCTAAAGTTTTATTACTAATTTTCCGTAAATGTTTTGTCTTGTGTCTGCAGGTTCATCCCAAACTGAACCAGATGGACCAGGACAAGGTGGCTCGCATCTACAGTGACCTCCGCAAAGAGTCGATGGTGAGTTCATTCAACTTTTCCAGCCAATGACATTAAAACACATTTATAAATCACAAACAAACCTACAAAAGAATGTAATTTAAATAACATGAATGTATCTAATGGTCATTAGTTTGACTGTAGTCGTGACATTTGACCCTCAAAGCGTGTAAAAAGTAGTTTGCTGCTGCTTTGAATGGCAGTTTGGACTTAATGATTAAAAATTTGTTAATCTTGGTTTGGTCTCACTAACAGGCCACAGGCAGCATCCCCATCACGGTTCGTCATATTGAGTCGATGATCCGCATGGCGGAGGCCCACGCCAAGATACACCTGAGGGACTATGTGCTGGAGGATGACGTCAACATGGCCATCAGGGTCATGCTAGAGAGCTTCATCGACACGCAGAAGTTCAGCGTCATGAGGAGCATGAGGAAGGTGCGAGGCTGCCGGCGGAAATTTAAATGTGATCTGAGTCGTATTTTTCATCAATGAAGTAATTTGGTGCCATATAAACTAGAGTAGGAGAGTCTGTGGATCTCACCCCACTGCACAGCGAGCCGCTAACAGCAGCTTTATGGTCGGAGCAAGCTAGCTGCTGGGTGCTAGTCAAGAATATTGCCGAGCAAACTCATATGTGTAGTTTGACCGTGTCTTTTTCACACGTAACGCTATCAAGTCAATTTACATACTGCAGCAACACACGCACGCACACAGAGCGGTGCGGAGCAGAATGGGCTATTTAGATTGATTCAGATTCATTCTTTATTGTCCTCAGTGGAGGAAATTTGTTTTCAGTCTGTACAAAGAGCACCTTCAACATGGATTCTACATATAGTACACATATACAGACAATGTACACACAACTACACGACATCATTAACTTGTCTGTGAGGTTAACGCTCTTGTAGCGCAGGGTACTAGAGCTGGCCCGCATGTTTTGTTTTTTTTTAAAGTCGGTGTTGTCTTGTGTTTCTGTCCAGACGTTTTCCCGCTACCTGGCCTTCCGCAGGGACAACAACGAGCTGCTGCTCTTCATCCTCAAGCAGCTGGTGGCCGAGCAGGTCAGCTATCAGAGGAACCGATACGGAGTCCAGAACGACACCATCGAGATACCAGAGAAAGACCTGCATGAGAAGGTGACCATAAATGATGAGGACATGATGAGCATGTGAAATGGCTTGTGTAAAAATAACTGCGGTATAGATAACATCAATAGATTTGTGTTACCACGCTACCTTTAGCAATGCTAACGTTAGCATTAATCACATTTAGAGAATGTTTAGGTATTAAATAACTTGTGCTTTCTATGGTGGTACTGTCAGACCAAACTTAAAATGTTTTTGCATCACTAGTATTAAGGAGTTAATTGACAATTCCTTTTTTTATCCATCCAACTTTCCTTCTCTTTACTCACCAACATTACAGCCTCTTGAACTGTAATGAGAGCAACAGACATGATACATTTTGTCTTGTTAGGTTTCTCACAGAATTAATGCTAATTAGCTGATGTGACCTAACTTTTAAAGTTTGTCATTTTATCTGGTTAGCAGTGGCTACAGATTACAAGCTGCTAGCTGAATGTTTTGTACAGTTACTTTTTGTTTATGAGAACGAGAGTTGTAGCTCAGCGAAACTGCATTTTGCCAACGCCTAGTTTTCACTGTGTAGTTAAATGTGCACTGTCATGAAGGAGAGCAGCTTTGAAACATCAGCAGGCTGAGGTGACTAAACACTACTGTTCAGATCAGGATCAGACTCCCGATTCTTTTGTCTAGAGACACACCTACTTGGGAGCCAAAACTCTAGCCTTACTTATAACACACTGATTTTGGTCGACGCTGAGAAATGAATCCAAGCTCTAATCACCTCCTTTTGTCGGTCTCTGTCCCTTCTTTTCCCCGTCCTCTCCTCTCCCTCCTCCAGGCGAGACAGATCAACATCCACAACCTGACGGCCTTCTACGACAGCGACCTCTTCCGCTCAAACAAGTTCAGCCACGACGGGAAGAAGAAACTGATCGTGCAGCAGTTCTAAGAGCCTCACCAGCCATTCCTCCTCCTCCTCCTCCTCATCTCCCAATAATGGCGCTTCATGAACTCTATTTCTGGGCCCAAAAAAGTGCTTGGGTTTCATTGGGTTATCATTGTTGGACTCCAGGGTGAAACTAAACTGATGCCTGGAAGGACATTTTGTGAAAACATAGATGTAAATAGAAGATTATCGGAGTGGGAAACATACAAAATTAACTTGGAGCTTTACATGTTGACCTAATTTGAAAGAATTTACAAAGAGGTGGATGTGAGTAAGGAAGATCCTTCACAAAATGGTGAAATGGCCACTGATCACGCAGCGTTTCCACTGGATTCTTTGGGCATCTGCGGTGACGGGAAGTAAACAGTTTACAGTGGAGATGCACGTTCAGAAAGTCAAATTATCATTTCATGTTCACACCTGATGTTGTGCTGCGCCGCCACAAATGAAATGAAGTGTTTGACTCCAAAATGAGAGCTAATGTTTGGTAAAACAAGTGTGATGGGAGTGAGTAAGCTGCAAAAAAGAAAAGAATAAAAATAGGGAGTTTAATACCACAATTAAATTACCAAATCTAACTCTTCAGATCTTTTGGAAACACTCAGCGGTCACTCTACGCTGTTCTTCCTCCTGTGTTTTCTGTCTCTATCTGTCCTCAGGTGGGGCTAGTTGTAAATAAATGTACATGTTTATGTCCGTGTTGTTGAAGAAACAAGATTTATTGTTCGCTTAAATTCCTCTCTTACTGGCTGTTGTCACGATGGAAGTTATTTTACAGACTCACTTGTATTTCTGTCCCGGTGTGTTTTGAGGTTTTTATGTTCACGTGTAAAGTGAATGTAGCTGGAATTTAAGCCTCCATTACTGTCAGATAATTAATAAACACAAAGTACTTAGAGCTTAAAATAAACCAACGTTTGATGTTTGTACTGTTGGAATTCACTTGATGATGGATTGTAGGTCTGTTTTGATATTAAACTTGTATTTGTTAAACATGTCTTTTGTTCGCTCTTTCCTCCACAGGGGCTTTTGTCTTGATTTCAGGCTGCGCTCATTAATGAACTCTCATCTAATTGTGTTGTGTCTGCAGTGTTGGAGCTCTTTAATTTCAGCTGACTGTTGGCTGCCTGTGGTGTAAACTTACTGACTGTGCACGGTGGCTCAGAGTAAATTAAACGGCTGAATGTCTTGACAGTAAAAATAAAATGTTAATGCAGGAGTTTAGCCTAAATTCCCAACCTGGGAAAAACAAACAGGTTCTCTTGTAAATTTGACAATTTTTAAAACTTTTATCTGCTATAAACATCAACTAGCCTTAACATATTTTGGGAGACTGATATACCATGCACATTTGGTGACTATAAACACCTGTACAATAGTGCAGTTGCATCCAAAAATAGCCTAATCCTGCGCTAAATGGTACCAGCTTGTATTAATCTTCAGACATTAGCGTGTTGTGCAGTGTTTCACTCACCTCTCCGCATTTCTGAATCTTTGTTGTATTCTCTGGTGTTTCTGTAATTTGTCCCCCAAAACAACATTTTACTTAAGTAAAAGTAGAAAGGTATTAGCTTCTAAATACTTAAAATACCAAACATTATGTGATGGATTTCAGAATAATGTTAATTATTATATTATTGGATTATAATTATTGACGTATTAATGTGTACATCACTTTAAATTTGTAGCTGGTAAAGTGCAGCTTATTTTATTTACTAAATATAGGCTATGGTATATATAAAAAACTATGTTTTATATTATTAATCTGAATCTGTAAAGTAACTAGTAACTAAAGTTATCAAATATTGTAAAGTAAGTAGTGGAGTATAAAAGCAGGGTACAATATTTACCACTGAGCTGCAGTGTAGTAGAAGTAGACAGTGGTATAAAATGGAAATACTCAAGCAAAGTATCTCAAAATTGTCCTTATGTGAATGTACTCCACCACTGGTAAAAAACAAACAAACAAACAAAACAAAACCTATTTATTTTTCTTGCATATTTATGTTAATTTTGCTCTTGATAATCTATTTTTTTTCCCAATATACTCATGTCTTGTTCCTGGTTTCTTTGCCTCAATTGTTCCCTTTTTTAAATCTGTGGGTTTATTTTCTCTTAAAAGTTGGGAACATGAATTTCTGAGGAGCACCTGAACGCAGCAGCAGTCAGCGGCGGCGACATCTAGCGGCCACCAGCGAGAAGGACACGCAGCGTCGTGGTGGTGCAGCAGAGCAGATCCCGGTCTGACCACAGCTCTGTCCGCACGCACAGCCTCTCTGTCCGCACCGACCCCGCAGACAGGTAGTCAGAGAGCCCGCACGCAGACAGAACAGCCAGCCATGAGCACGGCGTTTTCCTGACGGCCTCCGTTTACATCCAGAGAGCATCTGCGGCTGAAACCTGCGTGATCTGTCCATTCACACCGGAGGAGGGATGTTGAGCACTGCAGCAGACATGCAGGGCCCGCTCCTCATCACACTGATTGGTGAGTCTGTTTTATATATATATCCCCATCTGTTTTTTTCAACTAGCCGTGAACCCGCAGCTGTAGTGAGCTGATATTTTACAGGATGCACGTATTTCACGTCAAGTCGAAAACATCCACCAGATAAATCTTAGGAGACTTTGAAAAACATCACAGTCAGTGTAAACTCACTACAGAGCACCACACGCACGTTTTACCTTCCTGTGATGTGCCGTGTTGCAGTATTAATGATGGTATTAGTACTAATGATGCTGAGAATGAGGGAGCGACCAGCAGCCTGTTTTTAATGAACCATTCAGGTTAAATTCTGCAAAGTGGATGCACGCGCTGGCGGTGTGTGGGAGGCGCGCACTGCACTTAAATCAGCAGACACACACTGCAGTGTCTGGCACACACTCACACACACACACACACACACCAGCGTCGCATGAAGATGAATAGTCTTCATCACATAAATTAGTTTTAATTGAAAATACTCAAGGCTATCAGCAGTTTTGCAGTGTCATGGACAGTAATAATATATATATATTTATTTATTGATTAGGCTATGTGATGATGAACCAAAACAACACTTCATGTGAGTGATTACTTTCAAAGTCATTGGCATGTTTTGACTGTGCAATTTTAAAAAACTGAAAAGATGATGTCTTTAAATGTTTTGTTTCCGACCAACAATCATTGATATTAAACAGGGACAAGCAGCAAAAGCTGGAACCAGTGACCCCCCCCCCCCCCCCCATAAATAACTAAAATGTTGAGTCAGTTATCAAAATGAGGGCTGCAGCTGACAAGTAGCCTTTTATTTTATTATCGAATAATCTACCTGTTATTTTCTCAAGCGATTAATCGTTTTGTCTTAAAGAAATGTCAGAAAATAATCAAAATGTTGCATTCAGATTGTTTGTTTTATTCAAACATCAGTCAAAAAGCCAAATATATTCAGTTTATCATCATATGTTACAAAGAAAAGCATCAAATCATCATGACAATCTCAAACCAGCGAATAACGAAAAACTAAAATCCCAAATCAGTCATCAAAATAGATGCTGATTAACCTTCTGTGACTGACTAACGGATGAATTGTTTCAGCTCTAATGATGATTACAGATCAGCAGCAGCAGCAGCAGCACAGAATCTGTCCACATATGGAGCTCTGTCAGTTTCAGTGGTTGTTTTTGTGGGTCTTTGATGGTGCAGTTTCCTCTGAAGCTCTTTCTGGTGAATTATGGAGTCTCAGCTGTGTGTCTGTGAAGCTACACCGACGTTTTCATGATACACTTTAGTGTATCGGTCTTGGAAGTGGAAACAAAATGTTGCCTGTTCTCGATCCCGATGATAAAATACTGTTTCTGTGCTTGGTTAGGAAGGAGAGGAGGGTGAGGAAGGGGATGGCGAGCTCTCAGTCGGGGTGAAGGGGATTTGGGGGAGGGTCCCAGCCAACGATAAGCTGATTTGAGGGGTGTTAAAGCACGGAGAGAGGGGGCTTCAGGGGCAATACCCCTCCTCTCTAACATACTGAAGATGAAACTAAAGCTCGAAACGACAGGGGCAAAACTGCAGCTGTAGCATCAGATTTTATTGGCCATGTGAGCTGAAACTGAAGGCATTCTGCGGTGTTTATGGAAATTTACAACCTCCCTTTTTAATTAGCTACGTCCATAACCACAGCCCCAGCCCCATGTACGAGGCTTATATAGTACTGCAGGAAACAAAAGCTGCCTTCACATGGAAATAGTGGTGTCAATATTTTTGACATTAGAAGTCAAAGCATGGTTTTATTCTGTCATAAAACAGCTTAAGCACATAATGCACCAAACATGGACATGCAGAAACACATAATGAAACTAAATAAAACAAGCTTTAAACAACATGCTAGACCTTCAAGTGGTTTAAGTCGTGTGAACACAGTTGCTACTTCGTCTTGCTTCAGTGTTGGGATGCATTTAAGTGTCATACTTGGAACACGTAAAATATAGAAAACAAAAGTTATTATTATTAACAAATGTGAAGTGACTCATCTTATAAACACGATAACACTTAAAGTTGTTGGAACAGAAGCCAAAAATGTAAAGTAATATTTTCTGTACATTTTTATCTCCATGCAAATAATGATCTACCTGCTTTAAAGAATTCTCCACATGTTTAATATTAATTTAATATTTTAGGGAGGGGAAACACTAAATCCCTATATTTAATTTTAATTTAACTTATTAACCTTATTTAAAAGATACACACTCAGATACAATCAGCCTTAAACAGCCCACCACTTGTAATCACTCTCATAGCTAAAATCTCCAAACACAGATCAAGACTTTGGTGTCCTCTCAGTCTAAAGGCCTAAAACTGGCAACCTGCTAACGGCTATAGCTATTTAGCATGATAGCATGATAACGCCAGCATGCTCACTAATAGTATGTAATGTTCAGCAAGTTAGCTTCTTCTTAACATTACAATTAGCCATTACAATTAGTATGCCATATTAGCATTAGAGTAGCTTCTGTAATGTCATGTTTTACGTCATAAATTAGAGCACAACCTCTAGATTACTGCAATGTTTTTGCCAGCTGAAGGGCTAACATGAACCAAGCTGTGTGTAGTTTAGTGTGTTCTCTGCGTATTGACTACCAGCTTTCTCTTTTCGCTGTGTACTTTGGGTTCCCAGCCAAAATCAATTTTTTTGCCAAGGAAGGATTCTTCTTTCTGCATCTGTAATCTCAGGTTCAATGTGGTTTGATGAATTTAGGAGGATATCTCCCCTCCAGCACCTGCTCACATCCCCCTGTGGCCGCCTCTTTGAGCTCCGCACGGAGCTTATCTGTGTTAAGCTGATAAGGCTAACTCAGCTGATCACGTCCCTCCTTCTGGATGGACTCTGGATGGACTTTTTTCTGAAGTAATTGTGCTGCAAAAATGCCTTTGTAGACAAAAATTTCAAGGTCACTGTGTAGTGGTGAAACTAGGATGTGCAGCATGAGAGAGGTGTGTTTAATAATTGTTTGGACAACGTCAGAGTCAGCAGTGGAAGAAGTTGGTCAACTTGGTACTTAAGTCAAGGTAGTACAGTTTACATTCAAATGTTTAAGTAAAAGTACATCATTATTAGCAAAAGTAAAAGTAGACATTATGCAGAATGGTCCATTTCAGATTAAAGCTGGGGTAGGCAATGTTGGAGAAACTTGAGTCAGAGCATTTGATTTATTGATAGCTGTCAGGATGTAAAGAGAATTTCAAGAGATACAACAAAAAATGCTTCTTAATTAATTGCCAGCATTAAAATATATATATTTATTATTGGATGATAATGATTTATGCATTTTGCAGCTTGTTGTGCGTGCTTGTAATTAATAGCTGATTGTATTTTGTATTAATAATCGGAATCTGCAAAGTAACTAGTAACTAAAGTTATCAAAATAATTGTAGTAGAGTAGAAGTATAAAGTAGCACAAAATGGAAATAAGTACAGTACTTGATGTACAATACAGACTTAATTCATTGTTTAGTTATTTCATGTGATGTGTTGATAATTAAATATATAAATATAACGTCTGCTTTAATTCAGCTTACATAGTTTAGTAACAAAGCTCTTGTTCTCCACCAGCTCGTGAGGTAAATATCTGGTTCTTTAGCAGCTAAATGCTCCACTATGTTCACCAGCTAGTCGCTGAATTTGTCCGTCTGTTGTTTGGTGCTGAGCAGGTCGTGTACAGTGCTGAAAACAGCTGCCTGCTGTGGCCAAAAAACAACATTGATGGGAGCGGTGTGAGAGAAAATAAAACCTAAAAACCAAAACAATGAGCTGAAAGACGCTAAAACACATGGTAACACATATACTTTACTCATTGTAAATATAGAAATATTGATTTATGCAGTGATTTTTCACTTCTATTAGTTGAACTATATGATCTTGGGTAAATGGGACAGTAACGTCACATTAGGACACTTTAAAAATAGAGACTAAGGCGAAAGCTACGTCAGCACAAACAGCCCTTTTTTAAACCCTCTTTAATGGACACTGCAGGTCCCAACATTGTCTTCTCTCCCTGCCTGCTCTTCAGTCAAATACTCAAAAATCAATGAGAGGTCCGTCTATGCATCTTTTAGTGTTTGTATCTGGCTCATTATCTATGATATTCCTATAATAAACAAACTTTATTCATCGTTAGGCATTCTTAGTCCTTGGATTGTTGGAAACACACTACTTTAACATGCAGTTACATCAGCACAGTGCTGCTGACTTAGGAGAAAGGAATTAAAAACAGCCACAGCACTACTCCTCTGGGTGATGGATCCCTTATCTCTTCTTCTGTCATCCGCAGAGAGCAGTGGGGCTAGCAGCACATTTTATGGGCCTCTGGTTTTTATACTAAGCACTTTTTAGAAGGTGAACTAAAAGTCTAGCCTGATTTCATTGTTGAGATATAATCAGCATTGTGACCTGATGTTTTTGTTGTAGATTTTTGAAGTGGGGCTGTATGAGGAACTTATCTACAGTCAGTGTATTACCTGCAGTAAATAACTGTCAGCGTGTCCTCAGTTTGGAGAAACAGAGAGTTGTACCGGCATGTGTTTTAGCCACCTAAAAACCCCCAACCATCCATTTAATAACAAATCTAATGAAAAAAATAATGACATCCCGCTGAATGTCTTGGGCACAGATGTAACAGCGGCACAAAGTAATTACAAAAAGTCTATCACCAGTCCAGACGCCCTGTGACTCCCCTGAGTTTTCCTCTAGCTGTTATGCTCAGCCAAGGTGCTGACACGGGGAAACAGAGGTTTCAGGCCCAAACGAAGACACTTACACTGAAAAGGTAAAATTAGTGATGTTTATTGAGACGAATGGTGAGACTTACGGTGATGGTGAAGAAGGCAGTCCAAGTTGCAGCAACATATATCCTGAAACGGTAGGCTATAGATCCAAAGACAAGTGGAGTTGAAATGAGTCCAAAAACAAAGCAAGGTGAATCCAGAGACAAATGGGTGATATTCCATAGTTTCCAAGTAATTCCAAGTAAGTAAGTAAAGTTTATTTATATAGCACCTTTCACAGATAAAAATTGCAAAGTACTTTACAGTAAAATGCGACACAATACAACAAGGTGAAATACAATGCATGAGAAGATTTAAATACAAATGGAAACATAGATCAGACAACCATAAAACCCTCGTCAAACTAAAGGTCTGCTTGATTAGCAGAGTCTTAAATTGCTTTTTTAAAAGAATCGACGGAATTCACACAACGTAGAACAGAGTATAAATCAAAAATCCATGAGGGAAACATGAAGTATACATGAGACACCGGCAGGAACGCTGGGGAATATTCATGAACAAATTACATACAGGGACACAGAACTCAGAGACAAGACAACTAAGACAGGAAGTAACACACCAAGACACAAGACTAAGGGATTAGTAAAATAACAACAGCAAACTCCAAACATCAATAACCCCAAACTGTGACACTAGCGCCACCTGCAGGTCAAGGTTTTCATGTATCCGGAGAAATACCTCAACATCTACCTCATGGATTATCACAAAATGTTGTGCAAAGACATTCACGTTTCACAGAGGATGAATCCTGATGAGTTTGGTGTTGCCCTGAGTTTTCCTCTAGCGCACTGTGTAGTGAATGCTAACACGCCCGACTAAGATGGCGAACATGGTAAACATCAGCATGTAGTATTTTGACATTTGCATTTAGCACAAAGCACCGCTGTGCCAAAGCCTCTCAGAGCTGCTGACATGGCTGTAAAACTCTTTGTGTTGCTCATTAATTATTCCTTATAAAACCTTTTAGGAGCTTCTTGTCTTCTCAAACACAAGTTAAACAGAAGATCCTGAACTCACAGTTTCCTTCTTTTTGGAAATAATTCAGGCAGCAGGAAGGAACTGGTGTAGCTGTGTCATCTAAGACTGTCAGGCTTTGTGGTGACGGGTTGGAGAGCTTAACATGCTGCAGACGTGTTTGAGACATGTTGGATATGATATCGTAATCTGCTCAATCCGCCTCTGAGGTCAGACGGCCATCTGTAGTCCCAGACAGAGAGCACTATGGGATACATGAGGAAGACTGACTGTGGTGAGGGCCTCTATGCCAAGCGATGGGGATTAGTGTTGGATGGATGGACAAATAGATCGATGAGCGAGCGAGCGAGCGAGTGAGTGAGCGAATGAATAGCGACTGCTGTGATGAATGGATAAAGGGTTAGGGTTAACCCCTACCCTACTCTCCTGAGCATGAGTACTAAACGTTCATGAAGCCACTGATGTATCAGTGAATGCAAGAATTAGTGAATTAACCGATTAGAAACTGAAGGGAAAAAAGCTCGTTACCACTTCACGCCTTTCCAAGGGCAGCAGGGGAAATAAAAACACTTGATGTATAATGCAGAAAAGCAAAGTGCTCTTATTGCTATTATTTTCCAGGACTGTTGTTCTTTGAAGTATACTGCTGGGTGACTAAACAAAAGCCGCACTGAATCTATAATAATAATAATAAGTTAAAGTGATTTATACATTATACACCGACACTGCCTGTAAGAAACTTTCTTCAGTTTTTCAGCCTCTTATCATTTGTATGAACTGTTTCAAAGGAAATAATGAAAACAGACATCATAAATAAAACTTCAGACATCAGCCTCCTGTCATTTCTGTCTTCACTTATTTCAAGTAATAATAAACATTTATATCTGATTACAACGACATTATAGTGTGATATAAACCCTGTATTAAATGTTTACATACTGCTTATAAATGGTAAATATGGGGTTAAAGTAAAGTGTTACCTGTTACTATTATGTATACCACTGTCATTCATGCAGTTTTTGAGATTTTCTTTTTATAATTGCAGGCACATTGAATGATAAAAATAGTTTGTTTTTGTTTTTGCTTCATATATTATCATTCCCACCGTATATTGCCTGTATTAGATTTTATTTTATTTGTTTGTTCTTATGTTCTTTACCCTTTTGAATCCTAAAACCTCTGCTGACGATATCATTTCCTCAGGGGGGATCAATAAAATTCCACCAGAATGACAGATTTATCAATGTAATAAGACACTGTGGTGTTCTTTCTCCCTCTCTTTCCTGTAGCTCTTCTGGCCGGCTGTGATGCCTTCAGATTGGGTTCGTCCCAGCGCCTCATACCACTCAATCCTCCCGTTGCTCGTGTAGTCCAAGATGATGCCCCAGTTCAGCCACACTTCATCCAGGAATTAGTCAGAACCAAACGCCAAACAGTCCATGAGTTAGTGCGAGCCCAGCCTCATTTGGTTCATGACATGGGCTGGCCAGAGATACATGAAACATCCCGTTCCCAGGCCAAGATGGATTCCGTTAACTCCTCTCAGTTAAACCCTCCATCATCTGCCAGTCAGGATGTAACCAAGACCCGTCCTGCTGTGGATGAAAACCTAGATGTGGAAGATGAGATGGAGGTGAGGATGAGTTTAAGCTGATGTGCAATAAACTACAGGGTTAATATTACAGCATACTAGTGACTAAATGTCAAATAAATGTGTTTGCAAAAAGCTCTGTGGGTAAATTCCTGCATCTGTATGAGTCTGTGTATGTGGGAAAAAGCGATAGCCGTAATAATTCAAATCTTTCAATCTTAAAGCAACTGAAAACATAATTATGAAATTAAACCTCTACTGAATATTGAATTTTTTGATGAAGCCAGACAAAAGACGTGATTTAAAAGAGATACGTGTGACAAAACAAACAATAAGACAAACATTACATTACAAGGACTCCCAGAAAAACAAAGCATAGGGCATGAGTTGATGGTGCGATGTTGCAGTTTGGTAAATTTTGCCGTGGATAAACACACAGGCTGCAGCCTAGGAGCCCCATGTGTGCAGGGGTGCCAGATTGGCCAGACGATTTTCGCATTTAGACTTGCAACAGAGAAAACAGGACCCCTTGACCCTCATCGCTATATAAAAACATTTCAGAACTGTAAGTGATTTGGTAGATCTCAATTTTGTTTTTAAATAATATGTCACTGCTATGTCATTCTGGGTAACTGAGCAATGTATGTTCAGGGAAAAAATATTATAAGGGAAAAGAACAACGTGGCCAACGACAATCCCTAACATGAATATTTCTTGGCTGCTGAATCTGCATCTATTCAACCACATAAAGCAGAGCCACATTTGATGAACTGAAAAACTCAAACTTAAACATCCCAGCTGCCAAGGATACGTCTTTCTCTTGTTCTTTAGGCAGATTGGACACTTGGATCATCGATTGATTGTCCTTGGTAGCTGTTCAAATTTGAATCTCATCTCAGATTTTAGTCTGAATTTGAAGATTATGGATTAGTCCCATTTGTTTACTTGCTTTTTTGAATTACAATATCAGAATCTGACAAATTGGACTAACTGAATTTCAATTTAATAAATCAAGTTTTTGAATTTATGCGCCATAAAATTACCTACTGAAAATTTTATAGAGAGGAATTCAAACCCCTGAAATTAGAATGGATGATAAAATATTTCACTGCTGTAAATTAAGTGCTATTAACATTGCAACATTAAGTATATAGTAGTAGTTAAATTCTGTGATTTGGTATTCAGTCGAATAAAAATAATGATTTATTTTTTAGCTCAATCAATCAGACCGTCTGACCAATTCTCTTTCTTATTTCAGCGTATGGTTCATCTGGTGGTTCCCCAGGACGCAGAAAGCTACAGGGGAAACCCAGATGCTATTGACCCACAGAAGGAGCCCTTCCGTGGGCCAGGAGCCGGAGACACCTCCCTGGAGGCGTCTGGCTTCTATGGAACGGACATGGAGGACAGAGACAGAGGAGAGGAGGGAGCAGAGGACAGAGAGAGAAGAGGGGGAGAGGACGAGTGGGAGAGAGACACAGGGGAGGACAGAGAGAGGAGAGGGGGAGATGTAAGAGAAGAGGAAGAAGAGAGGGAAGGAGGAACAGACGACCATGATGTCAAAGTATTGGATGCCTTAGAGGCCAACCATACAACTCCAGATCTGGATGCTCTGATTGGTTGGTAGAAATACTCTTCCCTACAGATCCAATTTAAAAGAGGCCGTTGATATTTTGCTATACACCCCGAGGAAGCCATATTAGCCCCATTTGTGGCCTCACACTCTGTACTTACAGCAGGGAGGGACTTTACCCGCAGATCCCACAGATATCTCCAGTCTGCCCAAAGTAATTAAATGTTTGCCTGGGGTAAAACCAAAGTTTAAATCAAACATTTCCACAGACTGTGCTGCTCCACCAAGCTGTTCTTCTTTGCTGCTCAAACATTACGTCTGCTGTGCTAGCTTTAGCAGTCTGTGGAAGTGGCCGGCACAGTCTGGAGATATCGGGTTTAAAGTTAATTGTGCATCAGACAAAAATTGATTCTGGGCAGACAGACATCTGTGTGATCACCAAAGTACCTGTGAAGATGCAATCGGCTGCTGGATAGCAACTAAAGAATAATGTTTTGATTTTTGGCCCACTGGCTCCAGGGACGGTTATATTGGTTGCTCATTTTAATTGTGATTGGCTCCAGTGCAAAGATTTTTCTTGGGCGTACAGACACACAACGACTCCACGCAATTGCAAACCTGCAGCCTTTGATCAGCACCATGGACAGCAGCTAAAGTGCCAAACGCAAATCTTACAGCCTGCCCTGGACTCAAACCTGCTGTCTCCGACTATCAAAATACCAAAATAGCTTTAGCCAGCCTGCAGTAACAAATCAACACAAAGTAGCTGACACAGTATGTCAATAACCACAGAACAAATAGCAACTTAAAAAAGCACAGCAACGTATTATTCCAACACAGTATAAATGAATGGAGGACAGCATCTGATCAAGCTCCACGTGATAATTGTCCCTGTCCCTCGTGGGCCCTTGTAATTGGCTGGGCCTCTGTGTATTGAACCGATTGCACTGCCGGTACTTACGCTATTGTCACTTAACCACCTTGGTCTAGACTGAAATATCTCTATTGAGCTATGAAATTTGTGAGGGCCATTTTTAAGGACTTTGGCGATCCTCTGACTTTTCATCTAGCGCTGTCATCAGGCCAAAATTTCAGTTTGTCCAACACTTAATGACCAAATACCTACAAAAAATGACATTCCCATCAGCCTCAGCTGTACATTGTGTTGAGTACTAATTAGAAAATATGTTTGCAGTGCCACAGTACAAACTCACAGAGCTTAAGGTTTGCATCGTCTCCGTTTACTAACATGCAACGTGGCCTTCAGTAGAATTCAGTGTGTAATGTGTGTGCTGTTTTTGGTAGGAAACCAATTTACCGTCTCTGTTTAAGTGTAAATGCTAGCTAACTGTGCCAGTAGAGGCCAGAGGAAAAATAAAATAAAGATTTGGTTGCTTAATTTGCCTCATTAGCTTCATAACAGTTTGTTCAGGTTAACTAAGTTAACTCCTCTCAAGCTATAACTCTTAAGTAGATTTTCTTTTATTATGAAAGAAAACACAGAAGTGAGAATGTATCTAATTTGCCTTTATATCTTATTCAAAGCTCAATGGGCATCTACTACTTAACGTTAACGTTCAACTACTGTGTATCCTTACAAGCACGCTGTCAAGACCTCATGTCAACCGTTGAAAGATGAATGGCTGACAAGTGGTTTATTTATGAAAAGTGTACACACATGTTTCTGACATGTCTCTTTGTGTCACACAGGCTACAGTCCATCTTTCCATCCCTCCAGCTCCAAGCAGCCCAGCATCTTCCCTCCAGCCGAGGTGCAGGATTCTGGGGCACAGGAGCATCGTGCATCCCCGGTCCTGGAGGTGAGAAGAGTAAAAGATGCCTTGATGTGGATTTATTATTGTAAATATAATTATATTATTACTTAGTGTCAGATATTTTAGCAGTAATTGTGTAGTTTAACAGTCTCTTCTGCAGAAAAATGTAAACAACCCTTACAAAAAAGTGGGAAAGATAGAAGTACTCCAATAACGTCACACAACTGGCAGATGTCACCATTATCTGAGAAATCACAAAAATTACACCCAACCAAGCCCCGGTCTCATTAAATAGTTGTTTTAAAGAGTTTTCCACTGAATAATCGAGTCACAGCTGGAATCCGCTGAGCAAAACTGTACAGTCGTCACCATATTGAAATGTTTGCTGGGCAGCCTTCAGATGTAATGTAAATACGCTTCAAGTTTTCCTTCAGCCAATCACTAAGGCTGAGTTACACAAACAAGGATTACTTTTTAAACTAGATTAAGTCATGGTTTAACTTTAAGTGATGTTACACCAAATATTAAAGCTATCTTATAAGTAAGAAAGATCACATTGAAACCCCTCTTTAAATGTGTCAGTTCCTTCAAGTGAACGACACATCATACCAACGCAAATTCAATTAATTTATTTTAATTTGAGGCAGCAAGCATCCCCATATGGATGAAATTCTACTTTGATTTACATAAATACAGTTGGATTTACTGAACAGAGATTTAGTTTTTTATTGTGCAACAAAGCTCTGCTTAATTTTAAATCTGGATTTACCCATTTTAAACCCAGCTTTGCTAAACTCCCATTAGAAGTAATCTTAGCTTAAATTAATCTTTGCTGATCGAGTCTGAGTGTGAAGAGCTGGAGAAGTTTCCATGAGTTTGCAGCTAGGTGGATCACTGCTGTGTTGAAGTTTGAAGGCAGCATAACACAAGAGAAATAATCAGCTGCAGTTTGACTTTAATTGGATCACAGTAAATCAGATAATCTAGGGCTCACCCACTAACCTTGCACTTTATAGTTTAATTAGTCTTTAACTACTTTATGTGATTAGTGGTGTCTCTTTGGCCCATATAGACGGGGAAAATGGGATTAACTGACAGCACTGAAGATGCTGATAACGGCTGTTTCTCACGTATTTTTCTTACAACTTCTATTTACAACTTAATGACATTCAGAGACTCAAAGACATTCCGGTCTTTGAGTCTTTTCATGTTAATATGGATAACACGGTCATTTTGTTACTATGTGTGCCATTATCGGCTTTATTGCAGTGATTATCACGAGTACTTCTACCACTACTACTAAGTAATAATAGTGCTACTACTTACACCATAAAAAATACAATATAACAACCACCTGTTATTACCTTTATTACCTCTATTTCTACCTGCAATATCAAAACTAGAACAATCAGTACTACAAAAACTCTGACTTACTGCTATTACGTCTACTATTATAGAGGGTGAGGGTTTGGTTTCAGAAGCTGGGGGGATATTTTATGTATATATATCCCCCCAGCTTCTGTATATAATATATATGTGTATATATAGGGCATTATAAAGTATTATATAAAGTTTACTTAAAATAAGTTATAATAACACTAACAATAAACAATAAACTTCTTAACGAAGTCTAAGAAAAAAACTGAGAAATTTGGTTAAATTGGTGAATCTTTCATTCGCTAATGCTGAAAATTATTATCAGTTTTAATTGATGTAGAAGTGAGACTGAGATAACGTTATATTTATATCTTTTACCACAAACTATGAAAAGAGCAATCACAGGAACACTGTCTTTTGTGCCTTACAGCTTAGATTACTGCTCAATTGTAGCGTCTTTATAATAGAATTATAAAAATACACATCATAAAGCAAAATATATAGTTACAGTATATATTCATCAATAGAAAAGGATTCTGAGACGTGAGGGGAACTCAACCTCCTCCAATCCTTGTGGAACTGACACGTTTGATACTAAAGTCTTCCTCTAACTTGATGTCTACTGAACAGGTGGGCCCTAGAGAAAGAGACCTGTGGGAGGCAGAAGGGGAGGAAGATGGTAATTCCAGTGGCTATGGAGTCCTCCACTCCTCCATCACTACAACTAGTACTACATCTACTGCTACTTCAACTGCTGCTGCTGCTGGTGGTGGAGGCGCTGTAGGAACCGCCACCCCCGAGACTGACACAGGCACAGACTTTGGGCTGCTGGGAAGTTATACAAAAGGTACACCAGATGAAAACATCTGTTGACTTTGCTTTGTTACTTCCTCGTTAAAAGCTTATTGAAAGACTCCGAAAAGCCACAGAAACACAACATAATCAGATACCTCGTTGCAAATAATAGTCTTCTATGATATTAGAGCTGAATCGGGTTGTGTGAAAGGTGACACGTTCACATCCTGTTGTACTTTCTAAAGTTAATTTCAACAGTGATTCATTCACTTCACATTGTAGTACTGCAGGTCATTTGAAGGGTGATGTGTAATACTTCCTGTTATACACATTGAAGTTAATTTCAACATTGATTTGTACGTACTGCAGTTAATTTGAAGGGTGATGCGTCCACCTACTGTTGTATGATGCTGAACTGCATTTGAAAGTTGATACGAGTCTGTGACTACAAATCTTTAAACTGAGCTAAATGAAATGATTCAAATCAGCAGTGACTGACTGGCATGGCTAGAGACTGTAAATTAACTCCAAAGCAAAAACTTACATTCATTGCTGTTATATTTAGATTAATTAAAGCTTGGGTAGGCAACGTTGGAAAAACTAGCAAGAGACTGCAAGATTTTGAAAGTATCCAACCGAAAAACTCCCACCCCCTCCTTTGAGGCCTCAAAACACATTTTCATGTGCAATAGTGCACGGGCAGAGTGCGTGGAGTTAGACAGGTAGGCAGGTAGGTCATATTACAGTCCGGTGACAGCCACTGATACAGGATATTGTTTTTATTTTTGTGCAAGAGCATTTGAATTATTGATTGCTGTGGTTATGTAAAGAGTATTTCAATAAATATAACAAAAATGCTTCTGAAATAAACTGCCTACCTCAGCCAAATGTCCACATTTCACTTCTTTTCTTACTTCTAATGAACCAGACTTATTCCACGTAGTGACAAAACAAGCTCTGTAGCGCTGTATGCCCGTTTCGGTTACAGTAGAAACATGGTGCCGCAACATGGTGACTTCCATGTAAGAGGACCTGCGGTGTATGTAGGTAGAAATGTCTCATTCTAAGGTAATAAAAACATAAATGTTCATTATGTAAGGTCTTTATACACCACTGAAAACATGGGTATGGATCTTATAGTATATTGCATTTCTGTTAATATGTCCTCCTAAATATTACACACTGAACCTTTAAGAGTTAACATTACACAGAGCGTTACATCAGAAAAAATGAAGGGCGTCTGCTGCTTTTGATTAACCTCTGGTTTGTGGCCGCAGATGAGACAGAGGATGAAGACACAGAGAGGGAGGAGGAAGAAGAAGAAACTGGTCTGGCACACAAAGGCGTATTTACCCAGAATCCCACTGCACCAGAGGTTGGCATGGCTCCCAGCAGACAGCCCCTGCAGCCCAGCGTGGAGGAAGAGGAGGAGCTGCAACATGGAGAACATGAGTTTAGAGGTGAGAAGGCTCTTATTTTATTATGATATAGAATAGAATTGTGACCAATGTAATTGTTTCATAAACCCCTCCCCGAAACAGTGATTGTCCAATCGTAGCTTAGCACAGTAACTAGGCACAGCAAACCTGTCCGGCCTTTTCTCGAGCTACATGTTTAAGTGGTATAAATTACATGTGGCTGTAATAATAATAATGTTTCTCTGCTTTTAAAGAGTTTTAAGGCTGGTTTCTTGTTTTAGCAATTACAAACAACAAATAAAGTGCAATAAATAGATTAAACTGTGTGCTGAAATCGTTAGCATGTACAGTTAATTAGCTTACCACATTACATTACAAAGCCGAGAAGTAGAGTATCATTAACTACCTGTATTAGTTTGTGTAGTTACATGTTAAGTAAAAAAGAAACTCTGTTTTCACGATTAGAATATCTTAGAGCTGGGCAATAAAACAATAATCATGATTATCACGATAACAATATAACAAAATGTTCAATAAATGTTTGATTTAATTAATTTGAAACACAAAACAAATAAGCCCCTAATCTTTCTATTATGATATTTGTTTTTGTTGAGGAAAAGGGACTTAAAAAAACAGACTTTACTTAATTTTACTCATGCATATTTGTTGAAAAAATATTTTATCATGATTATTTTAATGTTCTGCCGCAGATAAGAGAAGAGAAGTGATCCATAGTTTGGCATCAAGTGTTTGTTCTGACCGTGAAGAACAGTTCAGAACCACAATTAACCGTCCGGTGTGTTTAACTTTCACACAGGAACAAAAATCAGCCTTTAAACCTTTAAAGAAATAAAGATTTGACATTTATCGTGATAATTATCGATAACAAGTGATACATATTTTTTTCACTTTTAGCCATATCTCCCAGCCCTAGAACATCCACCGTGTAATATTTCCCCACTGTGTCCTGGAAGTTACCAGAGTTTAGGCTAACGTTAGTGGCTCTGTCCAGCTCTTTATTGGATTTCGGGAAGTTTACAATCAAGCATCCCCAGTCAGTGTTATCCGTATGCCAAAAACCTCAGTTAGCATTTTCTCTTTCAGTGTTAGGTTAATGAATACATACTGTTTGAAAATACAAGCTAAGCTAAGCAGACAAACAGGGTTATTTTAGAATTAAATAACAGTCTGAGCTTACATTTTCCTTCATATAATATACTTATAATACAAGGACTAACTAATAATACACTGTAGTATAAGAACAATGCTGTTCCTTAGTCTTTAGGTAATTATGGTTGTTCACTGAAGGGATAAGACCAAAAGACAGAGCCGAAGAGGTGGAGGAGGCGAAATGGAGAAAGATGGAGGAAGAGGAAACAAGAATCCGACACATCGTCCCGCTCACCACAGATCCCTCCCCCACCATCGGCTTCACCGACTCGTCCTGGGATTGGCTGGAAAAGACCACGTCCCTGCTGACCCAGAGGTCAGAGGTCAGGAGAGGTGGAGCCCCAGAGGTCTTCTCACCAGACAGTGATTTCTTTGAGATGGAGGAGGCACGACAGGTACCTTTTACAGACACACAGTACAGTATGCACAGACACAGGACGACTGAGATAAAAAATCTTTTATTAATTATTAAATATTCATTATCATTGTTCTAACCCTATCTAACTCTGAAACCTCCAGGTGGTCTGTTTAAACTGGAGCGAGCTGGTTGGACGAGGCTATGTCATCCTCAACATGACGCAAAACTTGAACTGTGTAAGTACAAGATGCAATATTTAAATGAAAGGTGACACATTTAGCATTTTCATTAGTGATATTAATGTGATTTTATATGCACTGTGCGTGATTGGCTTGTGATTGTCAATTGAAACACTTGATACAGTTATGATGGAAATGCACATTAAGAATCATGGAAATAAGAGGAAAAAGACTGACATTATTTTTTAGAGCTCCTGAACGGTGATGCTGAATGTGATTAACACTATTATAAATCAGTGTCAAGGTATATTGATCTGTGGGTAACCATGGTAACAATACTTGTATAATAATCTTACCTCACAGACCTAACCATCAGGCAAAGTGACTTCAAACAAATCTGATTTGAACACAGTCTGCCTTCTTATCCCATGCTTAGTATCCATGGCACGTCTGTTACACAGTAATACTGTTGTTCAGGTCAAGTACATTTGATTTATAATAGCACAGAATCTCAAATGTGCCTCAAGCGGTTTTATGAGCTCTACAGCAGATAAGACCCTCTATCATTAGACCCTTGATTCAGATAAGGAAAACTCTAACAGGGGAAAAAACCCTCTTCCAGGACCGGCAGACATGAAATAGATGTCGTGTGTAAAGAACAGAGTAGATAGTTGATCAAATATACAAAAATATAGACCGTTTATGTGTATCATTGTTTAGTTACTTAACAAATCTGCACCTGCAAAGCCTGTTAATCAACCCCCTAAATGGACATAAATACTATAAAACAATGCAGACACAAATAGAAACGTTTTGTGTTGTTGTTATTTTGTTCTCAGATGTTCTTTATGTACTCAGTACCTGTGGCAGCTTTGGATTAGGTCTATATTCATAAATTGATACGATAAAGTTGCCTGTTATTTCTTAAATAGTAGTTTTATCACGTGCTCTGGACATAGATGGACGACAGGTGAAAACTCAGAGATGATTTCTGTGCAGATTCTCTGATCACATGTTAGCCGAAGGTGTCCGTATCTAACAAAGTGCTGATCTGATCATTAAACGGTGTATGAAACCCTCTCTCCCCGCCAACACCTTTCTGATGTTTTATTACTAAACAGTAACACAAATAATGTCATCCACAGTGACAAAATACATCCTGCTGAACTGTGCAAGATAACACAAGAAAGTTACAAAACTTCCTTTTTGTGATAAAGATGGCAAGGCAAGCTACAGATGACCAACCCTTACAAAATCCAAAACCGTCAATCCGACAGTCACACCCACTTCATGCAGTGATTGGTCAGATGTGCGGAGGCTAGAAAAGGCAGGAAATATCCCTTCACACCCCCTTTGAATGTGCCAAACACTTGCTTTAAGATGTGGTTGGACGAGGCCTTGTACAAACCAAATGCTTCAAGCACACCCCTTCCTTAAGCCGCCTGTTAAACTCGTCTTTTGTCCATTTATTCTCCTCAAGATCAACATCCGACCTCGAGTTTTGAATGTCTTTGATTGCAGCCAGACTTTTCTCCCACACTGTCAGAGCCAGAAGAAAACATCAAGGACTTCAGTTTAGTTTTACAGACAGACAGAACAGCTGGAGGCCATCAGTTTTTTTGTGTGTCAAAGTGAGGTATGAAGGTCCTTCCCCCGCAGCGTCTGTCCCCATGGCAGCAACACAAACCGCCACTGCAGTGAACTCAATGTTATGGCAACATTGATGGAGCCAGAAGCCTCTTCTCTCGTTTCCTCTCTTATAAAACAAGTAGAGATTGCACCGTTCTTTCGTACATGTAAATTCATGTCTTGCGTTGATGAATAATTTTGCTTTGGCCTCAGTATCAGCTGTGTGTGTGTGTTAGAGAGATGAAAAACAGTTTTTATACCTGCAGGGAAATCAAGTGCTAACTTGTAGAAAAATGTGTGTGACAGGAGGAGTTTCGTGTAGACCAGGGCGTGCGGTTGTTGAAGATAATGGAGCGAGTGTTTGCTCGAAGAATGAACAGCCCAGAGGGATCGTGGGTAATCTACCTCAGCAAGCCTACACACCAGCAACACCAGCTGCTGATGAACGTGGCATCTGAGAATGGTACACGCACACACTCACACACACGCACACACACGCACACACACGCACACAAGTTGCTCTCTTTATAATATTTAGAAAGAAACAAATACTTTACTTGTACATGCAGAAAATGAAGAAATAGTTGTTTTGCCCCAAATGGTGCTTTGAGAGCTTCTTAGCACACACATTCACTTAAAAATACACACACACACACACACACACACACAGAGGTTGTTGTTGGCTTTCAGGATTCTTGACCTAATTAACATGTGTGGGTCTTCCAGGAGTGATGGCTACCAAGGATGTGCTGGGCATGCTGGGAGAAATCAGGAAAAATTTGAATGAGGTACACTGTCCAATAATGTCTTTAAATTTTTACTTTTGTCTGTGTGTCTCCAGATGCAGGCGTTACATTATAGACAGGTTTCTGCTTATATAAAACGCATTGTGATACTTTCATATTTAATGTGGAATTTACAGCTCAAAGCTTCTTTCACTGATTTCTTCTCCCAAAGAAAAGCTTCCTTCCTGATTTAGGAATATATTTTAGAAAGTTGAGCTAAATGTGATCGACGTCAGACTTTAAACTGGTTTATTAGTTGCAAAGCAACTGCGGGAACCAAGTGCCAATCACTAAGCGCCTGGTGAACACTGAAATACAGTTATGGGAATCACCTCTAAGTTTGACACCAATGTCAACACTCAAATATCACCTGATTATCTGTTAAAATCAAATGGGAAGAATTTTTTTTTCTTCTCGTGGAAAATATCTGTTTTCCTGTTTTTAATATTAAAGTGGGAAATCGAATAAACAACAAGAAAAGCAAAAACAAAAGTCAAGCAGGAGGAAAAAATTTTTTTTGTATGCAAACCTTACATAATGTTGTTTTAAAACTTCACCTTTACATCTCAAATATTAGCCATTATCTGTAAGTGAATGTGCGTAATGACAATACATTAGATTACAAGTTAAGGCAATCATTTTGATGAAGTACTCGCAACTATATAATACTGTGCAAATATAAAGAAACAATGCCTAACCTACTCATCAACAAATACATGAAATCAAATATGTGAAAATGTGTGTACTTGTACAGGCGAATGATTTTTCTGTGATGAAAAACGTGTATATGTTTATGTTCACATCCAGTTAAATTACGATGTGAGTGTGTGTGTGTGTTTGCTTCTTCAGGTGGGCATCCAGAACTACAGTGCAGCCAGTATCTGCGAGTATCGGCGCAGTCTAACAAGCAGCGACTACGGCAACCTGTTTGTGGTTCTGGTGATCATCGGCTCCATCTGCATGGTCATTATCACGTCTGGATTTATATATGTGTGCTGGCAAAGACGATTGCCTGTAGCTAAGACTACGGTAGGTAAACACACACACACACACACACACACACACACACACACACACACACCTGTCCTTGCTGTTTTGTTACTGAGTGATGAGAAGAAGTCGTTCGGTGCTATTTCACCTTGCAGTTCCGTGCGGAGGAACTTCACTTTGTGGAGAACGGTTGCCACGACAATCCCACGCTGGACGTGGCCAACGACAGTCAGCCTGAGATGCAGGAGAAGAAGCCGAGTACCAATGGGCTCGCGGGGGGAGGAGAAGGAGGCAGGGAGGACAGCAATCGCTGGCAGGTGATTGGATAAAAAAAAAAACCAACAGATGTGTCGACAGATGTTAAAGCAGTAAAGCACACACATATGTACATAATTCAAACTCAAACAACACTCATATACAAAGCACACACACATTCTTTCTGTGTCTAAGAATGAATCTGTTGCTTGTAAATTAGATTAGCTTTGGGTGCATATTAATGTAGGAATAAACATTTGATTTGAGTGGGTGTTTTTCTCGTACGTGTCTGTTATTATTCCTTTATTCTGTCAGTATTGTTTAAATGTTTTTTGTTTTTTTTGTTTTTTTACACGAGAAGTAAAATTCAATAACACACAATAACACAAAGCCGATAAAATAACAATAACAATAATTATAAAAATGAATGGATGGATGAGTAAGTAAATGAATGAGTCCTAGCAGCCATCTCGTATAGAAAAGCTTGAAATATTTTGTCGTAAACAAGTGCTTCTTTTGAGGAAAAAGACTTGGCAACAGCATGAAGTCTCTTATCCTTTTGTTTTTAAGGTGTTTGTCAATCAAGCAGCGACTGAGGAGGAAGAAGAGGAGCAGGATACACATCTCTGATGACTGAAGAAGAAGGGGAGAAGGGTTATGAAGGGTGGGCATCTTTGATAGACAGATGGTAAGTGGAGCCTAGAGGGAAGAAGAAGACAGTAGAGAAAACAGAAGAGAGAAAGTCAAAAATAATACAAAATGTCTGTAGTGGAGAGAAGAGGACAAGACAAGAAGAGGAGGAGAAAATAAAAAGTAATTGATGGGAGTTAAAACATTTAAAATTCTAGCATTGAGGCTAGCATTAAGGCTAGGAGGAGCATAGCAGGAGGAGTCACTGGCATCGTCGTCGAAATTAGACACCGGGGTACATATATTTTGGACTTCTGATTGGGAAAGTTGAGACTTTCATAGAGCTGCATATCTTGCTACTACGACTCAATGTTATAAAATGTCACCATTACATTTTGTGTGCCTTATGCTTTTAGCTTTTTGCACTGTGGCTGCACATGACAAATAAAACAGGAAACTAGCGACACAATCATTGCATATAACGCCTTTTTCCCCTTCTAATGTTTGAATGTAAAGGAGCTTTTAAAGTTTAAAGCGTCCACAGCTGCAACATTAGGAACAGTTGCCATTTTATTTCACAAATTCATTGACAGAATGGCTCCGACTGGTAGCAGGAAACTGAAATAATAGCAAACAATTGTCCAGCCTCAAATTTTCTACCCATCCGCCTGTACTTTTGCTTAAGTAATATTTTGAATGTAACATTTCAATGGTAATGGTGTATTTTTTCAGTGAGATTGTTAGTTTTACTTATGTAAAAGAGCCAAATACTACTTCTGCCACTGATGATTACATGTAAGAATTCTTGGTATTATTCTAATATATACCAAATATACCAAAAGATATTACAGCTTCAGTCTATGGTTTACCCCGATATCTGACTCCAGAGACAACAGCGACTCCTCTTAGCTACTCCTCCAAATCAATGAACAAGAAGTAGCAACTTTGAAAGTAAGGTTTGGGCACTTTATTGATTTCTCTTGGAAATAGTGACTATCATCATTGAAATGCTGCATCATGTTAAATGTAATACATACAGTAACTGAAATATCTCTATTTTACTCATAGGAATGTTTGTAACTGCTGAGGATGTTTACTCTACACTCTACAACCAGTCATGTGATCGCTATTCTTGTGTCCTGTTAGCCTAATATGCTTTTTTTAATAGTGTTGGAATGGCTGCTGTATGTTCCCGGCTAAATTTTGAGGCTATGACACATGGGCAACATTTAGAGGCCAAAAGCACGAAAACAGTTAGTTACAGTGTTGAAGTCAAGTCACCAAACCAAGTCCAAGTAGAGCCCCAAGTCTTCAATGTTTTATGTTTAAATCTGAGTCACCAAGGACATTTCCGAATCGCTATGATCACGTTCCCATCGCCTCGATCACAACAGTCATGTCTGAATCACTACTGCCATGTCTGAGTCTCTTCAGTTGTGTCCGAAATTGCTGTGGTCATGTCCGAGTCAAGTTTGAGTCACTGTGATCATGTCTGGGTCATGCCTCACAGTACATTTACATTTATTCATTTAGCTGACGCTTTTATCCAAAGCAACTTACAATTGCTATAACAGAGGTCGCACACCTCTGGAGCAACTAGGGGTTTAGTGTCTTGCTCAGGGACACAGTGCTGGACGTGTCACAGTAGTGAGTTGAACCTGGATCTCTCACACCAAAGGCGTGCATCTTATCCACTACGCCATCAACCCCCCCATATAAAATTGAAAGCAATTATCACTGCTGGCGGCTGCGGGATACAAACCCACGACTGGAATAAGAGGTGCTGCTCCAGAGAATGATGCCTAACGAATCGAGCCACCAGTCAGCTTTGGTCATGTGATCTTGTCTGTGCCACTATGATCATGTCCTAGTCACTATGATCTTGTCTGTGCCACCATGATCATGTCCTAGTCACTATGATCTTGTCTGTGCCACCATGATCATGTCCTAGTCACTATGATCTTGTCTGTGCCATTATGGTCATGTCCTAGTCACTATGATCTTGTCTGTGCCACCATGATCATGTCCTAGTCACTATGATCTTGTCTGTGCCATTATGGTCATGTCCTAGTCACTATGATCTTGTCTGTGCCATTATGGTCATGTCCTAGTCATTATGATCTTGTCTGTGCCACCATGATCATGTCTTAGTCACTATGATCCAGTCCGAAACCCCATGGCCGTGTCCTAGTCACTATGATCTTGTCTGTGCCATTATGGTCATGTCCTAGTCACTATGATCTTGTCCGAGCCACCATGATCATGTTCTAGTCACTATGATCTTGTCCGAGCCACCATGATCATGTCTTAGTCACTATGATCTTGTCCGAGCACCTATGGTCATGTCCTAGTCACTATGATCTTGTCCGAGCACCTATGGTCATGTCCTAGTCACTATGATCTTGTCCGAGCCACCATGATCATGTTCTAGTCACTATGATCTTGTCTGTGCCATTATGGTCATGTCCTAGTCACTATGATCTTGTCTGTGCCATTATTGTCATGTCCTAGTCACTATGATCATGTTCTAGTCACTATGATCTTGTCCGAGCCCCTATGGTCATGTCTTAGTCACTATGATCTTGTCCGAGCCACCATGATCATGTCTTAGTCACTATGATCTTGTCTGTGCCACTATGGTAATGTCTTAGTCACTATGATCCAGTCCGAGCCCCCATGATCATGTCCTAGTCACTATGATCTTGTCCAAGCACCTATGGTCATGTCCTAGTCACTATGATCTTGTCTGTGCCACCATGATCATGTCTTAGTCACTATGATATTGTCCGAGCCCCTATGGTCATGTCCTAGTCACTATGATCTTGTCCGAGCCCCTATGGTCATGTCCTAGTCACTATGATCTTGTCCAAGCACCTATGGTCATGTCCTAGTCACTATGATCTTGTCTGTGCCACCATGATCATGTCTTAGTCATTATGATCTTGTCCGAGCCCCCATGGTCATGTCTTAGTCACTATGATCCAGTCCGAGCCCCCATGGCCGTGTCCTAGTCACTATGATCTTGTCTGTGCCGCTATGGTCATGTTCTAGTCACCGTGATCTTGTCCGAGCCCTTATGGTCATGTCCTGGTCACTATGCTGTTGTTTGTGCCACTGTGGTCACGTCTGAATCACTGTGATCATGACTGACTAACCCACACTTGTATGTCCAAATAAAGTTGCAAGTGATCAAACATGGGACTTGTACTGGACTTGAAAAATGAAGGGTGCTGTTACCAAACTGTCATATACAGTAATATCACACATCAGATGGACATAAATAATTTGAGATATGTTTTATCTGATTCTTAGTAAGACATGCTAGCTGACTCAAATTGCTGTTCAGTTAACAGGAATGGAGATATTTGCTGGCAGCAATGTATAATGCTGTTTTTGTGTTTGTTTACTTTTATTCAGATTGTTTTTTACGATTTTGTTCCTGCAGTTGTCAGTCTCCATTCCTGTTACAGGTTGTATTGCCCATCTGCATTTAATCAAGATGTTGCCTGCGTGTCAGCTCTTTTACCCTGACCTTTCGCGATGTAACAATACTGTATAAGGCTTCACTATAAACTAAGCTGATTGATATGCACTTTGTCCATTAAACAGGATTTAGGGGACTGACGGCTGTCCATCCTGAATACCTTAAATGACTACCTGCAATGTAGATCTGTTTCCGAGAGCACAAGATACAGGCAGGACACAGCCCCCTTGTCCTTCACTGAAAGACAGAATAGATGAGCATGTCGCTTTCAGCTCTGCAGCGGGCACCAATGTAACAAAACCTACAGCTTCTGTTGCTTTTATTTGATGAAAGTCTGTATGATGGAGATGGAGAGAAATTTTGTGGCTTTCTGATCATTTAAATTTGTTTTCACTGATGTTTTCTTTTCAGAATCTAAAGGCAGCCTTGTGTGTTTGCATTTGTTAGCGGTGCTAGTGCAAGTCAATGGGGATTCAGCTGTAGCAAAAAAACAAGTGACCCTTCATTTGTATAAAGATTACAAGTTTAGTATCCTGGTAAGATTTTTCCCAGGTTTCCCAATTTTCTTTAATTCATTCCAGGTATTTTATTTCTATTATTATTTCTATCTATTTATATGCATTTTCATCGCAAACTAACTCTTTTGGTTGTCTGTGTAATAAGTTAAAGGTGAGAATAAAGTTTGGAGAAAATATGATTTCTTGTTATTTCTTGCTGTCGCAACACTCAACTTGTTCATTTTGCATAGATTTATTTCTCAAAATTTAAATAACTGTGCATTAATGGTTTATAATTAATCTTGGTAAGTTTCACTGTAGTTGTTAAAAAATTTATATTTTAAATTAAAGCTGCAAGCAGCGTTGGGCGGGCCCTCGCACTTATAAGCGCGTCCGCGTGTGAGCCGGCCGAGTTGCATATTCTGGAGCTCTGCCGGTGCGGCTGTGAATTTGCTACGCGGTTATGACGCCGCATGAAGGTGTTATATGTCACTTCCTGTGTCCCCTATGTGGAGCTACATAGCACTTGCCGCTATGAATATAAATCGGTGTTGGCGTGTAGATGTCTGCGGGGTGGGAGAGTTATCAAGCACGTAAAGTTTGTTTCAGATGTGAGCATGTACACTGAACAATAATGTACCCAAACAATAAAATAAATTCCTTTTATATTTCCCTGCCTTGTTGTTTATGTGTACATACAGAGGAAGAATGTGAGAACAGCACACATTTCATCGTTACTGTGTGCTGTACCGCAGTTCTGTGTCCATGCATGCAGCAAACTGAAAGCACCGTCTGTCGGAGCGTCTACGTGAAAAGAGAAGGAAGACATTGCTGGTAGTATTGTCTTCAGAGTTGTTAAACACCTCAGCGCACTGAAGGAAGCCATCTGACTGTGTGAGGGGCAAGATCGTTGATGTCTGCAGGCAGAGTAGGAGCTCTCCTGTCTGACTGGTCCACCAATAGCAGAGAAGATGACCCCTTGAGACACAGCCCCTCCTCATTTGCATAATGAGGCAGAAATGCATACAAAAATTAAAAAAAGACAGGCAGAAATAAATACCATGGGTGAAAATAAATAAGGTAAATAAATACAAAGGAAGAATAAAACAGACAAAAATATTAAAACACACACATAAATAAATACATTAAAAAATTTGTAATAAATAAAGTTGAATAAACAAATAAGGTAATTATAACAAAGGTGAATAGTAAAGGCACTAATTAAAATATATACATTTATGTCTCCTTGTATAATTTAATTACTACCTACATTTATTTATTTACTTTATTTTTTTGTGTATTTAATTGGATGCTTATTTATTTATTGAGCATTTATTTATTTCTGTATTTATTTCTGACTGTGTCAGGATCGGTCCTCCATAACGGGGTGGGAGAGTTATCAAGCACGTAAAGTTTGGTTCAGATGTGAGCATGTACACTGAAGTTACAACAACTTCCTGTGTCATGGCGAAGACTTGATCTCTGACGCCACGCCACGGACACACCCATTGACGAAAACTCGCAAATAGCACAACTTTTCATCTTCAATGCCTTTAGAAGGCACAGCACAAATTTGAAGTCGGTCGGACTAAATCCCTAGGAGGAGTTCGTTAAAGTACGAAGTGTGTAAATCATCCAAAATTTGACGTAAAATTCAAAATGGCCTACTTCCTGTTGATTTTAGGGCATCGCTCCAAGAGGCTTTTTTGTGCGTCTGGACAAGATACACGTACCACAGAAAATTCGTGCACGTAGGTAAAACGTGCGGCGGGGGCTGCTTCGTTAAAAGTCACTTCCTGTTGCCAGCAGGTGGCGCTATGACTGTCTGTGAATGTCAGCATGTACATGTGTTCAGGGCGGGACTCTCATCCTACATGTACAGTTTGGTCCAGATGTGAGCATGTACACTGAAGTTACGACAACTTCCGTGTCATGGCGAAGAGTTGATCTTTGACGCCACGCCACGGACACGCCCATTGACGAAAACTTGCAAATAGCACAACTTTTCATCTTCAATGCCTTTAGAAGGCACAGCACAAATTTGAGGTCGGTCGGACTAAATCCCTAGGAGGAGTTCGTTAAAGTACGAAGTGTGTAAATCATCCAACATTTGACGTAAAATTCAAAATGGCCGACTTCCTGTTGGGTTTAGGCTATGGCTCCAAGAGACTTTTTTGTGCGTCTGGACAAGATACACGTACCACAGAAAATTCGTGCACGTAGGTAAAACGTGCGGCGGGGGCTGCTTCGTTAAAATTCACTTCCTGTTGCCAGCAGGTGGCGCTATGACTGTGGGTGAATGTCAGCATGTACATGTGTTCAGGGCGGGACTCTCATCCTACATGTACAGTTTGGTCCAGATGTGAGCATGTACACTGAAGTTACGACAACTTCCGTGTCATGGCGAAGAGCTGATCTTTGACGCCACGCCACGGACACGCCCATTGACGAAAACTTGCAAATAGCACAACTTTTCATCTTCAATGCCTTTAGAAGGCACAGCACAAATTTGAGGTCGGTCGGACTAAATCCCTAGGAGGAGTTCGTTAAAGTACGAAGTGTGTAAATCATCCAAAATTTGACGTAAAATTCAAAATGGCCGACTTCCTGTTGGGTTTAGGCTATGGCTCCAAGAGACTTTTTTGTGCGTCTGGACAAGATACACGTACCACAGAAAATTCGTGCACGTAGGTGAAACGTGCGGCGGGGGCTGCTTCGTTAAAGGTCACTTTCTGTTGCCAGCAGGTGGCGCTATGACTGTGGGTGAATGTCGGCATGTACATGTGTTCAGGGCGGGACTCTCATCCTACATGTACAGTTTGGTCCGGATGTGAGCATGTACACTGAAGTTACAACAACTTCCTGTTTCATTGCGAATCATCGACGCCACGGACACGCCCATTGACGAAACGCGCAAATAGCACAACTTTTCATCGTCAATGCCTTTAGAAGGCACAGCAGAAATTTGAGGTCGATCCGACTAAATCCCTAGGAGGAGTTCGTTAAAGTACGAAGTATGTAAATCATCCAAAAATGGCCATAAAATTCAAAATGGCCGACTTCCTGTTGACTTTAGGCTATGGGTTCTTGAGGCTTTTTTGTGCGTCTTGATACGATACATGTCCCCAGAAAATTTCGTACATGTAGGTTGAACGTGAACGAGGGGCTAATCATTTCCAATTTTCTAGGTGGCGCTAGCGAGTCATTTTGCCACGCCCATGTGCGAAACTTGTAGAATACGAAATTTTTCACCGGTTCTGACATGTTTGCAAATTTTGGTGAGTTTTCGAGTATGTTTAGGCCATGTCATTTGGGCCTACTTTGCAGAAAAAAAAAAAAAAAAAAAAAAAAAAAAATAATCCGAGCAATTTCAATAGGGACCTCGCACGGTCGTGCTCGGGCCCTAACAAGGCTTCCTGTCAGTTGGTACAGTGACAAAGAGAAGCAGAGTAGACAACTTACAGTTTGAGAAGAGTACAGCTACACTGGCTTCCTGCCCCTTTCAAATATGAGTTTGTGCAAGTCACAGTTGCAGTTTGCATCACGATTCTGCAGGCAAATTGATAACATATCTGAAATAATAGGAAAGAAAAAAAGGATTACAATGCTGTGCTTATGATGCAGGAGCTGACTGTCAGAACTAGAACTATTTATTATACTGACCTCATATCACCTTATTTATTTACAAAAACTGAGAATAGCCTCTTTGCACACGGTTATCTCTGAAATCTGACATATCAAGTGTGGTAACCCCTTTATTAGTGATTTTCTGGTTTTATGATTCACCTTTTTTATTTTTATTTAGTTGTTTATGTTTACTTATTATTCTGTCTGTAAGTGTTAGTGGAATATCAACCTGCCTGTGATTGTAGTTAAATTGTCATTGTCAGTTAAAGGAAAAACAAGTAAAATGGCACACCACGTATCTTTTCTCAAAGCTGGTCAGTTGAGCAATGCAGGAAACTGCCCCATGGCCACAGACACCCCAAAGGGCACAGGTTCACTGATGTCACTGGATTCTGAAAATGTAATATAAGATAAGTTGTACCTTTATTGGGTTTTGATTAATTGCAAAATCATGATAAATGATGAGACTGCTGAGTAAAAATCAACTGAGGTGGGTCCTGCATTTGTATCACATCTGGCCTTGTCTTATATACAGGACTTGTTTTAAAGAAGGTGATATTCCATCTTTTTTGTTGTCAAAAAATCAATTTCAATGTGAAAAACAATGTGTTAGTCCATCTCTTCCCTAACCTGTCTGTCGTTCTTAATACCAAGCCCATTTGTCTCCCATTAAAGATGAAAATCTTTAAAAACAGATCATGAATGTGAACTGTAATACAAAAAAGAAAAGAAAAGGCAAAATAATTTCCTCAAAAATATTATTAGCCTTAACCATTACCTGAAAGTAAAGCTTTGTATAATAAAATGACCACAAACTAAATTACCTACAGAAAACCTGATACCAGGCCAAGTATTTTTCCAGCATAGGAATGCTGGATGTTCATATATAAGGTGCCATGTGTTATCTGCTGTGCGCCTTTTTTAATGGAAATTGACTGAGTATAGGCCAGAGAGTAAATATATTTAATATAAAAGAGGCAGTAAATGGGGGTCATTAAGTGCCCAAATGCATATATTTGCACTGGGCCCACTTAACAGATTAATTCAGTCATGTAATTTATTTTCTGTACATTACTGCATACAAGCTAGATTTATTTGTCACATTACAACAGGTTGTAAAGTGAAATTGAGTTTGTAACTCCCTTCCTTCCATAATATACAGCAATATAAAAGCAATTATAAAAATGGTAGACAGAAATAAACTATATTCAGTGGAGCAGTGCTGAGGATGAATTTGAGTTTAAAAGTCTGATAGCTTGGGTCACACACACAAAGAACAGCTTCTTCCCATCTGCAGCTGGCCTCATTAACAAGGCCCGGGACTCCCACTGATTGTCACCCCCCACCCACACCGTTTACAATACATACTATAAATGTTTGCACTTGTAATTAATGTTCCTTATTATTCTTTTAGATTTTTTATTTATATAAATACAACCCCCCCCCATGTAATATATTTGCACAACACATATCCGGTGTAATGCACATATAAATAACTGCCACATTTTTTTATTTTACACACGCAAATTTCTTGTACGTGTACTTGGCAATAAAGCTCTTTCTGATTCTGATTAAATGAATGTAGTAGACAACTTAAAAACTGCTTATTATGTCACAAAGTAAAATCAGGATTACTGGCTGGGGGGGGGGGGGGGGGGGTACAGAGGCTTCAAAACCCATTTACTAAAGTAAAATCAATTGTATTCAGGCAGAACACAGTCTTCCAACACCTCGTTGCACCAGGGGTCCTTTGAGCTAACGCAAATGTTTGTTGGCTAATTAGCGAGCTAGCAGCTACGTACGCAGTCAGTTGAAGAGGCAGATGATGGTGATGGCGGTTTATCTCTGCTGAGAATGAGCCCGAAAGATGTCAGGTTTGTTAATACGCTTACATATTGATTGAAACACAAACTCCAACGATTACAAACGTCAGCAGGTGTCACTTTGATAGGTAGTATCTGTATTGTTTACGGCGGCGGAACGAGACGAGACGCGCAATCTTTTGTTTTTCAAGCTAAGCTAGCTAGTTAGCCTTCAGTAGGTGCATTTATTTCGTCAGCGGAGAAAATATTATGGCAAACTCTTGTTTTAAGCTGGCGGTTTACAGTTGGCCTTGCTTATAGCTTACAAAACGTGATGTATACCTCGACTGAAACGTTTACATTTTATGTCCCAAACCGAGAGTTACACCACCGAGCAGAAAGATCCAGTTTGGACACGTCCTAGTTTATGAACTGGCTCACGCCGCTAGCTAACGTTAACTTGCCGCCCACTGCGATGGATTTTTGCGGAAGGCGACTGTAGATGAGGTAATGTTAAAATTGCTTCATAAGTTGCACTATATAAGTTAACGAACGTCTGAAATCAACGTTAGTTTGTGTGTCGTCTCATGATGCAAGGACTTTCACCAACAAGCATGACAGCGTTAAATTGGTAGATTGTTGCATGGTGTTTGGTTCTGCTCATACATTGAAGCTTCGACTAGCGGTAGACTACTTTGTCGCTCCCTGTCAACTTGTTTTAAGGTCAGTTACCTTAACGTCAACGTACCTAAGTAAAGAACCAAAACGTGTAACGTTGCGTGGCTTAATTATTTAACCAAGAGTTAGCCGCTTGCGCAAACGTTGTAACTTAGTTGCCTTGTTCCAATAGAAAATTTGCCAATTTAACCCAAACAAGGCTGTTAACAAGCTAATGTTAACACTTAGTCTAGTTAGTTAACCTATAGTGACACGATTGTCCTTCGTCCAGTCGCAGCCAGTTTCCTTGTTGAAATCAGCTGCTTTAACACGCAGATCTAGACTCCGACAAACGTTGACGTGAGTTGTTTTGCTTCATGTTATTCTGCCGAAGTCAGTTCTATTAATGTGGGTACATATATTTATGTTTACGTCGTCACATATCCGTGTAACAGCATGGGTTTGCTTTAGTGCGTAGCCAGTCTAACTTTAGCTGAAGCGGCTATGTTGCGTGTATCAGGCCTTTACAAATAAGTTGCCCGTGTAAATAGTTGGCTGAACGTTGACTTTGGGAAGTCTTTAACACGGGCTGGGTCAGTGGTTAGTCACAGCTGTGTTATTATGTGGAATAATGGCATTCATGCTATAGCAGCCATTCCATGCCTTAAATGTCTCACATTATCCTGACTAACGTGCATGCCAAGTGGATTATTCCCTTTATGCAATAGTCTATAATTACACCAGCTCAGAATTTCGACTTGCTCCCTCTAAAGAGGATATATATTACAGTCTTTTTATATCCACAAATGTGACACCAGGTGGTAAATCTGCAATCATGTATACCTATTAAAGGAGTGGTATAGTGTTTATGCAACTTTAGCTTTAAGTTATTGTCTGTTATTCATATAAACATGGAGCTAAATTAAATTTTTGTCCATCTTTGGGCAAGGACAAACTACAAATGTCCCCCCCCCCAGTGGCATGTGTATCAAATGTTAATGAAAAAGGATGCCAGTTATTACGCTGTCAGTTTAAAATGTGTTTGTGGTTTGAGTTTTATTGCTCTTGTTTAGTTTCTATTGTCATTGATATACTTTTAATCACTTAAGGGGTTAATTGTCTCGATTATAAGAGACAATTAAGAGTAAAACAAGAATAATAACAATGAAGGCCCATCGCAATTTCCGAAAGCCTAAACTGACATATTCAAATTAGTTGTGTCTAGACAGTAATCCTAAATTTCACATGGGTGAAGTTTGCCTTCAGGGCGCTCTGCCAGAAAGCCACTGTTCGTGTCCCGTGTGAGGCCAAAAGTCAACTTTGACTTGCTCTTCTAACCCAAACCATGGTCTTTTGCTAAATCTAACTAAGTAGCTTTTGTTGTCTAAACCTAACCAAACTGCGACTGAAATTAATTAAAAAAAAAAATTAAAAACAACATGAAAATGAGTCAACTGAGTCTAAAAATTAAATGTCAATTTTAAATGTTGTCTTCACACCTTACATTAACAGCCTTGTGGCTCTTGAAAACAACAATTTTAGTTTTGGTTAATTAACTAATTGTTTCAGCTCTAGAATGAAACCTTTTATCAGGCTTTTCCCGTTGCATGTGAACAGGACTGTGTGGATTAAGCATTGACTGCAACATAGCTAGTCATTGTGTGTGTGTGTGTACATTATCTAATAGTAAATTGCTGGTAGCACTACTTGAGTAACAGTTGAGTTTTCTCAGACTTTTCATTTACCTGTCCTCTGCTGTCTCCAGGGACGACCTGACAGCATCTGGCTTCTTTGACCTGTCGCTCCATCATCTCAGCTCTGTTGGATAGAGCAGTTCTCCAGCATCTTACCATCTGCCAAGCTCTGTTTCCAAACACCCTTAGTCTGCCACATCCTCTTCCTTCAAAGACCTCAAACAACTCTGGACTGAACTATAACAGCTGCATAGAGAGTTTCTGCCAACGTCCTTTATTTAAAAAAAAACAAAGAAAAGTGACAATGTATTGCCTACAGTGGCTACTCCCTGTGCTGCTCATCCCCAAGCCGCTGAACCCGGCGCTGTGGTTCAACCACTCCATGTTCATGGGCTTCTACCTCCTCAGCTTCTTGCTGGAGAGGAAGCCCTGCACCATCTGTGCCTTAGTCTTCCTGGCTGCCCTCTTCCTCATCTGCTACAGCTGCTGGGGCAACTGCTTCCTCTACCACTGCCAGGACGCCGCACTGCCGGACGCTGCCCACGACCCAGTGATTGTTGGGACCTAGGATTTAAAAAAAAGGTGGGGGGAACTGAAAGGGGGAAGGGAGGGTGAAGAGGTGTCGCTGGGGAATGATACTGCCATGCTGTAAGAGTCGACAGACTCCACTTTGGGGGTGGGAGAGCAGTGTAGAGGCGGTGTTGAAGGACTGCTGGAGAGGAATACCGCAAATATGGAGCGCGCTTGGCCAAAGGCAGCGTTAAGTAGAAGGAGTTTTTGGGTAGCTGTATTGCCATGCTGTAAAGAAAGAGTCTTGAACTTTGGGTGGTAGGAGGAGAGGAAGGGGGGATGCGATGTACTTTTAATGTAACGGGAAGGCGCGACATGCAAACGTGTGAACTTGGTGTTGAGGAAAGAAGAAACTCACTTTCTGCTACTTCGATTCCAGCATCTGAATAAGAACTAAATCGTATTTAAAACCACATGTGACGTCAACCTAAAGTGACCACTGTGTTTGTGTTCGGGTCCTTATTCCTAGCCGTCTTACTTGTTTACTTCCAGCACTATTGAAGAAAGACGTCGCTTTCTCCAAAAACTGATGGTCATCTTATTTTTTTTTAGAATACAAATGCTCTCCACTTCAGATTGCCAAACACAACCCCACACGAAAGCTGCAGACAGAGTTGGTAGTTACCAAGTTTCACTGGCATGCTTGCTTCTCAGCCCCGCACGTTACAGTTGTTGACAAACTTTATCACACCTGGTAGTGTTTAGGAATAGTCGGCGTCTTGTTTGTCTTCTGAGCTCTAGAGAGAAGAGGAGCAGCATGCCTTTCACAGTCCAAACAGACCAAACTTTGTCGCTACTTTGGCTCTGCACACGTCATGCTATCCTCAACAAGGAGAGCACACAAGACACTGGACAATCAGTTACTATGCTGTGAATAATTTGCCACATCGCCACACAGACACACCTCAGAAGGTGTTGTAATGCTGAGATACTGTCCTGTTATTGCCCACTGTACTCTGCAGCTGCCCTTCTCTTCCTCGTCTCCTCTTCCTCCTCTTGCCTCAGAGTGAACGTCCCCCATTGTAAGACTCACAATCTGAACTTTTTTTGCGGTTTGTTTTTGTGCATGGGTTGACTTTATTATTATTTTTTCTCCAAGCGTTAAATTCACACATGTTTTAATTAAAACAAAAATGCTGAAAGTTTCCAAAGGATAGAGTAATCTGTGTGTGTGTGTGTGTGTGTGTGTGTGTGTGTGGTTTATGAAGGAACATGTTTATGTGTGATAGGTGTGTATTTGTTTGTGGTCATGACACGCTGATGAGCGTTAAAATGTGGCGATACACAAGGTGACATCACAGTAGATGGTCAGTATTTACAGCCACAGAAAGCACTACAGGGTGCTGGTTGAGGAACTTGTATCAGAGTTTAATGACACAAGATTTTATTGTTAATCAGAAGGGCAATGCTGTCATTACGTTTCCTTGTGTATGACTGCTGAAGTGTTATGTTTAGCTGTATGACACAGGCTAAGGTGTTTATACTTTGTACCTACTGGGGTGGGGAGGGGGGGGTGTGTTTGTGTGTGTGTGTGTGTGTGTGTGGGTGTGTGAGACCTCCTGTTGCAGTGCTGAACATGCCCACTGCTTTTGGTTTTAATTTAAATAAAGTTTTTCCTCTCAGTGTTAAACTGTTTAGAAGTCAGTTTTTATGTCAACCATAAAAAGGTATTTTGGAAACTTATTTTGTTTTTTTTGTTTTATTTTTTAAGAGTTTTGTCTTGCAATTTAAAAAAAAAAAACAGTCTTTAACTTTTAAGTTGGTAGGCTGTGCAGAAACTCAGGCTTTTAAACGCGTCATGGATAATGAAGCAAAAGCAGTTCAGCACAAGTCAAAGAAACGGGTTTAAAATATGATGATGGATGAAACAAACAGTAAACTGGAGCTGGGTGTGGGTTTCACATGATGCAACTGAAGTGCAAGCCGTGCTAACGACCTGCTTCTGTTTCCCTGCAGAGTTTAACATCATCATTCACCTCCTTTTTAATTGATTTTTTTTTTTTCCTTCCCCGTCCTGAAACAGCTGAGAAAGTCCCCTGTGTTTTATAAAACGAGAAAACTTAGAGCCGAGATAAACCTTTGTGCATCAGTATTTTCTGATTTCTTTTGTGAGTTTATAAAATCTAATCAGATACAACACAATATTCTTATAAGGCTTAAAGAGGGTATTATCAATTATAATTAATTAGAACTGTCTTTGAAATACCACACAGAGTATTCAGGTCATTTTTATGCTATAAATAATGCTTATGTTACCGTGGAAATCTATCCCCAATACTGCTATCAGTTAATCTTTCTTTTATATACTGTATTTTAAATGGATCTGGGCTACTGTATTCCTGAATGTGGCTGTGTTTATGCCGGAAATGCCTTTAAATTGTGACTAACTTCTCCAACTGTATAGAAATGTATTTTCACTTAAATGATTTCAATGTATTTAATGAAGCTTTAGACAAAATATATAGGAATAAAAGAAAAGGTAGACAAAGTGGTGCAAAAAAAGGTCTGCTAGAAAAATTTAGACAATCTGTATGTTCACTGCATGATGCAAAGACATTGTAGTATTTACTGTAGTTGACTGATTTTCCACTGAAGACGTAAATGTTTCTCGGCACAGGGGAAAAAAACCAAAACAGCCACAGTGAATGTTGAGTCCTTTTTAATGCGCACAAAAGTGAAATGCTTCCTCTCATGTAAGTATTAAATGCAAAGAAGGGCAGTATAGTCTCTAATACACACGTCTGTAAGCAATATATATATATATATCCAGTTACAAAACTATCATTTTTAGAACCACAGTTTGATGCATAGCTGGGACCAAGTCAGAAATAAGTCTCAAGTCTCCTAAAGTCAGAAAGTTAAGGTAAATGAGTACAAACTCCTGCTGAACACGATGGAGCGCATGTAGAAAAAACAAACAAAAAACACAGGACCAGTATTGACAATGTTATTTTTGTGCATTTTGTTATTTCCCTGTTTAAGTGTTACTTATTGAAGACATGAGGAATATCAAACTGGACGGAACAAATCAGCAGAAAACCTGAGCTGTGTGCTAATAATGCAAGTAACCACTTTGGTGTCTTTCCCACAAAACAACAGGTAACGGGTGTTTCTAGTCATGTGAGCGCAGATGAGCAGAAAAACATGTTAAAACAAAAGGAATCATGTTTTTAGCCACTTTGGTCAAAAACTAAATATTAACTGTCAGACGGATTGCTATGAAAGTTAGTACAGACATTCATGTTTCCCAGAGGATGAATCATACTGACTTTGGTGATCCTCTGACTTTGTGTCTCAGGTCACCATGAGTGAAATAGCATGTTGACCTTTGCATTTAGTTAAAAAGCGGCGATTGTGCGTACAGCCTCACAGAGACTCTGTCCATCCTTACTTCCTTTACCCTCATGTTGTCTTTCCTTTTGTTGTTTCTTCCAAATCTCCTTCAACTCCACGTTCCTACACTACTGCTCTTGTCTTTTTCCTTTCATAAAACTGAGTTTTTAACAGCAGCTAGAAAACTAATAAACAGAGCTACTATAGCCTCAAACAAAAGCAAATACTGGTATTCAGTCTCTAATTCTGGGAGTCAAATCTATTCCAAAAAAATAGGAAAGTTAACATGGTTGAAAATCATCTTTACTAAATATTTGAGCCATCTGCTCCTATAGTAGGGGGCTAAACCAAACCAGGCTAAGATTTTTATATTGTGAACATTTTTAAGGTTTCGTGTTTCTTGGCTAATCTGACTCTGCGTCCGATTATCTAAAAGAAAAAATTAATAGTGTCTTTCCTGTTTTACATTATATCATCCCTTGTGAGATTTTGATGCCGTGATTGAATTGATTCAAGACATGATTTCCAACACGAGAGCGCTGCTACGCCGAGAAATTTGAACCCCTGTTTTATTTATTAAAATAATATGGGAAGTAAATGATCAGATTTCAGCATGACGTTTTTCTAGAACATTTTCTATACCAAAAACCTCCCTAAAACGTGACACATAGTTGAGCTGAATTAAGCCATCAAGGATGTAGTAAAAACACATTTGTCTCATTAACTTTGCAGATAAAAAAGCTGACTAACATCTTCTTCCCATGCCATTTTGTTGACCTCACAAACATTCCTTAAATATCCCAGTCAGAGAGGTCCAAGGTCAGTTTTACCACAGCTAAATCTACCCTGTGGCAAGTGAAAGCATCCTCAGGTCAGGGCCCTTCCAAAAATTCTGTTTTCCTCCCAGCGGAGGGCAGCACCTGCCTGTGTGATAGAAAGCTGAGGCCAAACAGACTGACAGTGTGAGAAACCTGGAAGTATTTTTCAAAGAAGAGGATGATGAAGAAACAGTTGTTAACACTTAACGATATGGGTACAAAACACATGCTTTAGTAATGCATGGATTAATACAGGATGCATCATGAATTCCTGTTTGATAAAAAGGCTTCAGAGAGGATATCAAATCCATTGATCTGAAATGGCCTTTTCAATTAATCGACTGAAAGGAAATTAATTAGCAAATTATCCATCCAGATAATCTAATAAGCAGAAATGCCTAAAATATGTTGCTCTCAGCTCCTTAATTATGAGGATTTGCTGCATTTCTCAGTTTTATATCATAGTAAACTGAATATCTTTAGGCTTTGACCTGTTGATCGGTCAAAATAAGACATCGAAGACATCACATCTAGCTCTGGGAAACTGGAGATGGAAATCTTTCACAATTATAAAACACAAAATAAGATAAGATTGATTGATAATGAATATAAACAGCCCTTGTAACTGGATTTGGAGGCATGTATAAAGAATTACCTGTTAACTAATTACATAAACTTACAGTAACTTGATCATTTCTTAATGGTGAGCAACAGGAACTCATGGCACATCCACAATTCATGAACAACATAACCACAAGGCATGCATTAGTGTTTTGTACCTTTATTATAAAGTGTTACTATTCTTTATCAAGCAGTAATACGACATACATTTAAGTCAAACACTTGTCTGTGTTGCCTCAGGATTGTCACCTCCTTCAGGCTAAATCAATGCAAATAAAAACCCATGCATCTCAAATGACAACAGACTTTCATCGGCCCATGAAACCCAGCGGCTGCACCCATGTCGTCTGCAAAGCAGGAAACTCGCTGACAAAAAGGAACAGATTTAGGTAAGCAGAGTAAAACCTCTTAAATCCTTTTTTGCTGCCTGCCGGAGTTGTTTGTACTATAATCCTTTGGTGTCCCTGAATATCACAGTTCCTGTTAATGGAAACATTTCAGCAGCCATTTTATGTTCCTTGTACTGAGCATTCAAACGCTGGCCAACTTAAAGAAAGTAAGTGCAACTCAGATAAAAAAAAAGTTACCTGCCACAGGTAGATTTGACTTCTCCTGTAAGATTATTGAAACTTAACTCTCACAGGCAGAAGGAGCACTGTTCAGGACTGTTAGGAGGGATTTATTCAGTCCCTCAGGGTTTAATGTTCATATGAAAATTTGCATCTTTGCTCATTATATGAAAAAAACAAAACATTCTCATTCATTTTCCAATAAGAAAACCATGTAGATGTGTTGACTTCATTGAAAGTCCAACCACTGGAAAGGAAGAAATTATGAAATAAAATGGCACAAAGCATATTAGCAGGTTAAATAACTAGAAAGGAGCTACTCCTTCTTCAAACAAAACTCTGCACATTTGACCAAAATAAATTCAAGATCCCAGTCAAGTCACTTCTCTGGTCAAAGGGTGAAGAAAATCAGAGGTTTGCAGCAAAAAAAACATCAGTGAGTGAGCAAGCGATCCATCCAGAGAAAGCTAGAGTCACCAGCTTTAGATCTTCCTCTGCACTCGTCCCATTGGTATTTGTTATGAAGGCACCACAGATTTCTTCAAACTAAACCAGAGAGTTTAAATTTAGGTCTCTCACCCTGACATCCGGATCATAGAGACTGTTCTTATCGGGGGGGAAAGAGACCCTCTGCTTATTTTTATGCCCAGACTTGTTTCCTATAGGATGGTAATCTCTGTCTCTTGGTTCTGATAAGCCTCCTCCTGCATCTCAGCGTACAGCTGATCCATCCTCTGGAAGGCCAGGTAGCCCTTTTTACCTGCAGACGGCACAGATAGAAAGCATAATCAAATAAAATATAACAAAAGAAAAATTAATGAAAAATAAATAATGTTCGTACCAAAAGAGAGGACAGTCTCTCTGACAGCGCTGCGGAGATCTTCATCCGCTGATCTCCACAAATCTGCTATGTGGTCCACACTCTCTGTTGCCTGGCAAACACACACACACACGACAGTTAATATTGTACCAGACATACTGAAAGCTTGTATTTCTGTGAGTGTTGCTGTGTTTGCTCACCCTGAGGCATTTAAGAGCCAGACAGGAGCCTTGTTGGATTTGAACATCAGTGCTCTTCAAACTCTCGGTGTAGTAAACAACCGCCTTGAGAAGGTTAACACGGAGAAGTAAGAGATGTTGTTTGTGCTGTTGTAGCAGCTGCATCATTGCAATTAGAGGTAAACCCAAGAAAGGTGAAGCTGTTATTTACAAGCTCACCCAATGAACTGTAGGTCAGAAATAATAAGACTAAGAGTCTACAGCCATGCTTTCGACTATGTGGGGCTGTGAGACAATGACACTGTTAACATGCTGATGTGTTGCAGGTTATAATCATGTTCACCATCTTAGTTTGGTTGGAGCAGCTGCTCACTGGCCAACAGATCAGACTGTCAGACTGTGGTTGTACTGGTGTAAATGTGTTTCACTGGGTGATCCATCAGTAAAACAACAAAAAGCATGTTGGGAAACTGAGCAGCTAAACAACTTTAGTAAGCTACATCTGTGTCCACTCCTCCCATGTTAATTTCTAGTGAATTCAGACTTGTATGGGAAATACAGAAACTTTTTATGGTTATATGGTAAAGTATGATAATGTTGGTCTGTCTGACTTTTCCTCTAATGCCACCATGAGGTTCACATTTGTGGTTTTATGTGAAATATCTTAACAACTATTGGGTGTATTGATGTGACATATGGTACAAACATTCACGTCCCCCTCAGGATGAATTGTTTGGTTATCACTTTTGATTACCCAGAGTTCAGAGTTGTAATTTGTTCTTTAAGACCATATTTATGACATTCTCAGCCTCAGCCCGTGTTTAGTGCTAATTAGCAAATGTCAGCATTCTAACATACTAAACTAAGATGGTAAGCATTATACCTGCTAAACATCTGCAATCATGCTCATTTTCAATGAGAGCATGAAATGTTAGCATTTGACTTAAAGCCCAGCTCAAACCCATTAGCATGGCTGCGGACTCGTATTGATGCTAACACACTGATGGGGACAGTTTAATGTACCTTGCTCCTGAAGGCCTTGCAGCCTGCAGCTCTGCAGAGACAGTTGGCAGCAGCTTTACAGACTTTGTGGTTAGAGTCTATCTGCAGGGCGGCCAGAGTCTGCAGCGTGCATCCTAGAGGGAGGAGCCCCGAGATGCACCGCCCCCTCAATTTATTTAAAGCCCGCCTCCTTTTGGGGCCACTCAGGGATGACAGGATGTACTCTGAAACACACCGTTGACCATAATGAATTATTAATACACATACGTTGCAAAAGTTGCAAAAAACACATAGCCCACTTATTAGCTATATATATATATATATACATACATACACACACACACACACACACACACACACACACAATGCCGGTAGTATATGCAAATGAACAATGGTTAATTTTCCTACATGTTGCCCCAACCTGAGAGCTCCTCATTCATTTTCCAGCAAAAGTCCACCAGATGACACAAACTTTAATGCTGGCGCTAGGGCCAGGGCGCGAACGATGGGGGAACCAGTGGAAGCTTGGCTCCTCTTATTAAGACACGAACTCCCCTGAAAACATGGTTTGTGAAATTTTGGGGGCTCTCTAAAATGTTGACAATGTGTTATTTTTGCTATTCATTTCTATTTTTTCTGAATCATCATGGACCATGACTAAAATCAGGATCGCCGGGCTTCATCCACCCAGAGGGAATGATCACCGACTGTCTGCATCTCATCGGGCCGCTCCACGACCTCCTGTCGTTGGCCCTGTCCACTCCAGCGGCCCTCTCCCATTCCGGTAGACCTATATGGGTTGTGTCGCTAGTAGGACCGGTTCACTGTGGACTGTCAGTGATTGTTTCCTCAGGCTGGATGTACGTATGATCTTCATGCCACCCCTCATAAATGACATGATGATAAATGCCCCACTTGGCCACTGGATAGCGGTGCAGAGCTGCCCCGTGCCAGGAACAAATGGAGTAGCTATAAGTTATACCAAAGCTTTGGGCCACATATGGACAGCAGAGTGCTTGAAACTGTGCTGGTCATATGGTTAGAATATCATCAAAAAGTTGATTTATTTCAGTAATTCTATTCAAAAAGTGAAACTTGGATATTATATTCATTCATTCATTTCAACTAATGAAAATCCCAAATTCAGTATCTCCGAAAATTAGAATATTACTTAAACCAATATTAGACCAATACAAAAAAAGGATTTTTAGAAATGTTGGCCAACTGAAAAGTATGAACATGAAAAGTATGTGCATGTACAGCACTCAATACTTAGTTGGGGCCCCTTTTGCCTGAATTACTGCAGCAATGCGGCGTGGCATGGAGTCGATCAGTCTGTGGCACTGCTCAGGTGTTATGAGAGCCCAGGTTGCTCTGATAGTGGCCTTCAGCTCTTCTACATTGTTGGGTCTGGCGTATCGCATCTTCCTCTTCACAATAGCCCATAGATTTTCTATAGGGTTAAGGTCAGGCGAGTTTGCTGGCCAATTAAGAACAGGGATACCGTGGTCCTTAAACCAGGTACTGGTAGCTTTAGCACTGTGTGCAGGTGCCAAGTCCTGTTGGAAAATGAAATCTGCATCTCCATAAAGTTGGTCATGTCATCAGCAGGAAGCATGAAGTGCTTCCTGCTGATGACATGGCACCCCAAACCATCACTGACTGTGGAAACTTTACACTGGACTTCAAGCAACGTGGATTCTGTGCCTCTCCTCTCTTCCTCCAGATTCTGGGAAAATTTACTTTCATCAGAGAACATAACTTTGGACCACTCAGCAGCAGTCCAGTCCTTTTTGTCTTTTGCCCAGGCGAGACGCTTCTGACGCTGTGTCTTGTTCAAGAGTGACTTGACACAAGGAATGTGACAGCTGAAACCCATGTCTTGCATACGTCTGTGCGTGGTGGTTCTTGAAGCACTGACTCCAGCTGTAGTCCACTCTTTGTGAATCTCCCCACATTTTTGAATGGGATTTGTTTCACAATCCTCTCCAGGGTGCGGTTATCCCTATTGCTTGTACACTTTTTTTCTACCACATCTTTTCCTTCCCTTCGCCTCTCTATTAATGTGCTTGGACACAGAGCTCTGTGAACAGCCAGCCTCTTTAGCAATGACCTTTTGTGTCTTGCCCTCCTTGTGCAAGGTGTCAATGGTCATCTTTTGGACAGCTGTCAAGTCAGCAGTCTTCCCCATGATTGTGTAGCCTACAGAACTAGACTGAGAGACCATTTAAAGGCCTTTGCAGGTGTTTTGAGTTAATTAGCTGATTAGAGTGTGGCACCAGGTGTCTTCAATATTGAACCTTTTCACAATATTCTAATTTTCTGAGATACTGATTTTGGGGTTTTCATTAGTTGCCAGTTATAATCATCAAAATTAAAAGGCAAGAACACTTGAAATATATCATTCTGTGTGGAATGAATGTATACATTATACAAGTTTCACTTTTTGAATGGATTTACTGAAATAAATCAACCTTTTGATGATATTCTAATTATATGACCAGCACCTGTATACTGCCCAGTTTTATGAAAAGATCTTTCTAGTAGTGAAATATTCCTCTAATTGACTTCTCTTCAATGTTGGCTTAAAAATAGAGTTTCAAAGTTCCATTCATTCATGACATTAGAAACAGGTCAATGTTTAGGATTTGCATGGTAACTATGTTTACTTTTGTGAGCTTTCATAACTAAAATTTAGGAACATCAATTTTAGATCACCTGAACAGGCCTGTTTTAATTTACAATCATAAGACAAGTTGAAAACACTTGTTGAAGCAAATCAATATTGAAGGTTAAGCTGTTTACACTGTCCTCTTTATTCTCATGTACAAGAACATTTCTATTCTTACTAGAATTCTGTGTTGAGATGTTTTAATGTATGAATCATAATTTTTACATCTTTACATCTTAGAAAAGTAAATTCAGTTTGATCTAATCTTTCTGGCACTCTTTGTCTAACTTGTGCTGTAAACTCCTGCCTTGTGTTCAAAGAGAGTGGAAAAAAATGCTGAGATTAAATTCAGACTTTGTTTGTCCCAGACTGAATTAAAGCATAATAAACAGTGTTGTTGTTTTATACGTTTTATATGTGACATGCCAGGCAAACCAAATGTAGTTTGTCAGTTCAATAAACAGGGGACATCAACATACTGCAACCACGTGGAGGACAGGAAGCAAGGGGAGAGGAAGAGAAGAAAGAAGGATGGACATATTCTTGTGTGTTCATGTCTGATGGATTATAAATCACGTGGTTGTTAAAACTGTATGGATCCTTTAAGCAGAGTTGTGGCTCTTAGAGCTAAGTACACACGCACACAAGTCCAGTTGGTTTGGTGCGACTGTTTGGCAGTAAAGTTGACAGATGGTCCAGATTCCTTTAGCACACTGGAATTTCTGGAATGTTCTCAGATCCTAAAGCTCTCTAGTAGAACTATAAGAGCATACCATTTCTCAAATACACAGCAGATACCAGCAGGACACACAAATGTGTCGCTATGCACAAACTTTGGTGACACCTGTCATGTGTGATTCTAGCTGTAAAGTCAAAAACAAAAACAATGTGGATTTAGATTTAAATAAATGTATATTTAGTTTGCCACAGGGGTTTGTAGCCATTAAAAAGGTCCTGTAAACTTATTTTCTCACCCCAATACAATGAATATGTCACGAGGACTGTCTAGTTGTTTCTCTGCCCCAGTCTCCAGCCCCCGCTCACTTCTCCTTGGCCACGTACTCTCCTGTAACTCCTCAGACGTGCCATCCTCGAGCCAGTCAGAGATGCCCTCAGACTTTCTTGCCAATCCTGCTCACCTGACATTGCCTTCTACTTACACACCTGTTCCCACTTTTCTCATCAGTCCTGCATATATATATATATATATATATACATATATACACACACACACACACCCGCCCCTTTTCCCCACTCAGTTGCCAGATTGTCTTTGTTGCTCTGTGACATGTTTACCCTTATGACTCAGTAAACTTGTAATTAAATCCCAAAACTGTACCTTCTGCATTTGGGTCTAATTCCTTGCTTCCTCACACTCTCCTCCATAACAGAAGATGAATGGAATTTTGTTTGTGACTTTCAAAGCATTAGAATAAATGTAAAAATCTGTAGAAACTACTTACCAAAGAAATAATCTCTTTGAAAACTGTTCACATTGACACAGAATGTTTTTATTTAAATGTTTCAGTGCTGTGCTGTATTGTGGTTGAGATGAAAACGTCAGATACGACAAATATCTCAAAATCAGGAAAAGGAAAACTAAAGCCATTTAAATATCTGGACTCAATGTTTGTTTTTTTTGTAATTTAGATGAACAACACTTTGATGTTAAATAAAAGAAAAGATAAAAGTAGAAAGTAAAATATGACATTTTCGGGAACAATTTCTTCACATAACCCACATGTAAATTCTTTTTAGTTTTAACATCTTCACAGTACCTTCTTTGGAGAGGCGTGAGATGTGCTCCCCCAGCTCTTGGGTGCTCCAGCGTTTCAGATAAACGGACAGCTGGAAGATGGTGACTCTCTCTGGGCTGCAGATTGGCCGAAAGCCGGGCACCATCCGACAGGCCGTCTGGACATGCTGCAGGAGCTTAGAAAACACTGCAGAGGAGGGAGACAGGTTTCCACCTTAGTCAGCCAGTGAAAATACTGCTTGGCTAGTGCAGGAGCCAACATCTATTAGCGCCTGAAATGCTGCCTTTCATACTTTGAAGTTCTGCTGGCATTTTTTTATTATTTGATGGTGAATTTTTCCTCTCTCTGCAGATGGGAAACTCTTGACTTGGAAAATTTGTAAAATTATCTTTCGTAAAAGGTGAAATATAGTAAAGTTTGTCAGCCTGCTGTGTGTGTTTTTTTTTTTTTATTCTTTCACCTCTATTTAGCAAGCCAACCTCTTAAAATAAAACATTTATGCTTATAATTAATATTCATGCACTAGAAAAACATAAAGAGAACAACAAATAAATAAACATAAATAATTCAACTATATGGGTAAGAAAGGTGGAGTTAAGTGTAGTACAGTACCTTTTTCCGACTGGCCGGGCTGCTTAGCCTTCACCTTGTGTGTGTAACGTTTCCTTAACGTCCTGGAGAAGCGGTCAGAGCTGCAACAGAAAGGAGAGCTGTTGTCGTTCACACACTCCTCCCAGAACAACAGCACATCCCTCGTTCTCTGGGCCTTTGGGAGGACTGAAGGTGAAGAGAGGAGGAGAGTGAATATCTTATGTTTACCTTTATTTATCAATGCACACACATCTGCTTGCTCTCTAAATAAACAGATCTTCCACTAACTGTCACTAGCAGAGATGGTGTTTGTTCTTCTCTAGCAGCAGACAGCTGACTCTGTCAAGGACTTCAGCTTGGAGAGCCATTTCCTCCAGCAGGTCCTTCCTGGATGGGCTGAAGTCTGTCGTTCTCATCATCTGAGCAAACATTATGTGCATTTGTTAGATTTTGACAAGCAAATTTGAGGGTGGACACAGATGAGGGGCAGCTTTGCAAGACAACAGGTAGAAACACATTCCTTATAGCCTCATCATACCTGCATGTACTGTTAAACCGTAAACCGTAAACACCTAAATACACAAAGGTAGAAAATCCTGCATGTGCTGCCATCTAGTGGTTCATGCATGCTATGATTAAACCATACCCAGTCCAGTAGAGATTATGACGTATATGGTGATTCAGCGCCTCATGATTTACATCCAAAACCAGTGTGCAGTGCAAATGAAGGAAGTAATGTCTCCTTAAGTAGTGCGGTGGAATACAAGGCTGTGGTCAGGGTGGGGTACTGGCTTGTAGCAAGCCTGACTTTCATACAGGACTTTACATCCTTTCACAAAGCAAGGAATGTAACTGTAACTACCATCTTACCCAAATGTGAAGTAAAGTGTTATAGTTGCAATGCACAGAAAATGAGTATTAGAAACTTTGGAGTTGGATTTTTAAAAAAGTATTAAATGTAATCCACAGTTTTGCAGAATCATCCAATCTCCAAAAACGTTTTTTGGACCTGCAGCAGGGTGTCGAACTTTGCCCGACTTTGGGGGGAGCTCCGATCTGTCTGGAAAGTCTCTTCTTTTATAATCGTCATCTTATCACTTTCCATGTTCATTCAAAAAAAGAAGAGACAAAAAACACAACAACCAGCAACCCATAGCCTATGTGGATCATAACAGTTGGTACAGATATAAGCTGATAGCAACAAGTACTCCAAATGAAACAATACAATATGTTTCTACATGCCTTTTAGAAAAACATTTTCTGATCTGACGCCAGTATCACTTGGTTAGAAACAGGAAACAAACAGCGGCCTCCAGTGTATGTTTGTCTGATGTTTAAGTGTCTTATAGTGGCTTAGGCTTTGCTCCTGATGTAGCCTACAAGAGTCGTACTTACTATTGCTGCTAGAGGGCTACTTCACTTGAACGTAATTTTGGACCACTTACTGAAACGACAGCTTTTTTTGTCACTCTTGGGCATTACTGAAACTCTCCCTTCTCCACTCTGGGTTTTATAAATAACAGTTGAGAACAGGTAACCACAGTTCATAACTGTCAATGCAATTTGTCTTTTTCTCTGTCTTTGTGTTTTTTTCTTAGTAATTCCCTTTTCACAGTATAGACAAGCCTGTAATCTCACCTTCTTATGTGGCAGCTCTTTATGCACAACTTGGCATTTGGGGTATTTGAGAACATGCTTCAGAAACATGACATGTACAGTAAGTACAAACATAGTTTGATGTGTTTTGTTGTCTTGCTTTGTATAAAAGTTAATTTGTGTTACATTATAAGGATGATCTCATCATACTCATCCTTACTTATCCAAAAACCTGATTAATATAAACATAGCTTGTGACATGCTGCAGCAGCTGTACCTGTAGCAGGATGCAATTTATATCCAGGTGAGTCTCAAGAGCCTGGTCAAGACCCCAATTCCCAGAAGTCAGAGGGGCCAAGACCAACTCTTCCTCAGAAGCTGATTGGCTGTTCTGGGAGAGGAGGCCGAGACTCCTCAGAGTGCTCTGCTGGATTGAGCTGATGCTGATAAATATGAATAACAAGGAAATATGAGTTGTTTCACATTACGTCAGAGTTGAGTGTTTTATCTTATAGTGTTTATCTTATTATTATTGTCTTCTGTCTGTCTATGAACCCACCCACTGTCTTTTAGTCTGAGGCTGCCCAAACAGGAAGTGTCATCATCTGCGTTGAAGTCATGTGACAAGAAGTCAAAGCTGCCCAGGACTTCCTCCACAGCCAGAGTCTCCTCTGATGACGAGCTTTTCAACATGGAGAGGTCGTTCTGCGGGAGAACACGCATAAATATAAAGGGCAGATCACACACAGTTTCTGTACTTACAGGTGTGTGTATATGTGTATATATAAATACACACAGGTACCTTCAGGATGGTTGCCAGGTGCAGTGTCTGGTGTTCCAGGGCTCTCAGCTCCTTCTCAGAGCAGCTCTGGTTCTGAAACATCTTCTCCAGCTCTGCGATCAGGACTCCCAGCCTGAGAGCTTGGGTTCTGCGCTGGACACTGCTCACCACCGGCCTCCCCGCGGTCGGAGCAGCAGTTGTGGGTGAGGAAGGTGTTACAGCTGGGGGCTGAGTAGTTGGTGTGGGCAAGGCAGGGGCAGAATATGACTGACATTCTGGGGAGTCCTGGAACAAATGTAGAGAAGAGTAAGTTTAAAACAAGAACAAGCTGGAAGAGAAGAAATGTGCGACTAGATGAGAAGAGGGAGACAAGAACTGAAGAGAGAGAGAACACAAGAAAAGCTGAAGAGATGAGAAGGTCCACAAGAAAATAGTCCCTCTAGCAGATACATTTTAAATTGTGCCAGATACGAATTCCCCCAAAACTTCAAGATATATTATTATTAGATATTTGTGGACCACAAAATATTTGTAGCTTACTGTTATCAGCCAGTAAAAAGCCAAATGTGTGAAAGTTGTCACCAAAACAAACATGTAAACTCACATGTAAATACACCACAAAAAACTTAAAAGCAAGGTCCACAGACAGAAGAAGTAGTCAGGGTGCAGTAGCTGAGACGTGCCAAAGCAAATGTGATGAAATTGCTGCTTTTCCAAAGAGTTGAAGTGCATCACGACACCACCCGAATGTGGGCTTTCATTTGTAGAAAAAAAAAAAAAAATGGGTGGAGCTGTTTTGTTGACACTTTAATTGGACACAATTCACGGCTTCAGCCCCTGAACGTGGTGGAAGGATCGTCTTTGTAGCTATTTTTATTTGCACCAGGATTTCAATGCAGTGTTGAATTTGACTTGAGATAAATGATTCTAGTGGAGCTGTCAGGTTTTATTTACCTGAACAGTGACATTGTCCTGTCCCAGACCTGCACTGTGTGTCTCTGGGTCTGGCTCGCCAGCTGTGTTCTTTCTGAGGATGTCAGGAGTGCTGGACCTGCGTTACAGAAATCTCATGTAGTGTTATCATTATAGGATTTATCATGGTGAAAAAAAGAAGGTAGACATCATTTTGTTCATCATTGGTTACCTTAAATTTAAAGTGCAATGAAGTGTTTACAAGTTTTTGTCTACCCCCTTTATTGCCTTTTGGGATTTAGGTGATTTTGAATCATAAATATAAACTAAAGTGTTCCTTTACACGTTGAGAAAATTCTCCTACTTCAGTTACACCATTATCATTATCTAAAAATTATACTGTCACAAAGCTAAAAACAGGACTGTTTCTCTTAACATGAAGTTCTTAGCTCATGAAAAGTTGGCATTTTGGAGAGACATGGTTTTGGCAGCACAACAACGCTTTGTTTCTAGGCAGAACTTAAAGTAGTTTATCCTCACATCTGTAGAGCCAGCAGGGAACCGGTTTTACTGTCTGCTGGTGTAGAGGGAGGATCTAACGCACTTCCCCACTCCTCCTCCTCTCCATCCTTCTCATCCGTCTTCTTCCCCGCCTCCCTCTCCTCTGTGGAGACCTCCAGGGATCCTTCCTCCCCGAGGGACAGCTGAGTCTGGCTTCCTCCCAGACTGGTGCCTTGACTGTGGCTGGAGGGGTAGCTGTGAGTCCGCCTGCGACTGGAGGAATTACAACATGAAATACACATAAATCTACGCTGAGAACTTGCTATTTAAAATGTTGCACTGACGGATGTTTGAATCCTAAGCCCATTCTTGCTTTATTGGTACCACATTAAAGCAGTGGTTCTCAAATTGTGGTGACATAAACAAACAAAAATGCTCTGCTGCTAAGCTCTTTTGCTAACCTGAATCTTGTTTATTTTAATCGCCTGTACTGTTAATGATTGATAGGGGCATGAACTTTCTTTGGTTTCTGAATAGGGGCTTGACAGATGAAGCTTGAGAACCACTGTATTAAACTGATCATCTAAGATCACCACAAACTTTCCCTCCCCAAAATTTTCCTCTAACATGGAGGTTCTTTCACACAAATGTTAAATTGTTTTTTTAAACAACTTTTCTGTCATTTTTCTTACTTTCACATCTTCAGGACTCTAAAAATCCTTCTAGTCAAACAATCTAAGAAAGCAAATTTACTCTTTGGTTGAAGTGCTCAGAACTCAGCTCCACACTAAGGCCAACCTTTGATGTGGGGCAATAAATCGCAGGAGGACAAGGCTGGCATTATTTAATATTCTTCTTCTTCTTACTCACAAATCTCAGAAAAACAACAATGAATTAACAATAAGTATTGTCTCGGTGGACGCTGTACAGTATGTTGCTATACAAAAAACACCAAGACAGATAAGTGTTATCCTTTAATGTTTATACACTACATACCTCAGGGTGTAGGGGCTTTGTGGGCTGAGGGGTGATGTGGTATGTGATGGGTTGGACAGGTAGCTCAGCAGAGACACACCTCCTCTGTTATGTTGACCTTTAGACACCAGAGACGGGAGGGAACCTTCTCGATCCTGCAGCTCTCGCACCATCGACTGCAGACGAGGGAAGAGACCCGGATATCAAAGAAAATATCACACATCAGCAATGTGTAACATTTGATGAAATATGGCAGAGTTTTATCTTCAAATGAGTCGAACTAGACACATAAAAAGAAATAGAAGTTGAATTACGTAGATACACTCAGTAGCCACTTTATTAGGTACACCTATACAGTCTAAATTAGTCCAATACAACAGCTCTGCCAACATCTATCTTCATGAAGCTCATTCTGTTTTTGTCGACATTGTCTGAAATGTATATTTAATTACACTGAACAAAATTATAAACGCAACACTTCTGTTTTTGCTCCCATTCATCATGAGCTGAACTCAAAGATCTAAGACTTTCTCTATGTAGACAAAAGACCTGTTTCTCTCAAATATTGTTCACAAATCTGTGTTAGTGAGCACTTCTCCTTTGCTGAGATAATCCATCCACCTCACAGGTGTGGTATATCAAGATGCTGATCAGACAGCATGGGGATTGCACAGGTGTGCTTTAGGCTGGCCACAATAAAAGGCCACTTGAAAATGTGCAGTTTCACTTGGAAGGGGTCGGGTCCAGTCAGTATCTGGTGTGACCACCATTTGCCTCACGCAGTGCAACACATCTCTTTTGCATCAGGGTGTGGATTGTGGCCTGTGGAATGTGTGTCCACTCCTCTTCGATGGCTGTGCGAAGTTGCAGTCAGTCAGGTTGAGACCTCGATGAGGATGACGAGCGTGCAGATGAGCTTCCCCCGATACGGTTCCTTACCGTTTGTTCAGAAATTTTTTGGTTATGCAAACCGATTGTTGCAGCAGTGGTCCGTGTGGCTGGTCTCAGACGATCTTGGAGGTGAAGATGCAGGATGTGGGGTTCCCAGGGTGGTGTGGTTACACATGGTCTGTGGTTGTGGGTGAAGTCTTAGGAGAAGTACTCACTCACACAGATTTTGACAGATTTGTGAACAATATTTGAGAGAAATAGGCCTTTTGTGTACATAGAGAAAGTCTTAGATATTTGAGTTCAGCTCATGATGAATGAGGGCAAAAACAAAAGTGTTGCGTTTATTTGTTCATTGTATATATGTCATGGTTTTGGGTTCTGCTATTTCCTATTTCATTTTGAAAGTAATCTACCTCTTGTGTAACTTTGTTTCCTATCTTTGTGTTCCCGGTTGATTGTTTTGACCTAATGTGTTTACCTGTGTTTAGTCATCCTGCCCTCTTGTGTTGAAGTTAAGTTTAAGTCTCTACTCGCTTTGTTCCTCAACTTTTCAAACATTTACAGACTCGTATGGATCATAAACAATGTTCGAAATATACTGATCTTTGTCAATGTTTATACAGTGCTTTGGCAACTGTATATTGTGCTGTAGACAATAAAGCCAATGAAGCCTTTTGAATTTGAAAAGGGTAAGGGTATTTTAGTGTGTTAGGGAGGAGTATGCATGAATATATGTATATTTGCATGAATCTACTGTTTTCCTGTACGTGTTGAGGGAACATTATTAATCTATTTTACATTGTGCAGACTGACTCTTTTGGGGACAAAATGCAAGTTCACTGCAAGGTACTGCAGGTAAGGGTTACGCATTTAGTTGTTATGGCTAAAGTTAGGCACAGACTTGTATGTATACTTACTATAAAGTATTTCTCAGTGAAGGACGGGGTGCTTGGTGCCGTCCAGCTGTAAACAGAGCTCTTTCTACTGGACACTGACTGCCTGCTGACAGACAGTGGCCTCATCTTCTCAGCACTGTCAAACGGACTGCAAGTGCAAACACACGCCAACACTTAGATACCACAAAAACTCACAGATTGTAAATGTACATTACACACAAATAGGATGACAATTACAGCTGCAAACACATTTCATGTATTCCCAGACATGAGAAATTTCACTGCCTTTTCCATCACATCGCTTCACATTGTGGAAATCTTGATAGCATGGTGTGTGCATACAGTGTGAAAAACCTGAAACCTTTTAGTCACACAGTCCCTATAAATTCATAGATTTTGTGCTTTCATGGATCACGTCAGTGAAACTTCAATTTCTCCTGACCTCACAGAATCGATTTGTTTTATTTACCCAGAGTAATCACCAGTGGGTAAATTCACAGTTTTTCTTGCTGTGTCTAAATAGATAGTTCGATCCTTTGGGAACCTTGACTTTGAACACTTATGTGGGAGGTTGTTAGAGCGTGCATGTTCTTTATCAACAATATCCTGCTTTATATTCATCGGTTGCAGACATTCACACCTGGGGGCTTTTCAGTGCAGTATTTTCTTTGTGTCCACTTTTTATTTTCTAAAGTCAGCGTCTCTCATTAGTCTGAGATTTGAACCAACACATTTTCATCTTCCATTGCTGCCCACAGCTATACTTTTGAATTTGGTTAACACTTTCTGCCATGTTGTTTTAGGAGTTTATATGTAGAAACACTGATGGAAATCACTGAAATGGCACTCGTTCAAGGGTTCAACAGCATTATATTGGGGGGGGGGGGTGCGCGGTCACAACAGCATTTTGTTTTGTGAATGTGTGAGTTCGGCAGCCTTGTGCGTGTTCGTGTGATTTTCCAACTCTCCGGGGACAATCCGTAAAACATCCTCCACCTGGCTTCTCTAAACCTGAAATGTGATCTCATGGTGAAAAGGCACAGCGCTGTGTGTGTGTGTGTGTGTGTGTGTGGTGTGTGTGTGTGTGTGTGTGTGTGTGTGTGTGTGTGTGTGTGTGTGTGTTGTACACTCTGTATTCAACGAGCTGCTCAGTGACAGCTGGCTCAGGTTAGAGGTACAGAGGAGGCAGAGGAAGAACATAACAGATTCTGCAGTATGAGTGGATGTCAATGATATTGTTATTGTTGTTTACATGGTGCTGTTTGTTGTATGTCCTTGTTTTACTGCTGTGAACATGTTTTAAAATACAGTAAGGAAGCCGTTTGAAAAAAAGTGCAATTACAGAAAGAGAGAAAAGAAAAACAAGCAAATGTTTTCTCATTCTCTGCCTCCATCTTTCTCCCAGAGCTACTCATTCACCCTGTCAGCTCTTCATTTATCTTTTTCTTGTAATAGAAGAAACAATCTGATGGGTTTGTGCACCAGCTGCACTTGACATCTGACTCGTCACTTGATGTCTACATAGGACAGGACGAGGGGCCTCTTCTGAGGTTGAGAAAGTTCAGAGGAGACATAGTTTACGCTACAGATTTAATTTCCTTACACAGCTGTCCACACCTATTCCCTCGTCATATCATCCAGTTATTCTACTTTCCTTTTTGGGATCACTGATTTCACTCCTTCCCGCTTCACCAGTCATCACCTTCCCATCAAATCCTGTCCTGGGTGGAGGAAACGCCTCTGCGCTTAGGGTCATGGCATTCTTTCACCACCACCTAATCTTTTATTTTCATATTATGCAAACAGGGGACTTTCATTGTATTTCTAGGCCATTCTTATTTGTGTGTGTCCGTACTTCCAAGTGACTTCCAGCTGTAGTTTGATGGTTCCCAGCTCCGTGATGTCCACCAACATCAGCTGAGGCCTCACCACAAAGAAGTCTGCGCTGGCGCATGTCACCATGCCAACCAGCAGCCAACCCAAACCCTTCGCCTCCATCACCTGAAAGAAAGGATTTGATGGATGGAGATACCTGCACACAAACCAGATATCTGGTACACAACAAAATGCACAAATGTTTTAAAGAAAATGAGCAGCATTAATACCCAATAAAGGAGCTAGAGAAACTTTTTTCAATACATTCACAAGTTGGCGACCTTAAAAATCATCAATCAACCCAATGCTTTCACAAAAGTGGAAGAAGTATTCTTTTACATAAGTGGAACTACCACAATGTAAAACTATTCCACTGCAAGCAAAAGTCCTGTATTCAAAATGTACTTAAGTAAAAACTATAGATGTATTATTAGCTAAATATACTTAAATTATCAAATAGCACTCATAATGCACTATGGCACCTGCCAGAGAATCTGATTATTGTATATATGATATTATTGTATTAGCACAGTGTGCATCAACGAGTAAACAGCGTTTTAATATTGTAACTAGTAAAAGTGGAGATATTGTATATAACAAAATAAAAATGCACCATATTTGGTTGCTGAAAGTGTCTGTATAACAAGTTTTTGCCAGTAAAATCTTACTCTATAAAGTAACTACAGCAGTCAAATAAATGTAGTAGTAGGAAAGAATTAAGTGATATAAAATGGAAATGTAAGTAAAATATAAATACCTTAGAATTGCTTGGGTATGCGAGTCATCTGTGTATAAATCTTTACCAGTGCACACTTGTGTTCGTGCATGTGTGTATAAATGTGTAGTTCTGTGTGTGTGATTGTAACCTTGATCTCGAAGTTGCGGTGTATGTGCGGGAGGAACACCATCTCCTCTTCGTCCCAGGACTGTGTGTCGTCTGATTCAATCCTCCCTCTGATCCTCCATCGTTGGCGGCCCAACCGCACCACCACCTGGTCATGTGACATCATAGAGACATGGTAACTGAACACCAGGTGAAAAGCAGTGCTTTACTGCCCTCTCTGGTTGTTTGAAGTTTCAAGCCTGTTTCACCTCTGACCACACGCAAAATCACATCAGCAGTGATGTCATGGGGCCCTGGAGTACACCTGTACATCACTGCAGCAAGGTGAAAAGTTAAACAACTGCTTGCTCTACAACCAAGGACATAAATGCGTCATGTGTTTTGTATTTCTCAGCAGGAGAAAACATAGTTCTCATTTTTCAATGACACAAACAATATCAATCAATAACAAAATCCCATCCCAAGTGGGAAATTACTGTTTCTTTGTGTCCATGACTCGGTTGAACTGATCCTTTAGTACATGTACAACAAATTTAGTTCAGGTGAGATGTTTAGTGGAGCAAAACTTTGGGTTAGTAGACGTGTTTCAATTAAACACATTTTTATGGGCATTTTGAAAAGGTTGATGGAAATAGTCAAATAAAAAAAATAATATAACGCAAAACGTTTTTACGCTTACTTGAGGTGGTTTTTGCCATTTTCAAATGAGTCTGAATGGGCTAAATGGGAGATGAAACACCTTTGCTGAATAAGTTCTGACGTAGGGAACATTTAACTCACATGACTGATCAGCTGTTTCTTTGTCTCCAGACAAACATGGTCAATACTACTAGCTGACATGAAAGAACAACTACAACTTGCCCAGTTAAAACCATAGACTGCATATAAACACATTCCTGAAGACCCCTCTCCATTTTCCTCAGGTCCATGAGACAAAATTTTCTTTTTTCCCCTAAAATTCGCTTGACAGTTGGATGGATACATGGCCAGTGTTGTGGTTAAGTTTAGGGTTGTTGGCACTGTTGGAGAACTTCCTCCTGGCTAAAACCCATTGGTGGGTTTACTCAGGTACTGTTCTTAAACTACTTTATACCTTTCACACCAATACATTTACTCAACAGCTGCAGTTACGGGTTACTTTGCAGATTATGATTTTACATTCATGACCTATGAGCATTTTATAATATTTGTTGCATTAGACCACTAAATGTGTAGATTATCAGTGACAATAGTTGCTGGGGTCTGCTGACATCAATGATAATCATCAAATAATATTTAAAAACAATGATGGAGCCCATTCTGCTGCATAATGATTTCTTTTCTTTTGATGCTTTCATACATTTTGCTGATAATATTTTCCTACGTAATGGAGTATATTGCTACTTTTCCTTAAGTAAAGGATCTGAATACATCTTCCACCACTGATGTTGCCTTTACGTCATGGGCTAGACATTGTGAGGCCAGGCTCACATAAATCTTTGAATGGAGAAGCTCACCTCGTATTGGTCTCCGGGGCAGAGTCGAGCAAAGCCAATCAGACCTGCAAGGGAAAACACATGTTAAATACTTGGAGGAAAATGTGTCACTGATAACCTGTCAACTGCTCTCGGTCTGTGTGCATACCTTTCATTTTGATGTGCAGCTCTCCGAGGAGGATTTCCAACTCTCCTTCCATGACGGACATATCCTGCAGAGAGGAGAAACTGTGTGAGAGTGGAACTTTAGAAAATGTAAAATGCATTTGACTCTTCTTAATTTTTTTAATGACCACTATTGCTTTTCACCTATTTTCTGAGCAAAGTTCAGGGTAATCTGCATTAACACTGCAGTTCTATTGCTTACGCCAGAACATTTTAGTACAGCAGATATTTGGCAACTAACCTCTAGCGTTATGATCGTACTCTCTCCTTACTCTACCACCTCGCTGGCTGCTGCTTCTTGTTGGAGAAAAATGTTGTTGAGGTGGTTGAATTAACAAAATGGATGTGCAGCAGTCCTCATTTAAACCAGTTCACACAATGAGCCACAAGCTAAGGAGAACTGCTGGTAATGCTTTTCCTCCATGAAAGCAGCATATTCACACCTTTGAAGCTCAATTTGGCAGAGAGAGGAAAGAGTTGAACTTTTGAAAGTTTGAAGGTCTCTTTAGTATTTATACTGAAACGGCACATCTAAATGCATTGATTATAATATTATACTGCATGTTCAAACAGAGAAGTGATTTTAAATACTGAGCTCTTCACAAATAGAATGAGTTTTTAGGACTAAAGCAGTTTGAATGCGACATGTAATTGTTTTTCTGAATGTGTAACCACTGTTTTTTGTATGCCCATGCTCACACTGTATGTTCTCTTGAAAAAGACATTTTGATTTCAATGGGACGTCCGTTTAAATAAAGGAGAATAAAATGTACTGAGCATGAAGAGGATTCGTTTGTGTTCAAGTGACTAAACAGACGTTATTTTTGGAAAATGGTTGGTATAACTTAATTTTTTTACTTTAAATTTCTATGAGTTTACAGTACAAATCTTGCATTGTGCAGGTGTAAAGCAATAATAACCTGTTTTGAACCACACTTGGGAAACATTTACACATGATGGGGGATGTGCTTGAAGAGAAATGTCCTTGTCATTTGATGCTGAAGTAAAGATGAATGATAATTCTACCAAAACAAATAATGTATTTTAGTGAGTAGTATTTTTTATTATTGCTCTGCATGTTCATAAATTTTTTCAGCATCATAATAACTTCAAAAACTACAGCTAATTGTGAAATTTAGCTGTATTAACCAGGCTCCTCTAATCTCTAACTCTTACCACTAATTACTACAGAAAACAGTAACCAGTAACTTAAGTGCATGTAAAGAATGATTTAATCTAGATAATTTACAAGGGTAATATTTTAAAATGGCTTGATTTTCCTAGAAACTGTACCTCTTAACAAGAGATCTCACCATTCTTGGAAGTGTCTAAACTTTCCTTGGCCATATTGACTCAGGACATCTTCACTCAGATTTATAACTACAGCAACCCACTTAAAACACAGCAGGTTCCTAGAGGAGCACTTTGGATGAACTGCAAAAATGTCCCTAACGGTGCACACTGGGAAGAGACCCAGTATGTCTACATACTGTACATGTCTGTGTGTGTCTGTGTGGTCATAGAGACAGACACAGATGCCAGTGTTACAGGCACAGGTGCAGACCTCCGACAGGCTTAAAGGTCATCCTATTTGGACTTGAAGCTCATTAACTCTAAAAGAACATGTGACTAAGTGTGTTCTGTATGCATGTATCTTAGCATGTGTGCATCTGTGTGGTAGAGAGAAAGAAAGACCACAAAAGAGAATCAAAAACCTATTTGAGTAGTAAGGAAATGAGTAAAAGACAGATTTCAAAACATTGAGGGGTAGACTGTGAAAAAGCACATGTGACCATTTGAAAATGAGAGCGAGTGATGATGTTAGAGCAAAAGACGACAATAAATAGATTTAACTTTGTGAGTATGTGTTGGAAACTGTTAGATGGGTTTGAGAAAGAGAATAAATGTTCTGCAGCACCATATGACAGATAGACAGACCGACAGAGAGAGGGTATGAATGAGTCTTCAGTTGTCTGTTAATGACCCTTAGCCTGCGGCTGCAAACAGAAGAATCACTGTGGGACCATCACTCACACACCAGATTATTTCTTTTGGCAGCATTGTGACCATTAGTGGCGGGTGTTGGCCCTCTGCTGTACAGAGAAGATGGATACGGGTATCAAGATTCTGTTCTCAACTTTTTTCTGTGGTCAATTTTGCAGCGTCACCAAAATGCAAACGTATAAAGCATTTTTCTGTTATTTTACTGTGGATAAATTTATTCAGTTTCCATCAGGATGGATTCTCACACAACTACAGTATTTTATTTGTGACCACCAGTGTTGGGCAAGTTACTTCCAAATTGTAATAATTATAGATTATTAGTTACTGTCATTTGAGAGTAATTAGTTATATTACAATTTTACTGTCTCTGAATTGTAATGCTACTTTTGCATTACTTTCACTGCTATTTAATGGAAGCATTAATCTGATGTTCCTACATAGGTGGGTTCTAATGATGTGCAGAGTTGGATGAAAGAGGATAAATTGTCTCCCCATTAATAAAGACACTGAGGTACTGCAGCATAACGTCACTGATTACTTAAATCTCCCGACGCTCAGGATGAGTCAGGATGAACTGACATCAGCCTCTCTAATCACAAAAGTAAATCATTAAAGAAACACAGTGAAATCTATTTACGCATGATCCATCAGGGGAACTACCGTCTTGTTAAGAGGAGCCGAGCTCCCCCGTAGTTTGCACCCATGCCTACAATCTTGACCATCGGATTCCAGCAACAGGAAATAACGTTACTCATTTACTCATGGATTTGTTTTTCTGGTGCAGAAATGTTTCTCGGTGTTTGTGAATTATTAAAAAAAACAAAACACCTCTTAATTTTGACTTAAAAGGCGTTGCAATGCGTTACTGAGATTGTAACCGGAACACTAGTACCGATTTTACCGAAAACAGTCATGTTCAAACTGAAAGCAATACAGTTTCAGGTTAGCAGGAAAGATTTTTAAAAAAGAAAACATAGTGCTAACTTGTAAATTCCCTGTGTTTGAATTTATGTTATTATTTTGACTGCCAGGTTACTTATTATTCTGAAATATTTTGACAGTGAGTTACTGTTGCATACCACCCTTACATAACGCTTTTACTCCCAGTGAAGTTTTACAGATATGCTCTCCCTAACCAGCTCTGCGCTTCACACTAATAAATAGATACACTCAATCACAGTAATGACTTGTACGGTTTGAATGAGCTTTAATGATTGTGAAATATCCCTCAGCCCTGGTTATGCCCTGGAAGTTGTTTGCAGCAAGAAAAGTCATGATTTTGTACCTCTGACCTGCAGTAGAAAATGTTCAGGTGTTAATTTCTCCTGCATACCATCTGTTACACAGATGCTACTTGAAAAGACCACTGAGACGAGTAAAATTGAACTTTACTGACTGTTTTATAACATAATAACTTTTTATTGACTAATAAGTGCAAAATGATTTCAAAATGCTTAAATACTGGACTTTAACAACTGGACTGAAACATTAGAAAGCCTTGATATGTGTGTGGTTGGATGCTCGACTTGTTTGGGGCAGGAAAAGAGACAGGACATTGACTTTTGGTCATTCATCATACAGCCCATGATGTCACTGTATTTAGTTGTGTTTCAGCCCACTGTGACCTATGTCTGCTGCACACCTGGTCAGCTCATGGCACAGCAGTGATTCATGTGTAACACAAACCGCAGCAGAAACACATTGCAAATGAAATAAAACATGCTCTGTAAACAGAGAATTATATGTATGTGCTTATTTAAATTTTATTTCCAGCATTAGAATTTGGACCTAAAATAGTTAATTTGACATCTGGTTCAAATATAAAACAAAATTCAAAACTCTGTGATGCAATCTTATCATGTATGTCTATTCAGTTGTGTTATAGCTTTTGTTGCAAACAAGATTACAGTGAGGTGATGCGTGATTGGGATTAAATTTAAAGTTGGTTTGGACACCAACTTAATGTCTTTTAGACCGGGTGCCAGCCATGAGATATTTTTTTGGAGGCACTGTGAAGTGTAATTTACACCGTGTACAATTACAGGGCATGTTTTTTTTTGTTCAGACCTGAATTTTTTCTCCCTATTTCTCTCTTCACCCTCATAAATCAAGTGTTTGCTTCCTTGTTGAAACAAGAGACAGGAATGTGTTTTTTTTTTTTTTAAAGACAACAACACGAGCAAGAAACAATGAAAGCAAGAAAGCCCATATTTTATCCAGCCCCTATTTCATGGTGGATTTTTATCAAATTGAACCCTAAAATGTAATGGTTTACCTTTTGGGGACTTGTGTTTTGTCCCCAAAAGGAAGGCAACATGAGAAATACACACACACACACACACACACACACACACACACAATCCTGACCCTAAACCTAATTCTATCCTAAGTCCTTTGAAGTTGTGAGGATAGGCAAGAAATATTCTCCCTTTCCCAAGATGTCCTCACTCTGTTAGTTAAAATCTTGTTCTGGTCCTCAATATGTAGGAAAGTACTAGCACACACACACGCGCGCGCACACACACACACACACACACACTTTGGTCCTTGCAGTAGGCCTACCTGCAGGCTGTGTCTGTGGTTGCGATTGAGCTCCAGCAGACTCTCTCTGGAGGCTCTGGTGGACGGGGACAGTGAGAAGGCTCTCTTCATGTTGACCGCTCCCTGACACAACCTCCACTGGATACAATACGTCTCATAGAGCTCCTCCACCTGCAGAGACAAGAGACAGAAACGACGAGATACTGAGACACGCCGGCTGAGAGGAATGCGTGTTTGGACAGAGGGCAACACAATCAACAAAAAAAACATTTATTTTCTTTTTTTCCAGAAAACAAACAAGATTGTTCGACTAAAAAACTTGGCTGAACTTTGGATGACTGTTTAATGACACAACTAAAATGTGTTTTGTTTGTTTCTGATTGAACTGATTTTGCTGCATAGCACGTAAAAAAAAAATAGGTTGGCTCAAAATGTTCAAAGCCATTAAAAGTTTTCTATATCTTTAATTTGAAAGACTGCAGAAACTGCTTTTCCCTAAAATATCTGGAGAACAGTCGTTTCCATCACTTGATCACCATCATCTCAACCTAAGATCAAACACTAAAATAACAACTTGTAAAATGTTTTTTACCTTGCTGATTTGAAATTCTAATCTTCGTATGTATCTCTCCAATGCTCTGATCTCCTGTGAAAGCAAAACAATGATAGCTTAGTTTATGGTAATTTATTTTTATGATTTATTTGAATTCAGTCTGGAGAGAAAAGGCGTATTTGTGGCTCTGTTGCAAAGATTACCTTCTCCAGATCATACAGAAAGGCCTGGAAACAGAGAATATACATTATCATCATTATAACAATAAATCAACCCCCCCCCCACACACACACACACACACACTTTCAGTTCTCTCTCTCTCTCTCTCTCTCTCTCTCACCAGTCGGGAGTTTCTCTTGGTCTCTCTCTGCTGTGAAGACAGGAAGTCCATCTCTGCCTGGTGACCTTCCAGGAACTCCCTGCAGACAGTCACATCAGCAACAAAAGTGATTCATACTGAAATGTCATAACATTTGAAGCAGAGCTGCAGCAGGCGTAATGCTGCCTTCACTTAATATAAAGTCCCCACATTAACCATTTTTCAGCTTGTGAAAACATCTACTATACAGTGGGTACGGAAAGTATTCAGACCCCTTTAAATTTTTCACTCTTTGTTTCATTGCAGCCATTTTCCAAAAATCAAAAAAGTTCATTTTATTTCTCAGTAATGTACACTCAGCACCCCATCTTGACAGAAAAAAAACAGAAATGTAGAAATTTTTGCAAATTTATTAAAAAAGAAAAACTGAAATATCACATGGTCATAAGTATTCAGACCCTTTGCCGTGACACTCATATTTAACTCAGGTGCTGTCTATTTCTTCTGATCATCCTTGAGATGGTTCTACACCTTCATTTGAGTCCTGCTGTGTTTGATTATACTGATTGGACTTGATTAGGAAAGCCACACACCTGTCTATATAAGACCTTACAGCTCACAGTGCATGTCAGAGCAAATGAGAATCATGAGGTCAAAGGAACTGCCTGAAGAGCTCAGAGACAGAATTGTGGCAAGGCACAGATCTGGCCAAGGTTACAAAAAAATTTCTGCTGCACTTAAGGTTCCTAAGAGCACAGTGGCCTCCATAATCCTCAAATGGAAGACGTTTGGGACGACCAGAACCCTTCCTAGAGCTGGCCGTCCGGCCAAACTGAGCTATCGGGGGAGAAGAGCCTTGGTGAGAGAGGTAAAGAAGAACCCAAAGGTCACTGTGGCTGAGCTCCAGAGATGCAGTCGGGAATGGGAGAAAGTTGTAGTAAGTCAACCATCAATGCAGCAATCCACCAGTCGGGGCTTTATGGCAGAGCGGCCCGACGGAAGCCTCTCCTCAGTGCAAGACACATGAAAGCCCGCATGGAGTTTGCTAAAAAACCTGAAGGACTCCAAGATGGTGATAAATAAGATCCTCTGGTCTGATGAGACCAAGATAGAACTTTTTGGCCTTAATTCTAAGCGGTATGTGTGGAGAAAACCAGGCACTGCTCATCACCTGTCCAATACAGTCTCAACAGTGAAGCATGGTGGTGGCAGCATCATGCTGTGGGGGTGTTTTTCAGCTGCAGGGACAGGACGACCGGTTGTAATCAAGGGAAAGATGAATGCGGCCAAGTACAGGGATATCCTGGACGAAAACCTTTTCCAGAGTGCTCTGGACCTCAGACTGGGCCGAAGGTTTACCTTCCAACACAATGACCCTAAGCACACCGCTAAAATAACGAAGGAGTGGCTTCACAACAACTCCGTGGCTGTTCTTGAATGGCCCAGCCAGAGCCCTGACTTAAACCCAATTGAGCATCTCTGGAGAGACCTGAAAATGGCTGTCCACCAACGTTTACCATCCAACCTGACAGAACTGGAGAGGATCTGCAAGGAGGAATGGCAGAGGATACCCAAATCCAGATGTGAAAAACTTGTTGCATCTTTCCCAAAACGACTCATGGCTGTATAGATCAAAAGGGTGCTTCTACTAAATACTGAGCAAAGGGTCCAAAGGGACCAAACTAGCTAATATAAAGAGTTAAACCTAGCTCCACCTCTAGCAGCTACAACAGTAAAATCTTACTTACACGTTAGTGCATCCATATTAAATCCGCATCTAAAAATTGTGGAGGAGGATACTTTTTGATACTTTAAGTACATATTATTGATAAGACTCCTATGCTTCTGCCTTCCTTTAAATGTAGGACTTTTACTTGTAATGAGGGTATTTTACACTGTTTTAATGGTACTTAAAGTAAAGAATGTGAGTACTCTTTACACCAATATAGGAATTATTAAAATACTTAACCACCATTAATATTTGATTACATAATTTAGGTCTTATCATCATCATCATCATCACTGTTCACTAGTTTGCATACTTGAGTCCTTTGCGTAGCGCCTGGAAGACCTGGTCAACCTGGTCTGGCTGCAGAGACAAGATAGCTCCACCCCCTCTGCTCTGAGACAGGTGCATCCTGGGAGATTTTCCTCCTGCCATGGCTTTGGAGCGGAGAGAGTTACGAACATTGGATGGCCTAAAAACACAACAGACAGAGTGAGATAAGTTATTCACTTACATTATTATTATTATTATTATTCATTCAGACTTAAAAGTGAGGATTGTTTTATATTCTGGATTTAGTTTGAAACTTTCCAACTCAAATATGAATATTTCATTTACTTCAGTTATTAGCAATAACTGGTGAAAGGAGGGGTTGCCAAGTATTTAATATATTACGAAGCTGTTCTCAAAGATGACAACATGACGATGCAAGTTTGACAAAGAGATTTATTTAAACAAGTCCTACAAAGCAGACATGAAAATACATGCTTTGTCCTTTTTCTGATTTGATGCTGGCAAGACGACATAATTTGTGTGTGCCTTCATAAAATGTTAAAAATCACTGTTAAATAAATAAATCAGTTGTATGACCTGACATTACCGTGATTAAGGTTTGGTTAAGTCAACAAGTCAAATCAAGTCAGGTTTATTTAAAGCGTAAAATCACCCAGTACATTTTACTTTAGAAAAAAACAGACATTTGCAGAGTTGGATAAAAAAGTTTAATATAAAAAAAACAGATGATAAGATTCCCACAATAAAATACAATACATAATGATAAAACACCAAGATAATAAAGAATTATACAATTAAAAGAAATCATAAAATACCCAGTCCTAACTATAAGCCTTATCACAGGACGAAAAAACATCCCTAACTAAAAACATTGCTAAAAATAAGTTTTAAGCCAACTTAAAGATGCTGGTTGCTTCCCGAACACAACCAGGGGTCTGATACACAGCCAAGGCTCCCACTCTACTTTCTAGAGACCCTCGGCACTACAACTTACCCTGCATGTTGGGAGCGCAGTGTTCTAGCGGGCAGTAAGGCATAATCAAATAAGATGGTGCCTGACCATTAAAGGCTTTGTGTGGAAGAAGAAGAAGTTTCAAATTCAATTCTAGATTTTACTGGATGCATAATGTCTTTGTAGTTTGCTTTATGTGGGAGTTAAAAGACATGTCCTGTTAAAAAACGACTTCCTAACGGCGGAGTTTCGGCATAAACCCAACTTTTTTTAGGGAAAGAGTAAAAATTACTACTCAAGTTAGGGGATCAGGAAGTGAATAATGCTCTCCCATGGCCAACATTTTGTTTACCCATGTCTATTGTCCTATTGTCTAAATACACAAACATTCAGTGAGCGAGTCTTTTTGGATCAAAATCATGTAAATGATAAATACTGGAAAGATAAAAGCAGTGATGCCCATTAAAATGCAAAAAATTAGAGATTCTCAAGTGCAATGAGAGAAGATGGCGTGTTTTGGCCATCACTAAGCAGGCACTTTGGGTGGTGGCACACAGTGTTTGTATCAATACACACGTCTGTACAGTGGTTGTATCTGCCATATTTCTCACCAAATAAAGCTTCAGTCAGATTTAGCAGATGTCCTCTGTAATTATGGACTCCGCCATAAAAGTGTTTTCTTGGTGTGCGATATTTGTCGTCCTTGTCAGTGTGTGTGGTGCGTCTGTGAGGTTTTACGGCCGGGCCGCATCATGTTCCTGTCACCATCAAAGCTCCATAATGAAGAAAAGACCACATGCTATTATCCTGTCAGGGCAGAACACAGTGGAGACGCTCAGGACTGAATAGAGAGTGTGTGCGTGTTGAATAGTTAGTGTGTTTTCGAATGTGCGTGTGTGCATGTGTGTTTAAGATAGAAAAATCACAGGAAGTGCATTCCAGCTCTGTGTTTCTCAACGTTTTTCCTCTCTCTCTCTGTCTGTCTGTCTTTCCCCTGGGACTGACAGTTGACTGTGTTTTTGTTGCTCATTCTTTCTTCATTCAGAAATAACATCTTCAAAGTCTGTGGTGCGTTCACTGTCTGCCCATCAATGAAGAACAGGCTCGTCTGAGGGTGAAGGGATTTCCCTCCACACAACATGAGACAGTTTATCTTCAAGTACTTTAATCTTAAAAGGACAATAACCAATCTATTTTCTCTCTTTGATTGTTCTACTGTATAAAAAAAAAAAAAAAAAAAACTACTTCCACTGAGAGATGATCTATTAGAGTCAACATCAGGCCAGAATCTCATCAAAGTTTTCAAATCGTAATTTCACTGAGCTGAATACTCTGGTTCATTCATCCTGACAGTTATGGGAATAAAGCTTTTCCTCAAACACTTGCCTCCTTACAAATGTTTGTTTTGTTGGATTAGACTGCACTTGAATGAATTAAAATATTTATTGCAGGAATTGTAAAAATGTTATCAGGCGTGAACTAGATGTAGACAGCAAACAATGTGCCACCATTGTCAACAAAATGTTTGTGATGTGAATGAGACTGAAGTGATTAAGTGAATTAAATATGGGCATGATTGCAACGGCCACAAAAAACTCAGACACTGCATACGGTGTGGAGCAGCTCATTCAAAATGATAAACATTTTAATTTATATGTTATGTGTGTGTGTAAATTAGATCGATGTAGTTTAGCAGTGTGGGAAAGGGGGACACTTGCTGTAACCTTGAATGAGTTTTACTTTAAGTTGGTGTTGAAGACCGTTGATAGAGTTTAGCTTTTTTGGTGTGACATTAAAAAGAGTTTGGATCGTCTCAAACATTAAAGAAATAGTTTGCTTTCTTGCTAAGAGTTAGATGAAAAGGTTGATACCACTCATGTCTGTACGATGATTATGTAGCTAGAGCCAGTTAGCTTAGCATAAAGAATCGAAACAGGGGGAAACCACTAGACTAGCTCTGAACAATGGTTACAAAATCTGACTATCAGCACCTCTAACGCCGAACAATGAACACATTATTTCTCAGCAAGAAAGTGAATTATGTTTTTTGTCTGCTACAGAATACATATCTGCTCAGCAAATCTCCATCTATGTAGTTAAAAACTTTTCATACATCCAATCAAATCACTTAATTGTCAATAGTTTTCGCATAGTAGCCTGGGAAAAGTTCACTGCTAATGTGAGTTGTCAAGCTAGATTAGCTATGAGCTGATTAATCTAATTAACTATTAGCCAATTAAGATAATTAGATTAGATGGTGTGGTCCTAAGAACACACTGCATGACATGTAAGCTACATCACACATTTATTTACTTTTTCCCCTCATTTCCCTACTGGAGCTCAGCCTGCCAGCTGTTGTCAATCAAATACAGACACAGAGACGCCCCTCTAACCGGCTGAGACCGAAATTATATTTCCCCAAAGATCTTCTGTCTGTCTGTATTGTAGGAGTTGATGACTAAACAACAAAGGCCTCTTTTGTTCCTCCTTGTCATTTATTTAACACTGAAAGGATTTAAGGTAACGAAGTTGGTCGTCATGCTTGCGTTCTCATTGGCTGTAATAGTGTGTCACTCACCGTCGTCGTCCAGTTAGAGAGCTGAACCCGGTGAAGGAGCGGCTCCTGTGGACTAAACCTCCATCTGAGGGAGAGTCAAATCGCAGCTTCACCGACATCCTGGAGATTGAGACAGAAAGTTATTACAGGTGCGATGAGTAAAATATGAAATCATCTCAAAAATAATCCCCAAAAATGTTTTTTTATTTATTTATTTATTTTATTTACAAATCTTTATTTAGATATTTGCGTAGGCAAGAGTAGCTGCTGAAGCCAAGAGTGTGAACTAGGTCTACTAGGTCAACGAAACGTCTTCGAGTATCTTCAGCCAAATCAAGTCGCCCTTGATTTTAACCCACTCTGGATACTTGCATTATTGTTTTTTTATTTCATCATTTGTTAGTGTTGTTACCGTTTGTGATTTCAGCTTTATTGTCTATTTTCACCTTGTTCTTTTTTTCCTCCCCACTTCTAGCCAACACAGACACCCGCAAACACTTATAATCATCAAGACCACCCTGACACGATCGAGAACAGGATAAAGGATACCGACATCTCTGGGACACATTAACAAAAGGAACATCCTGAAACAGACACATGCGTGCAGATACTGGTAAACAGAGGGCAGTTATATATTTACATATAAGATTGGAGCCTGTGTAGCTCAGATGGCAGAGTGTCAGATTTATAGCCATGCTAGTAGCATGTCTCTAGGGATGGTGATGGTCGGTGCACCACATTGGTTCAGACTGAAATAACTCGACAACTATGGACTTACATGAAATCAATAGGGTTAAGCCTGATACCTCTGGTGATCCCTTGACTTTCATCTTTCATGTAAAATATCTCAGGATTGGTTCTAAAGTCTTTACAAAGAGTCATGGTTCCCAAATGATGAATCCTAATGACTTTCGTGATCCACTGATTTTCTCTCTAGCACCACCACCAGCAAGTTCTCCTTGTTGGTTTTGAGTTAAAATGTCTCCACAGCTGTTTATTAGTTGTGACTGACTCTTTAGCTTTTAAAATCTACCATATCTTTTAAAGTTGTCAGTGTCGTTCACCTCTGAGATGCTAGAAGTTCCTCTCTTATTTCTGCTTATAATGCCTTGCCATTGAATGTGTTCAATTAATAGCGCTGTTTTGACAAACTGCCTTGAACAGCTACTTAAGTTCAAAACAAGAATGTTCAGAGATTTTTTGTTCCACATGATGGATAATTATAACAAGGGAGTGTTAGCGAAGGAAGTCGTTATAGTTGTGGCTGACTGTGTCACTAACTTCATCTGCATGAAATAAGATTCATGCCGCAGAAGCATTTCATTTCATTCTTCATAATAGTGAAGACAAAACTAAAGTAAAAAGGTGATCAATGATGAAGTACAGGCAATATTTACTTAAATAAATTGAATACATAGGTGCACATGCTGCAATTCCACAGAAAAATATAACATAATATTACAATGTGCCATCTCTGTCACACACACAGAGTCTGGATGCCATCTGCTCAGTCTTTCATGCGTTTCCTGTGAACACTGAGTTCATTTGAAGCTAAAACAACGACATTGCATTGTCTACATGGTCATCAGCTGTTCCAAGTTACTTCAGAATGAGTCTCTGTTAAAACTTTTGGAATAGTGGTTTATAAATCCGGTTATGTCTAATATGGGGGAAAATAAGATGAAGCATTGCCCAAGGTTACTCATTCAACATCTTCAGCCAGTCTGTTGATGATGTGGCTCAACATCATGAATGTACAGTTTTTTGTCATTTCCTTGACCTCATTTTTATTCCTCTTTTTTTTTGTTGTTAATTTCTGTGGTTTTCATGTTCAAATCTGACCTGGTATGAAGTTGTTGTCTGGCTCAAATAAGCTGAATCAAGGTCATCTTAGCTCGGTTTGCCTTCCCAAATGACTAGGATTTCAACCAATAGCATGACAGAAATATGCTGCCATAGCTCAGAGTAACCCAGTTTGGAGTCCTGACCCAGATTGTAAAATACACTCTGGTCCTGATGCCAAAACCAACAGAGTCACCAAGCAACCACACATAACACAGAGTGATGGAGAAACCAGGTCTGATCATTGAGAACCAAAGTCAGTAAAGTAAAATCTGGTTGCATGTTCTGCTGGTAGAGGAAGCCAAGTGTATTTTCTTTTACAAGGATTATCATATTTTTTATTTTTCAAGTTGAAAGATAAACGTGTTTGAATTGGAAGTAGCCGTGTCCAGTGGTGGGTTGCTTCACCCTTCTTTGAATCGCTCTCAATGGTAGGTGTAGACATGTCAACCCCAAACCTTGTCCTATTATTATTCGTCTCCCTCAGTTAATTCTGCAAAATGTCAGTCCACTCAAATTTGACTCAGTCATTCAGGCGTACTTTGGTGATCCCACTAGCATGACTGTAAACTCTTAAGTCTTATTATCATACCAGATACCTTGACTGAATGATTACAGTACACAGAGCCTCGGTGCTGTTTTTGCATCTCTGTACATGAGCCGTTATCAGAAGATTCAAATCTGGCAACCATGCATTTCTTATTATAACCTTCATGCACAGATGCATACACTTTAAGAAGAGCCAGACTTAGGGAGTAATCAGCTTAGTCACATTGCGCTGAGAGCAGCAGAATAACATATCCAGTCCTGGCTGAATGCCACATTAACCAGCTGAAACAAACTATGTGGAGAATGTAATACACATCCAAGTATCAAACAAGCATAAAGTCTATTTCTGTTGTCACAGACTACATCCATCTCTGCCTGCCTGCTCAGATGCAGTCTCTGGATGTAGATGCAACATTTTTAACATGTCAGCTTCAAAATGCAGCTGTTTAAGTCAATCACATCATACAGTTGTCTCGTTTTACTCTCATCGCCTGAGACAAATGTCATAGTAGCAACACATTCTGACAAACCTCTGAATGTTTCAGTCTGTATAAATAAACTAAGTTCAGATTTTTGAGATAGGTGCAGTAATAAACATCAAGTTTTTCTCTTAATGTTGTTTGTCAGAGACAGGAGGGTAATCATTATAAACAATAATATAGACAATATAATACACTGCAAATGCTCCAGATCAATCCTCCTCAACATGTGTGGAAAACAAAGTGTTTAAAATTCTGACACATCCTGTAAATGAGCTGTTTAAAGGAACACACACGTGCACAGCTGAAGAAAAACTGCTTACACTGAGAGAGACCCACAGCAGGAAAAAGAAATAGAGCAGAAACAGAGTGAGAAGTTACATTTAACTGCAAGCAGAGAAAAGTGGGAGAAAGATGTCACTAGCAGCCCTAAATCGAGTTCCCTTCAGCTAATTTCTTTTTTTAATTTCTGCTATTTGGTCATGATTAAAAAAAAAGAAACTTTCAAAAGTAATTCTGTTAAGTCAGCTGTTCCTACCACATCCATCCCATTTCTTTCCAATCATGTTTCAGACCACTTTCCAGGCTTGTTTTGAAAAAACAGCACTTCACGTACTTACTTTTAGACATTTTGCTTATTCAATTTATGACTTTAGTTTTAGATGCTGCTGTTTTCATTCAAACTGGCCCTGCACCAGCTGATTTCACTGATGATTAATTAGCTGCTCGTTGGCTGGAGGTGTGCAAGCCGCAGACTGCAGCTGCTCTGAGGGTTTGGTTGGAATAAAGACCTGCAGCTTCTTGTTTCATCGAGACTGAAAATGACTGAATACAACTGAGAATATGTGAAAAATGCATAAAAAGTAAATGTTCTACTGATGTGTAGAACAAAAAAATTGAATAATATCTGGAATGTGATCAAATGTGAAATGAGGGAGGCACATTCCTCAGCTGATGAAAATTCAGGGGGGGATGAAGACAAGTCTGTGTGTGTGTGTGCGTGTGTTTTGAGGGGTATCTGGAGGGAAAGCTGGAGTGAGAGCTGGTCTTAAAAAATTAGCCTTGACCTGCAAGTGATTTACGGGTTCCCATGTGGTGAGGATGTGGGAGGTTGGGGCTTGTGTGTGCGTGTGTTTGTGTGTGTGTGAATGTAAACATTTAAGTGTTTCTTCTTGTGTGCAAATGTGTGTACTTGTGTTTGTGTGTTTGCCACCACAGATGATGTACAGGCCCCTTGTGAGGGTCTGCTGCATGCTCACAGCTCTGTAGCCAGACCAGACACTCACGTACGCACACACACACTCTTACACACACACACACACACACACAGAGTTCCAAAGTCCATGTAAAACTCAAACATAAGGAATTGATTTTCTTTCTCTCCTCCCTCACAGGGTGGGGTGGTGTCTCAGTGTGTTTTTTACATGTGGTCTTATTGGTAATCACTCCTCTTCAGCTCGGCCTAATTAGCCTCATTTCTACTTCCACATTTGCCTGGTTCTCACTCTGTAATGATCAGTTCCTTCCCTCTGTGGGGCCAGAGCCATCCAACAAACAGGTTTGTGAATGATGGCAGATTCAAAACTCCAGAGGCCTGGGAAATCCTGCAAAATCAATGAGCCTCATGCAAGAACCACTGGTATATACGAACCCATTCTATCTGAATGGGCACATACATGCATTTACATAGAAGTGATGTTTCGTGCACAAGTTTGTGCAGCGAAGAGAGTTGAAACGGACTTCAAACAAGAACAAGCCAAACAGAAAAAGAAGACAGAGAAGTTTAGGATAAGAATAACAATATGTTTCTGCTTGAGGCCCAATACAGTGTTTCCCAAAGGACTTTAAGAGACTATGGTGGGTGGACCTTGGAAATTTTGTACATTTTAAAGTTAAATGTATTAATTTGGTGCAAAATTAAGAGGCTATCTATGAACTTGGTACGCTTTTGAACAATGTTGTCCTCTAATAAACTATTTGATCATAAACCCATTGTATAACTATAAATGGTGATCAAACAAAAGTATTTTTTCCCCAAAAACATAAATCAAAGAATAGAAGATAGAATAAGTAATTTCCCTAACATTTTATTTTATTTATTTTTTTACTTTTATTGGACATATGTAATGTTTTTTATACACTGCTCAAAAAAATAAAGAGAACACTTAAACAACACAATGTAACTCCAAGTCACAGCCCAACACCGTGCAGGACGAGAACACCAAGATTGGCAAATTCGCCACTGGCGCCCTGTGCTCTTCACAGATGAAAGCAGGTTCACACTGAGCAGATGTGACAGATGTGACAGAGTCTGGAGACGCCGTGGAGAACGTTCTGCTGCCTGCAGCATCCTCCAGCATGACCGGTTTGGCAGTGGGTCGGTAATGGTGTGGCACAGCCCTCCATGTGCTCGCCAGAGGTAGCCTGACTGCCATTAGGTACCGAGATGAGATCCTCAGACCCCTTGTGAGACCATATGCTGGTGCGGTTGGCCCTGGGTTTTCTCCTAATGCAACACAATGCTAGACCTCGTGTGGCTGGAGTGTGTCAGGAAGGCATTGATGCTATGGACTGGCCCGCCCGTTCCCCAGACCTGAATCCAATTGAGCACATCTGGGACATCATGTCTCGCTCCATCCAACAACGCCACGTTGCACCACAGACTGTCCAGGAGTTGGCGGATGCTTTAGTCCAGGTCTGGGAGGAGATCCCTCAGGAGACCATCCGCCACCTCATCAGGATCATGCCCAAGTGTTGTAGGGAGGTCATGCAGGCATGTGGAGGCCACACACACTGTGGTTTCTTTGATTTTGAGTGCGACTTCAAATCCAGACCTCCATGGGTTGATAAATTTGATTCCCATTGATAATTTTTGTGTGATTTTGTTGTCAGCACATTCAACTATGTAAAGAAAGGAGTATTTAATGAGATTATTTCATTCATTCAGATCTAGGATGTGTTATTTTAGTGTTCCCTTTATTTTTTTGAGCAGTGTACTTTCTGTGAATATGATCCAATTATTATTATTATTTCCATAATGTATAGACACCTTATTTTGAAAACGTCATGTACATCTTCAGTCTCCTGGGTCCTAATGTGTGTGTCCATGTTTCTTGTTCCCCCTTTTGTATGAATGAATGAATGATTTTATTTGATGATTAAAACCACGCATAACACTGCACTGCAGTCATAACATATAACAAAACTCACAGATGATAAAACACAGTAAAGCCTTGAGACTTATTTCCATCATGATCCTCCAGTATAACACTGAACACACCACAAGATAAAGCAAAACAACAACAAGACAGCAAGCAAAGACAATACAATCAACAAATAGCAGGCAGCGGGATAGCTAACTTATGTCAACATGCTCTTTTTTTCTTGGTCATAAAAAGTTAAAAACTGAAATTAAATGGGGCTTTGTAACCATTTCTTTGAAGTGTAACTTATTAGTGTTATTATTATAGTATTTTCTAACCCTTATTATGTTTTTTTTTCTATGTGACTAACAACATTTTTGAGTTAGTCCAGTATTGAGCGTAGCAGCAGCAAAACAGGGCTACAATGTAATCCTTGTCAAAAGTATGTCCACTAAAGTGCTGTGGAAATAATCCCTACTGTATCACTCTTTTCAAAGCCACCAGACTTCTTTGATTTAAAAGTATTTTTACGTCGCAGAACACGAGAGTTGCTGGTTTACTACTGCGTCGCTTGGTTAGTTTTTATTTTGTCTGTTTGTGTTAGTGTGACTTTGGTGTTTTAAAGGGTTAAAAAATGCCAAACTAACCACTCGAGGCAGTGGGTAAAATTACTATTTTTGTTAAGGGAATCTGGTGGCTTTGAAAAGCGCAAAATCGTGACTGTTTCCGATTTAATAAAAAGGATCTTACTTTTTTTTTTAAAAAGGTCTGTCTCTGTATGAATCATTTCCATAATGTTATATCAGATACTTATAATAACAGTCACTTTAGTGGACGTACTTTGCACTAACAGCACGCTTGCTCAGTACTGGACCACTTTCAAAAAATGTTGTACCGATTAGTCCCACAGACACAATGAGATTTGAAATTGTGCATCTCAAAGAGCACACTAAGTGTAGCCTTAAAGAGTTTTGTTTGATTTGTGGGCAGATTGCATCGAAAAAGTATGAAGTCTGTTAAAATTAGCTCGCTCTTAGTAGTGAGAAATTATTAACGACGTACTTTGTCCCATATTTTTAACAATTTGTATTTGTTAAGTTAGCAGCATCTTAATATTAATGGTTCTTTTTTCCACAATCAACCCCTGCAGCCATCCACTTATCCCTCCTGCATCTCCCTGTTAGTGGAAACATGTTTTTTGTTATCTTCTTCCCAGCAGTCCTCTTGTTTTTGGTTTGTCTCCCTCTACTTGATTTCATTTTCATGCCTCTGCCCTCCCCCATTTCCCCTCATCTTCCACCCTCTCTGACTCACAGATCATCTGGGATCATTAGAAGGCAGATTTAAATTACATTGAATGCTCCTCCGGGACTTCGCCCAATTTCCAAGTAAACAAAATCCACAAAACATCTTTTATCGTATTAAGAGCAGCAAACGAACAAATCTCTTGTACTAGTGATGTTAGTTGTCATAAATAGTTGGATTAAAGAGATTCTTCATTAAGACAAGAGAAAGAGAAAGAGAACGTGTGTGAATCTTTTAATTGGCTTTTCTTAAATTTAAATATTTGCAAATTCTTAAGTTGTTTTTGCCCAATTTAAGATCATGCTAGCTCAGTGCCAGCTGAAGTATGAGGGGTCAGAGGTCACACATGACTGATGTTCCCCAGGGTGAAGAACTATGCTGTTCTGGATGGAAGCACACACACACACACACACACACACACACACACACACAGCTCGCAAACACGGCGTTTCTTCATAACCTTCCTGAAATAGCAGCCATAGTTGTAATGTCTGCATTTGGTTAGATTTTTGATTCAACCCTTTAAGATTTACAAAGTCTTTTCAATCTCTATCAGTTACCACGATAGTTTTCAGTAAAACAAATCTAGGCCAACATTTGTAAAGGTCAGTAGAATCATTTTGCTGTTTCCATTTCCATTCTGGCTTTAAAACAACAAACGGACGGATTGTTTACGACACTAAATATATACTGAGGGTTTTGGCTGCATTTTAAGTTTCTCTCAGTGCCGGATTTCTGACAATGCTTTTACATCTTATTCCACCACTTCAGCTTGAAGTAACATGAGGCAACTTTGTGATCTTCTTTTGTCTTTTATGAGAAAAATGAGCTCCCATGATTACAATTGCAGCATTTCATTCAGATATACCTCATCAGGAATGAACTACATTTCTTCTCCTCTCCTCTCTGTTTTGGCAGCAGAAACAGAGGAACAGTCTTACTTTTAACATTTTTGTTTGCATCACATACATAATAGTCATGATAGTTTTACTGGAGACATAATGAATCCTGCCCTTATGTATAGCTTTACGCCTTGACTCCACTGGGCACAGCTCTATGACATCATGTCTGCATCCTAGGTTTTGTTTTTTTCCTCTGCACAGCTTCATACGCCACAGA